GCAAGCAGCCAGGAAGCATCTGATGGAGCATCGTCATAAGGTCTCCACTTTACCAGCTCCGAGGTACCTGAACACCCTCAGCTGCTACCTTTGTTTTACATGTCCTGATGCCGATACTGCCTAGCGTGTCCAAGTAGCTATTAATGCTGGCATGTATCTTCCTAGTCCATAGATAGGCTATATAGCTGATCTCCTCATGTTCCCACTACCTAGAGCTATTCGGCGGGACATCTACTGCTACTGATCGATACATATGTAGACTAGGTAGTTAGGTACCTAGTAGATTGATTGATATGTATGTACCTACCTAGGTGCATGTAGGTAGATAGCGGACCACCACGTTGTTGGCTCCCTCGGTTGGATTGAGACCAGCGGTACGGTACAGCTCTGGCTAGAATACCTTCTGGCTATTAAATAAGTAGTCCTTTAAGATGACACGACGTAATGGCCACGGAATTGAGGTCAAGCGGGCCAATCAGACAGCATCGGGTGTTGGAGGGGTTCCTTGAACCAGGTTCTGACCAGGTTTCTTTCTACTGTGCAGACACTGTGTAAGCTGCGTGGTGCTGGAAGAGATCTTGCGCAGATTTACAGGGGGCTTGTAGGGAATCTACAGGGGAAACTGGATGCCATTGGCTACGTCGTAGTGTCCTCTACAGTGTGGATGAAACCTTGTGTAACTCACCATCAACCATCATCAGACAGGCCAGAGACAGGCAACCCAGCCAAGTGGCCAAGATGGAGTCCAAGGTCTCAAATTAGAATGCACGCCATACTTCAGAATCCAAGACACGCACACGTTCAGTTCAATCAGTTAATTAACGTCTTATCGTGTTTGATTATTGTCGGCGATAAATAGGTACCTAATCCAGACCAGAGTTTTGAGTGAGTGCTGATCGGAGCCGCCGGCCATCTCCTCCTACTACGGTACGTATGGATAAGCTGTCAATTGTGTTCGGCAGCACTCGATGAAACGGAGCCGAGAGAATGAGCACGCTAGGCATTACCTTTTCTCTTTTATTTCTCAGTGGCTCAGCTGACAGGACGAGTACAAAATAAAAAGAAAAGGGCCGTAGGTTACCGATTGAGTTGACTACGACCAATAGTTCAAGGTAAAGGCTCCGTCTTGCTGCAGCTCACAGCATGCACCACACCTTGGGCTGGTTGGTAGATACGCATGTAAGCAGACAATGAGACATACATAGGTACATCACATCGCACAGAACGAATCTGCTGGTTCCGTTTATTCATCTGCTACGAGGTAGGTAGCAGTCTATATGCATACCTAGGTACATAAGGTACCTATCTTAATATAGGTATAGTAGTTCCAGCTACTTCGTAGATCTCCCAATCTGCAGATCATTCCCTTCCGACGAAGCAGCGCAAGAAAGTGTACATTCAATTTATGGGCTATGAACCTGCCGGCTTGCCGAAGTCTCCAAATTTATATCTCTAAAATATCAAATAAGTACAAGTCCCGAACCACAGCTAGAACTTTTTTTTCCCCCAATGTTGGTCGAGAGCTTACCCACACCAAGGCTACCAACGTACTAGTAATCCGAACTCCGCCCTAGATATCACACTACTAGCAGCACGTCAACCGCATTAGTAGCAACCACTAGATCTATGGTGGCTGGCTAACTCCTCGAGAAGTAGATGTAGGCCGCCTGCTAACATCGAGATCACTGCCCTAAAGTCTTCGATTGGGAAGATCCTAATGAACAGAAAGGCCCTCCGACAAATGGGTAAAATTTTGACGCTTTTCTGTCTTTCGGTGAATGTGTAGACATGCGTTTGTGTCTCTGGGCCAGTCCGAGCACCTAAAATGGAAAATTGGCCCGTGATGACGTCGACTTGAGCATAGTGGAGAGTACATGCATGCAGATGGAAAAATCCAACTTGAGCTTCAATAGCTACTAAGTATCTATCAATAACAATGTCTCCTATAGCTATATAGGTACCGGTAGGTCAGTACATCTGCCTGTGAATAATAACAGAGCACCCGTGCTAAGTTTTGCCTAGGTATAATTGATGTCCACAGCAGCTATTTGTCAGGTGCCAACAGTCCGCCCAGCTGGCCAGCTAGCTTTGTGCTGCGGGGAGTGGTAATGACTAAGCACATACCCAAACTATATTCCGCCAATAAATATAACCGAATTTTCTTGAGCTTGGATCCCTCCTTCGAAAATTTCTCTCTCGCAACACGCGCGCCAGCTTCAGTAAGCTGGCAAGCCCGTCCACAACAAAACCATAGGTAAGTCGTGGCACGATTATTTCCTTCACATTTTCACTCTCTGTTGGATGATGTACCTAAAAAGCATGTATTACCTGATCATCACCTGATGTACCAAATTATCACCAAGATCTCTGACTACCAACGCCATCTTCTCATTCTTTGAGTGCCGCTTTTCACATCCCCAGCGAATTGAGAGCTAACATTCAAGCCCTATTCTTCTAGGTTTGTGTCGGGACTGCCGCGCGTGTCAAAACAATGGGTGCTGTACCCAAGCCTCCGAAGGCCCATTTCAACGTCCTCTACTTTGCAAGTGCAAGCTCCTTCACATCCAAGGAATATGACGTTCTGCCCGCGCCGCTCGCGATCGGCAAGTTATTCGATGCGCTGGAGGAGAGACACAGTGGCATCAAGGAGAGGATCCTCTCGTCTTGTCTCGTGACTGTCAACTTGAATTATGTCGATGTGCCTTCGAATGACAGCGAAGATGCGTCTTCAGAGGCTGGCGTCGTGATCCAGGAAGGTGACGAGGTCGCTATTATTCCTCCTGTTAGCTCTGGTTGATATTACAAGAGACCCCTTTCGTGCTATGTAGAAATATCCTTCAAAGTGATGATGGTCCTAGTTTTCTATAGTACTACTCGAAATTTCTAGAGCTTCTCTATCAATGCGTAGGACAACATGGTCATAATATGAGTTGATCAATGTACCTCCGCCCGCATTTCGGTATATGGATCACATTGTAACATACTAACTACTTTCACTCGTCAAGATTTTCCATGTTATACACAATGGTTAGTCTTGCTGTGGCTGATCAGCCAGGCTCAGAAGACACGTGGCCGCGTATATGCAACGATGGCTTCAGGCCTGATCGCTATTGTAATCGTGGATACGTCGCAGCTCAGCAAACATGGTATTACCTTTCTTTGATGTGGTGAGAGAGATGACACATCGTAGATAGAGAATGAGGGCACACTGGGACGTGAGATCAATATAGTATCTAGTTTAATACCAATGCCTAGATCCGCATGATAAAGACTTCCAACTACATAGTTTTATACAATCACAAATGAAGATTACAATCCTTGAGATAGCAATAGATAATCTCGGGCTCCAATAAAGACAAGCAGCCAGGATCTAAAACCCCTAAGCAGAATATGTGATTATGTGTCAGCCAGCAGTCACCCAATAAGCGAATATCAACTTCTCATCATAGAAGTATATTTATTCAATGCAAGAAGGCTTTCGAATAGCTATCTGATTAAATTTCAGCTTTGCATTGCGCTTCACCATACTCGCTACCCCTGCTATATATCCGAAGTTCTCAGTCGTAAAAACGTATTGAGCTACCACACGCAAACTATCAACAACTAGACACTGACAAAGTCTATTCATGCGAGCGATTCGCTGGCTGTATGGCTATGAATGATGAATGGGTACATGACAGACACAAAGTGATCAGATGCGATGCCGCCTAATGCTATGGGTTCCTATGTAGTAGCAATTTATGATGAATGTCTCTTTCTTCCTGAGGGAAAAATCCAACGCCAACATTACTGACAACGCCATTCTTTGCTTCTGTATTTGCTAGCCTGTTGACACTCAAATTGGAGTAACACCTGTTTCATTCCCTCATCTTGCGTGGGAACGAGTATGGATCATGCTGAACTGGCCCAAGCCTTTCGAGAAAGAGACAAACAGACTCATTTGTTCAAGAGAAGAGGGTTAACAGGAACTTTGGTTGGTCTAGCCCGAAGTTACGGATTTACCCCTCTGGTTCCCTTCTCGACCAGGCATGTACCTCACGCGTTGTTCGATAATTCAATCAACCTTTCCCCAACACGATGGTTGGCGTAGTCGTATGCCTTGGACCCAGGGGGGAAGGTGCCGTTAGTAGCCCATAAGTCGATTAATGGTTGCATGGGTTCCAACTCTTGCGGTTTCAACATATCGAGAGCACAAGCCGTCAGGACGAAGTGACTGAAACAACTGTTCAACTGTTTCTCTAGGCTGAGGTGGTAGAAGGGGTCGACGAAGTGGGCCCAGTAGAGGTGAGCGTAGACCCTGAACATCTGACGGAAGATGGTCTGGCAAACTTCGACGAAGTTCTCAGGGAAGCCACTCCGCTTGCCTATCCAGTCCCTGTCGCCTGGATTGGACAGCTGCGAGAGCGGAGCTGTGGTAATGGAGGGGTTGTGAGCGTAGGAAACGCCATTGGGGTCAGTCGGGAAGATGTTCGCATCATCAATCTTGCCCGAGATCCAGCGCTGCATGAGGGTGATGTATTCGTACGCTGGTAACTCAACGGGTTCGCGCCTAGCATTCAGCCATGTGAAAGAATGATTCCTATCTCATAATCAGCATACGCAAAAAAAGGATGGGTGTTCACCTGTACTCGAAGACACTTACGCGCCAGCAGACATCCGTGGGCAAGTTGATGAATTGCAGATGGTAGTTCCATCATCATCCTTCTCATGAATCACTCGCACAAAGTTCCATAAATTGCGATAATGTTCAACCACTATGTAGGAATTAGTCTTTGAGGCAAGAGCACTAGCTTGCAGGAGAGGCAATACCTTGATGAGCGATCCATTCTGCTTGCTCCACCGTCTTTGGCCTAGCACTTAAGGTCATGAAGTTGCCTTTGACAATATGCTTTGCATATGAGGCATTCAACCAGAGAGGCAGTGGCCGGGGTAGATGATAAGAATTGAGAACATCGTCCCCATTGGATGTGCCGCCGTTGGTATTATCCATGCCAATATTTTGAGTCAAGGGGACTGAGGTTGGAAGAGGTGGTATCCTCGGTGCCGAGCTTGCAGATGGCTGACTACCCGGAGTATTTTGAGGCACATCGCTAGGGGAGTCGGGCTGACTGGTGCTAGTAGGGCTCCGATTCTGGCCTGGAGCCCTCGCAGAAGTTCCCCTGAAGCGTGCGTTTCTATCTCATCATCAGTGCGCTGCCCACAGGTCTATCTGATGGGCATTAGGAGACTTTGGCTAGTGTCAAATCAAAGGAATGAAACAATAGGCTTCTGGTTTACGAACAAGCTGTATCGTCTTCAGAGCACAAGTTCTCTTGCAGATCCGGCTTGAGTAGCATAGTAGCAAGGACCTCATGAAAGTGTGAGAATGAAGGTTAAATGAGGCGAGTAGTGGAACCAAGGAAAAGACAAATGTAGGGATGGGCAAGATGAACAAATCAGAAGCATGGGCAAGATGTCTCAGGTCTCATGAATGGCATGTAATGTAGTGAACACTGGTCACTGATCTGGGTGCCGTTACCCCGGATAAAGAGACTGTGCAGAGGTAAATTGGGTGCCGAGGTGAAGTCAAAGATGTGAAGCTGCATGTCATCCCATTCTCCGGGATACCAGTCTTTGAAGGCTTATGGCACATAGCACATGGCACATGGTACATAATACAGCTAGGTTTGTGATGACGGGTAATAACCGGGTTCAAGGATATAGGAGGTAGTATGTCGGTATAGAATTGCAGAGAGATAGGGCAGAAAACAGCTGCGGACGGCACCGTGGAGGGGATGTACCTGCAAATGCAGGGACACAACTTAAGGACAGACACAACTTACATGCTGGAAAACATGTTGGACATGGTCACTCAGATGCCACAGTCGGGCGGGAAGCAAGCAGACTGTGAGAATCCTTTAGGGAGCCTGGAACGACAGGGCAAGAAAGACAGATTGGCCTCGGAGCTGTCGTTCTGGTCTGGGGATATATGGCAGGGCAGGTGTCTGTCCGTACTTTCGTGAGAGCTGGAGGTTCTGCAGCGGCAAGTGTGGTCGGCGGCGGCGGCGTGGGAACCGAGTTCTTTCATTCGCCTCTTGTGTTATCTGTGTCTGAAAAGGGGTAAAGGGATGGTGTTTGTCATGCCAACACGCTTCGTTTCGAGGTTCGGTGGCCTGCCCAATGATCGTCAGAAGCAGGCTGTCCTGGCCCGTTACATTAGTGCAGTATCACAGAAGCCCTACTAGACCCTACCCACCTGGCGGAACCTGGGAATTGCCCCGGCTAGCGGAGGTCGTCGATGGGTGGGACAACGGGTCTGAACAGGGTCTGGCTGAGGCTGTCTCGTCTGGTCTGTTTCGAGTGAAAGGCCGCCATGTTATCGATAAGGGGGCTGGGATGGCCAGCAAAGAGACGCGCTATTGAGCCTTTCAGTTTAGGTAGTCTAGCGCGTGTCGGTGGTAGGTATGGCGCAATGTTGAACTTAGGTACCTACCTGCTGCTACGCTACCTACACTTGCTCCGGTATGCTGGCTGGCTGGGTGCCATCGAATTGGAGATCCCATACCTCATCACCACCCAAGTCAATTCTTCTGCCTTGCTAAGCACTTTTCTACGGCTGGCACGCGTTATAATCCTTTACTAAAGACGCTGATTGTTTCGTCGCGAAATCGCTTACACCCAGCTTCACGGCGATCGATATTCATTCCTGACGAGTTTCTTACGGCTTCGTGCAAACTTCAATATCCCCACTGGGCACTCCCTAGCAGCCATTTGTAACTATGTCAGACTCTGAGGACCCAATTGACCTCGCCGACGAGGGGGGTGATGATTTGTTCGGAGATGACGATGCAGACCCGAAATCCGACCGTGAGCGCTACCTCAGCGACAATGAGCTAGCATCTAATGGAGGCGCCGCGGAGGATAATGCCATGGACTACGATGATGATGAGGCGGCACAGACTCAGCAAACGAAAGATGAGATTGTCATGGATATCGCATTGAGCAGGCATAGGAAGCCTAAGGTTAAAAACGGCACGGTAAGCCTGCCGACTCCTTAGGCGAACTGCCTCGAGACTGACACGCTTGTTAGCTGCAATCATTGAGAGTCCCCAGTTTCTTGAGTTTTCACGCCCGCGAATATGATCCGGATACTTTCGAGCCTACGCCATGGGATATGGAGAACGCAAGATCCGACAAGCCTAAAGGCGTTGTTCGGTTCCGCCGCGATTCTACGACGGGCGAGATGGCTAGCAACACTCTAATTCATAGATGGAGTGACGGTTCTTTGACAATCGCTGTCGGCGGCACTCATTACGAGATACAAACGAAGAAGATGGCCTCGTCCAGCGACAAGTACCAGGAAAGACAAGATAGTCATTACTACGCAGCTGCTCCACACTTTCTCAAGGATTCGCTTCTTACAGTCGGGCATGTCACTGAGCAGTACACGGTGCTCGTAAACCGAGACATGCAGGATGAGGCCACGCTCAAGCTCGCCGAGGATATGGCCGCAGCCGCACGAGGCAAGCGGCCGAACGAGAACGAGATGATCATTACAGCGACACGCGATCCTGAGCTCCAGAAGAAGGAAGCGGAATTGGCTGAGAAGGAGCGCATGAAAGCACAGCGACGACGCGAGAATGCTGCTGCACGAGTCGACTCGCGCGGCACTGGTTACCGAAGCGGTGGCCTCTCGGTGAATGATTTGGAAGGGGGGCGCAGAGGCACCGGTGGTTCTCGGAAGCGAGGCGCAGGTGGTGCATCTCGCGCGAAGCGACGCCGACCCGAATATGATTCAGACGACGACCTCCCGTCGGGCACCCGTCGCCAAGATGAATACGACCGTGAAGATGATTTCATCGCACCGAGCGATGACGATATGGCCAGCGAGGCTGAAGATGATGAAGAGGAAGAAGATCTCTTGGATGACGAAGAGGAGGAGGCGCCACGCAAGAAAAGACAGAAGACAGCGGAATCCGAAGAGGACGCTGACGCGGATGCTGATGCCGATGCCGACCTGGACGATCTGGATGCGCCTGCCCCGACTGAACAGTCGAGGTCAAGGAGACGCAACATCATCGATGATGACGATGAATAATGAAGTCTGATGCTAGGGCTAGGGCTAAGGCTGTTATAGCTATTCTAGCGATGGTCAATATTGCAGACACGAGAGAAGAAGGGGCTTTTCTGTACAATAACACATTCTTCATGCGCTTAATATGCAGCTGTAGCTTTTGCCTCAGAGACTTCAATCGTCTGGGAATATATATACCCCTAACTAAACAATGATGCATGCTGCGGCTTCGAGTATTTCAAGTTTTTTTTTTTTTTTTACCAGTTTTACTATAACTACAGGTAGCCAGATGTACGATAATGCAAACCTCATAGCCCGTAATCCTTTTCTAAATCAGCGTGAGAAAACGGAATGACGACCTGCTTACCAAGAGGACATTGACATTTGATCGCAAGTCTGCGCAGCCATATGAGGTTGTTATGTAGGTAACGACAAGAAGTGAGTGTAGGTAGGTACGGTCAAAGCGCGAATATTCGAGTGGATCATCCCGCGCCTTTCACATGCTTGCTTACTTAGCCAGCATTCCCGTCTCGAGCCGAGCTAGATCTTTAGACCTCGTGGCGTCATCGTCAACATGCGAAAAGCCATGGAAAGAATCAAGTTTAAGTAGATAGATACCTAGATCGCTTCCATATCAAGCCTATAATGGACTTCTCTTTCCCTGACTGACGATATATGCCCCTCGCGCAGTCTTGATTCCGTCGGCCTTCAAGTTCACGCTGGCGTCAAAGAGGCACGCAAGCATGGCGGGCCATTATTCCTCCCTTCATTAGCAACTTGAACATCGACAACGCCATCGCCCATGAATTTCGCTCCATTGACATACACATTCGGATAATCTCAGTCGACGCACCGCTGCAAACATGGCTCCCGTATTTGGCGTCTTCATGGCTGTCTGCCGCATGCTTCTCGATGTCTTCCACTACTGGCACCACGTATGTATTATAAGCTTGGATTGACCTGATCGTGGCAAGCTGACGCTTTTGGCGTAGAAATTGGTCCTTCAATGGGGAACCAAGACCCTTTTTGAGGAAAATATGGATAAGCTGCATCACGCCGAAAATTTCGAGACCTGGGAGGACGCAGCCCAGCAGCTAGATATTCACAAAAGGCTAGATCGTTGGTAGGTAGACAAAACTAATTTCTGCTTCCACATCCCATACAGCATACAGCCCCGTTACTTACAATCATCTACGGGCATAGGCGTGAAGATGACGCGTCTCCTTCATACGATTCCTGGCTGATCAGTGACCGACTAAACTCCATCTATATGGCTCGCCAAAACAACGATATCCAGTCCCTCGTCGAGCTCGTTCGCTCTGGCCTGGTTCGCAACTTGGGAAATATAACTGCCCCAAAACTTTACAATAAATCTTTTGCAGGCACGAAGCTCTTAATCGAAAAATATATACCCTCAGTAGCCGGTGCAATTCGCGACATTGTCGCCGAAGACGCTTCGGCCCCGCGTAAGAAGCAAACCAACGTCTTCGCACTGTCTACACAGAACAAGTTAGACTTCTTGCACGACGCGAGACAAGCTTTCGGACGAACCACGCTGGTCTTGCAAGGCGGTGCTATTTTCGGTTTATGTCATGTCGGTGTTGTGAAAGCCTTGTTCTTGCGAGGCCTCTTGCCCAGGATCATCACAGGCACAGCTACGGGGGCCTTAATAGCAAGTCTTGTGGCAATTCATACAGATGATGAACTCCCAGCCGTTCTTAAGGGCGACGGGATCGATCTGTCAGCCTTCACGGCCCACGAGGCGCTGGTGAGCCGTAAAGATGGGCGGCCGCCACTTGGAAGTTCTAGATGGAAAACACTTCTGCGTAGAATCATGCGATTTTGGCGCGAAGGGTACTTCCTCGATGTCAAGGTTCTCGAAGAGTGCGTCAAGGCAAATTTGGGAGACATGACGTTTGAAGAAGCGTATCAGAAGAGCAAGAGAATATTGAACATAACAGTAGCCCCGGCGACCCAGTATGATGCTCCAATGCTTTTGAATTATATTACGGCACCGAACGTTGTAAGTTTTGTTACCGTCCTCCTTACTCGGTGTCCACTGAAAAATAGTATCAATAATATTAACAAATTGATCATAGTTGATTTGGACGGCAGCCGTTGCATCAAATGCTTCGACGCCCACAATCTACGGGAAAAAGCAGACTGAAGTGCTGTGCAAAGGTCCCAACGGCAGTATTATACCATGGATGTCGCCCGAGTGGACGAGCTCCTCGGATAAGGCTCACAAGTCACCCTTAGCAAGGATCTCGCAACTCTTCAACGTCAACCACTTCATCGTCAGCCAGGCCCGTCCTTATATGATCCCATTCCTCGAGTCTGACATGCATGGCCCCTCTCTCTACACTGCTCGCTCACAGGCTCATCTCCCAGGTCATCTGTTTAGGGTAGTAGGGATGGAGATACGCCATCGCATGAAGCAATTAGATATGCTGGGGCTCTTGCCGATGGGTATACGACGATTTCTCGTGGACGAAGATGTGCCTGGGGCGAGCATGGTCCTGGTCCCGACCGTCACAGCCTCTGACTTCGTGCGGCTCCTCGAGACACCCACGCGAGAGATGCTGGATTACTGGATCCTACGAGGCGAGCGAAGCGTGTGGCCCGCTGTGTGTGCACTGAAGGTCAGATGCATGGTCGAATACGACATCGAGAGTGCCTATCAGCGAGCTCGACGTCTGAAGGCCGGGGGGCTTAGGAGAAAGGCGAGCACGGTAGCTGCTGGTGCCATGATGTATGCTAAACCTCCCTCTACATCTACACAAGGGAACGCCGACATATCGAGTAGCACCGCGATGAATGAGCTAGTCACTTCACAGGACCTGGAACCAGGAGCCAATTGACGAAAAATACGAAAGCGGAGAATGAACGGGGGCTCGGTGCCATATGACCTTCTCCACCTAAAGCAGCTGATTGACCCTATTCCTTATTCCACTTATTCGCATGCAAACATCAGAGAGCCAGCCTTTCCTTAGCTGACTCATTATAAGCTAAGCAACCAGAGGCTTAGCTATTCCCGTATGTCTAGCTAGTGAGTCAAAGTGCCTTAACGTTTTTTTAAGAAAGCGCCGCCGCTGGCTATCTAGTCTCCTTGGCCAGATTCAGCCCGGGGGGCTCGGGGCCCGACAGAGGCATCAGTTGTCACAACGCACAACATGCGCCATATCATGCTTTTGTTGCCACGATCATGTATTATTGGCTGTCTTCCCGACTTGAGACATGTATGCACGTCCTCCGGTGCCGGAGCTTTGTCTTAGATTATTTGAGCGATGGATTCCGTGTAGGAGAGTGGCAGTTCCAGTATGCGGTTGTCTGAAGACTATTTGCTCCAATCTCTCTTTATTTCCCCTTTATTGTTTATATTGAGGTTGAATTTGCGGTTCCGGTTACCGCGCGTCTGTGTGCATGGCGCTGTCGAATATCGACCCTTCGACTTTTGAGTTGGGACAGTCCCTTCCTCCTCGTGGAGCACAGTCAGTATGCTCCTGCAACATACTCGAGAGGGCACGGTTTAGTGAATTAATGCTAGAGTGAAAACAGTACTATCACAACTCATCTGCCGGGCTGGGAAGCTATCGAACGCTTTCGTGATCGCGATGTGTCTATCCTTGAAAGCCTCAAGTCCCTCTACCCTCGGTTTTTCCCCTTTGGACACTCGGCGGCTGTGAGTTCCTCCTCATTTATTAATAATCAAGCCATGGCTATAAAACACGAAAGTCACAACCATCCAATCGCGCCGTATTCCTTATGGTTGTGTAGTTTATGGTTTTGGATATTGGTGTGTACGTATGTATACGATTTGCAACTAATGAAATCCGTATAGCTCTGCCAAGCTATAGGCGAGAGACTCCCTTTACCGGAAGGCTATAGGTGTTCTCCCTTTGTGTCGCGAGACGCATGGGCTTCCAGCGAGAGACACGCGACATCGGACTTTCGTAAGCAGCTGCGTCTGGAGGTCTCAGACCTCCGATACTACGTCGTCGAAGTCGCTGGCGTGAGACTCTTCGTGCTCGCGTTCCCGCAGGCCAAGGCCCCGTCGGCTGGCTTCCAGTGGGCTCATGGCGGGTTGATTGTTAGCACGCGCCTTGCGGAGGCATTGCTTTCTCGAGTGGACTCTCTCGTTTATGTCGGCGAGTTCCCTGGGGGTGTCGGCGCTCCTGACCCTACGTTTTTGCCTGAGGGGAACTGTCATCGGGAACTGCGGGAACGGATCGCGACTCTCTTGATGCGGGCTTGTGTTCGCGAACACGGGAAGAGCGTCGATGCTAGCGATGTCTATCTCTATCAGGTCAGTCTTATGTTGTCATTTGGCGTGTCTCGGGGATAGGTTGTGCTTGAGTAGGGGCGGCTGTGCTTCCTTTACGACCAGTGTATTTGCACCTCGCGAAAGAATCCAGGGTCAAATACTATACACAAGTATTCACTAACGCTGAGTTTTCAAATAGACGGGTATGGCAAGCATTACCAGGCTGCTGGAGGGTATTGAGCAGCTACGCGCTGGTCCGGCGATCATCTTTGGTTCCGTATTTCATAGCACCTATTACACATTCGAAGATAGCCAGGGAGGTTTGAAACATTATGGTCGTGCGGATACTTCGGATTTAGATAATTTCGAAGAATACCTTGCAAGAGGGGGGCAGTGCGCATGTGTTTTCACCGAGTTCCCTAGTAACCCGCTTGCAGTCGGCGTGGATTTGACAAGATTACGAGGACTGGTATGTTATTCATCTTCCGCATTTCCTCCTTTATCGTCGGAGAGGCTCGGACAGTTCTTAGTGCTCTAGCGCGCTAACTATCATAGGCTGATAGATATGGCTTCTTCCTCATCGTAGACGACACTTGCGCCTCGTTCGCCAATATGGATCTTCTAGGTGTGGCAGATGTCATCGTAACGTCGCTGACAAAGGCGTTTTCGGGTTACGCAGATGTGATGGCTGGCTCTGTGGTGCTGAATCCAAACAGCGCGCATTTTGCTACCCTGAAGGAAGTAGTGTCATCACGCTTCCACAATGAGCTCTTCGAGGCAGACGTAGTGCACCTACTATCGAATAACGAGAATTACCTGGCACGGTGTATGATTCATAATCGCAACGCCAGCGCGTTGGCATCGTATTTCCAGTCTCTTGCTCTGGACCCCTCCAGTCCAATTACCCGCGTCTGGTATCCCCCCTATTCTCCAGGATCGGATTACCTCAAGTCGTTCCTGCGAAAGTCGACTGCCGAGTACCCTGCGCCAGGATACGGATTCCTATTGAGTGTGGAGTTTGAAACATTAGAGCTCGCTACTACTTTTTTCAACGCCGTAAACTTCTTTAAAGGTCCCCATATTGGTGCTCATCTTACTATTGTTGTGCCTTTCAATCATTGTGAGTACCTTCCAAGGCCATTCTCTTCTTGTTGCGATGAGTTCATAGAGGCGAGGACTCCGGTTAGCACCATTTTCCCTGACTCTTTCCACACACGCACACATACAACGGCATTGTGTTAAATCACCTTTGCATTGGAGACTTCTAACTCACGATCTAGTGGTTTGGGGCAAGAATGAGCCCGAACGACACGCTTCGTACGGATTGAGGCCGCAACAGATCCGGATAGCGGTTGGCCTAGAGGACCAGGAAGTTTTGGTGAGGAGATGCACAGAGGCGCTGGAGAAAGTAACAAAAGTTGCAAGGAAATAAGGCCTTGTGTCCAAACCAAGAGGTCGAATAGCATATGGCAAATCATTTGGCGGCATTGAGCTATATCAGTTGGCCTTGACAGGTGCCTCAGCATAACCTGATATTTCTCGACAGCCCCTTTCTAGGAAGATCCCACAGCACGGGCTTGTGGCGCATAGACGAGGTTATGAACCCTAAGATTAGATCTGCAAAGGTTTATGCGGATAGTAACCAACTTTTGATGTTTCCACAGTCTACCCAAGCTTCAGTCGGAGACTGATTCGTTTCGTGCCTGGCTTGTTGGCCATTGGTCCTCTATGATCCCTAAAACCACCTACCCAAATAGCGGGAACGCTCTGGGGTCGAGGCAGAACCCCGCCCCCTTTTATCTTCATGACACGAGATACACAATAGGGGGGGGGGGTTTAAATGCTAGCAAATAATTGTAACAATATTGAGCTAGCACGTCCCTCAATGATCTTAGTGAGAAGGAATAGGATATGCTACGTATGTACACAATGCTGTGTGGTGATAGCATCAGCCCCACACAAGGTATGTTGCAACAACCAGGTTCCAAAATCTCAGATACCGAAGGCAGACACTAGGAATGATCAGATGGATATCCCACCCAACTGCATGACAGCCTCTTTTCGAGATATATAATTAAGAATACTATTGATGTTCCTTTGACCCCCTATGATGATACTCGCGTAGGACTTGGTGGTATTCGAAGGTTTCCACAGGAGTATGTGTACTTGTAAATCCTATTTCAAACCTCTGTAGTCGCTCAATAATCAAACAATTCTAGATTAGGATTTACCTTGATTATTGCTTAGATTGAAATGTAACATACTCAACCTTTTCTACAGACATGTAAAGTGTCACGACAGTGTTTATATGCCCGGCAGAATGCAGTAAGGCGCAATAAATCACAATATTGTCACCATATAAGATGATAGAGTTGTTTGTTAAGCAACACTGGAATCGGTATGAGGAAGAGGGAAGGGGGGAGAGTAATAAACACTAGCATACAACAAGAGTGCTATGATTCGATGTTCGTGTTTTCACTACCCATTTTAATACTTGTAGTACGAAGATACGAGCCATATTGTCTAGATGCAGATCACAGGTGAGCCTACGAGGCTAGAGGTGTCTAGGCTGCAAACTCGAGTTGGATTTCCGTAGCCAAGGTGTACCTTCGACACTGAATTCGACATTTGTAGAGGCTTGCCATCAAAGTAAGCTGTCTATTCCAACTCAATCCTGTATTCATTATGATACACACAAGTAAGTACTGCTTGTCATCGGGCTATTGTCGGTGCTTCATGTAGTTTGCTGCAGTTATGAGTTGGCTAGCAGCCCCAAGGCTGTAGAAAAGGGACTAATTGGTGCCTATTCATTGCTGAATCCTGTCCCAGTCCCATCCATGACAGTCCTTGGCCAGTGTCACAGTGGTTTGCTTCACCGGGACGGCATTATAGCGTTGATGCCCCTCCCATACTACTATCTCATCTAGACCAAGCATATTCCCTACCCCTACAGCAAAGGATTGACGACGAGATGCATGTGTTATCATAGTCCTACAAACAGACCATGTTAGTTGATCAGGTTCCATTTTCCACTACATCTAGCTCCAAGTCTCTTATTCCAGTGGAATCTCTCGCAGAAATTTTGGTGCACATGCTAACTCTATGGCCCTGCTTTGGGAATATTGTAGTCTAGTTCTGGAGCCCACTAGCTTTGTGGCCTCCATTAAGGTCAATGATAGTTTGGGTTGCACACCCCAACGCCAATGGCTACCAAGATTGATTCCTCGTTTCACAATGGTGATTGGGTGCTGCATTTTGGATTCGGGTGCATACCACTCGAAAACTGGTATCTACTCATTGAAGCATTCAACCCAAACCCAGGGCGCTCGGATCCCATGATGGTCTTTTGGACTGATGAATTGTTGCAAACCATATTGAGATACCTGACCAATGTCATTGGGTATTACTATTCTACAACAGACTAGTACTCAAACCCACAGACTAAAGAGAATGTCGGAGACGAGTAAATGCAGCTGAAGGGCCGTGCTGCATGGATCGGTCTAAGGTATAATTGCTCAGCCCTCTCACCAAGCTAGCTAATCAAACCAAACATCCAATTTGAAGAAGGGATGGCGTATTGGATTGGCCAGTTAATCACCACGATTTTTCACAAGCGAATAATCGTTCATCTGACAGGTAATGAGCAATCTCGGCCTAGGAGGTAAGTATTCTCTTGAACTCGCTGACTGGCAGGAATAGGGCAAGGGAATTACCTGTCCACTATCCCATTACCGTAAACATCCTCCCCACTTGCGCCCTAGGGAATTGCCTCTTTTCACAGACACCGTCTGTCATTATTTGTGTACTCTCTTGCTCCCTCTTGCTCTCTCCTTCTCCCTCTTCTCCTTATCTCATATCTCATATCCGGGCTATTCTTTATGCCTCCTCTAGACACGCGTTATCTCAAATGCAGAACTGCATAACGATAATACCTAGAACCTAGTGACGAGGCAGTCAGCTCTGAACCCAAGCAGCTACACTCAGCTATCCCACTACTCGCTGGTTCTACACGTCGCCTTCGCTCTTACATCTTCTATACTCACAACAAGCCGCTTGAACTTAGCTCCATAGCCGCCATCGTATGCAAACCTACCCATCAAATCTATTCGTGGCTCTCGACAGTATGTGCTTCGTTGAATTCCTCGCTTATCTCTGCGGGCACGCCTCAGTGGGTGTCAATCGCGCCTGCCCTCTGACAACACACCTATACAACAACCCATGCTGCAATAAGCCGGCAACCCGCCCTTTCCTTGTGAATACAATGTGTCACCCTTGCAACCGGGTCATGCATGGAAGGCAAGTCGACATTGCCGAGGCCGAGCATCGCTGGATGCATGAGCGCGGAGCCTGCGGTTGCGAGGTGATATTCCCCGGTTTACAGCAGCCAAGGCTTATGAAGCGGCCGTCTATTGACGACGATGAGAATGCTACTGGCTTAACGACGAAAGCGGCGGCCGGGGTTGGCACCTCAGCTGGTAGTCCTACTTTTCCAGCACACACCACGCAACCAAACTACCAGGGTCCAGGGAAAGGGGTCGAAATGCCACTGTACAAGGAAACTGCAGTTGGAAACAACGTCGAGGTCGCCGTTCGACTCGGCAGTCTGTATGGCGCTGAGTGGACAGAGGACCACGCCAAGCTTCACAAGAGCGGTAGATGCAAGTGTCCTGTCAGCTTCGAGAGATACAAGCCTCTAGATACCAGTGATTGTCAAGGTGAGACAAGGAGAGCTTAGATTTGGACTGACTTGAACTTATATGTGACTATAGACGAGACATATAACCTTGGCCGAGATCATTCGGAATCGCTGAACCAGACTTGGGAGACTCAGTACGACTTATCGTCATCTATGGACAGTCACAATCCCAACGCTCACGCTGTTGTGGCGCCTACATACACTGCCTATGCGGGAACTTCGAGTACAAATAATAACGCAGCCAATGACTCCCAGTATCGACCTGTATATAACCGGCTTCCTTCTGGACCAGTGACGCAGTATCCATACGGATATAGCCAGACTGCCTCCGGGAATTTCGCGAGGTGGACTGCCGAAGGCCCTCAGAAATCACTTCTTGACGAGATACTCGGACCGACAAGACCCGATGCTTCCCGGCATGGAGAGCGCACCTGGGATGCCCAGACGATGCATTACCCCAACGTCGGTACCCCGATTGCTGGCGTCCCAATTGCTTGCGGAATAGCACAAGAGAGTGCGTTCGCTTCGGCTGTCGAATTTCCACAGCCTGAAAGAACTATTGCCGGATTTCCCATCGGCGCCGGCCCGGAAGGAGAGTCTCATGCCGGAGATTTCGAGGCATGCTCTCTTAATTCATCAAACACTGCAGACTCGCCAGTGAGAAGACGCCGGTTGTCGTCCGAGTTTTGATTTGACCTTTCCAGCGAGGTCGAGAACTCGATGATTGACCCGAACAGAGAGTCATAGGGCTAGATCTTACGAAGCTATGCGCGGCCATATCATGATCAAAGTATCAATACGTTACCAGAAAAGTAATCATCGAGTTTTGTCACGTCACTTCGAAAGCAGAGACGTGACTAGAGGCTTCATATCAAGGAACGGAAAGGGGAAGGGGTCACAAAAGAGAAAAGTTATCCGCGCTAATCATGGTCTTGATGCTTACGAGCAAAAGAGACAAATCACATTCCATATTCGCATATCTACACGTTTTCCATGAAATTTATTTACACCGCATCGTCTATGCTTACGATTTCCAGACTGCTTCACGCCATACATACTGCATTTACCCTTTATTCGAACGGCGAGAAGGCAAAGGCATACAGAACATAGACAAAACAGTTTTATGGGCCGAGGGCTCGGTAAGATAGATTCCCATACCCAGATCATCTATGTATCTTAGAGAGGATTCCATACGGACGCGACCAGCAACCAACTGCGATTCCCTCACGAACCGGCACGAGTCACGGCATTCCTAGACGACCCACGATTCCTCCCAACGTTATTTGCTTATTTCCACATCCCGTCTTTTTTTCTTTCCTGCTCGGTAACAGCAGTGACATGTCCATTGGGGCCAACACATAATGATATCAGAACTATCTATTCTAGCACAAACCTAGAATAATCAGAGGAAGCTGGGGGCAAAGCAGGAAAAAAAAAACGAGATAGCGAGGGATATAAGGAAGGTCTAGCTTAAGGACCGGAGACAGACCTTGTGTCTAGCTAACCATCATATCCATCTCTACTTGGGGCAAACGCTTGAGCATGGGATTTAAGCTGAGAATCTCCAAGCCAAGTTGCAGGTTTACGGGAGATGTGAAGATGGAATGGCATGCATTATCAATAGACAAGCAGCGGTTACGTGTATTTCTAGCTGAAAGTTAATTGCGTTGCATTCTTGAACCGATTCTCAATGAACGTGCTCTTTAACTGTGATTCCCGTGGCACTTGATCGGGCCATAGTGGTGTAAAGTGGTGGACTTTTCGTCCCACATGTGCTCGGCTGTTCACTCCCAACACTGACTACATTCCGGTATGGACAAGAATAAAAGGCATGAGAAATTTGTTTACTTTGTTACTAACTACCTCAATTTTCATTATGATTCCATGGGCCCAGCGAGTAACATGCTACTAACTAGGGCCGACCTATAATTGGCCATTACTGAATCTTCCTTCACGTGAATTGTCACTCATTGCTCAGCACAATGTAGCATACGATGATGAGGAATATGTAAGTGATCATATATGCATATAGTTACTAGACACCTCGTGCCTGACACCCTCCAAGGGGTGGATAGCCTCTATGATGTGCGCATCTCGAGTAGAGTCTCGATCACTGCGCTTCTTGTCTCCGGCTATTGTACATATGAAAAGGGAAAGCGCAGATTCAAATGCATTTCAAGGTATCTATTTATCTTGTCTATCCTTTTCAGGTAAATCACCTATCAACCTCACCTATAGAAAAGTTAGCAGAGATACCTTGTGAACATTCTAGTGGATGGGGACTCACCGAACACCAGGTCCATGGTACCAATAACAGCGACAGCATCAGCCAAGAGATGGCCTCTTGCGACTTGGTCGAAACCACCTAAATGAGCAAAACCAGGGGCTCGGATGGAGCATCGGTACGGCCGCTCGCTGCCGTCACTGACGAGGTAGACGCCCATTTCTCCCTTCGGCGCCTCGATGGCCGAGTATGTTTCACCCGGAGGTACGGCGTAACCTTTAGTATATAGGAGGAAATGATGGATGAGGGCCTCCATGTTCTCCTTCATAGCTGTTCGCGGGGGTGGTGAGACTTTGTAGTCCTCAACCCGAACGGGGCCAGCGGGCATCTTGTTCAGGCACTGGTGGATGATACGCAGCGATTGCCGGAATTCTTCCATGCGGCACAAGTATCTGTCATAACAATCGCCGTTGATGCCGACGGGTACGTCAAACTCGACCTGGTCATAGGCATCATATGGTTGACTCTTCCGAATGTCCCACGGGACACCAGATCCACGCAGCATAACACCGGTGAAGGACAGGTTGAGAGCGTCGGTCGCAGGGACAACACCTACACCCTTTAATCGTTGAATCCAGATACGGTTATCTGTAAGCATTTCTTCGGTCTCATCGATACGGTCACCAAACTGAGTGGCCCATTGGTAAATATCGTCGAGTAGGCCAACAGGGATGTCTTGATGGACACCGCCGGGTCTAACATAGGCAGCGTGCAAACGAGCGCCTGAAACACGTTCATAGAATTCCTGTGATTGCGAATTTTACATTAGCATGCTGTAGTCGAAGGAGTTGTATATGATGACCGGATGGGTTTTGATGCCATGAGCTTGAACGTACCATCAACTTCTCACGTTCCTCGAAACCCCACAAGAAAGGTGTCAACGCGCCAACGTCCATGGCATGGGATAGGACGGACATGAGGTGGTTTAGAATACGGGTAATCTCGCCGAACAGGGTTCGAATCCACTTCGCTCTCTCGGGAATCTCGACGTTGAGAAGCTTTTCAACGGCCAAGGCGAAACATTGCTCGTTGGTCATCATGGAGACGTAATCAAGACGGTCGAAGTAGGGTAGGGCCTGCAGATACGTCTTGTACTCGATCAACTTCTCGGTGCCTCGATGTAAAAGTCCGACGTGAGGATCGGCGCGAATGATCTCCTCTCCGCTAATTTCAAGAATAAGACGCAACACACCGTGGGCGGCGGGATGCTGGGGGCCGAAGTTGACGGTGTAGTGACGGACCTTGCGGTCATTGATGCTATTCTCTCGCGAGGCCTCGATGGCGCCCTCGGCGTTCTGCATACGCTGCAATCCATAGGGATCGGCGGGATGGGCGAAGTCAGGGTCGACGGGTGTGAGGGTGGTGCGCTGAGGCAGCTCGTTGGCGGCACGCAGAGCAGTACGGGAGAAGGCGCGGATGGAGGAGGTCGGTCGTGCAAGCTGCAGGCGCCTGGCACCGCAACCTGCGATGCGGTAGAGCGACGCCATCTGCGTGTTTGGCCGGTCAATTGGCAGCGGGTTTGTTCATCGAGCTCGGTGGCAATGACGCTCTATCTAACTCGAGGAGCCGGAGGTTTAAGCTCTGGAGACCCCCAATTGGAATTAATGTGCTCGTCATTGGACCGCCACAATATTGTTCCGGCTCCACCGCTCGAACGGAGACCCACCTAAAGGTATCTCTACATATTAGGTACCTATACCTGACCTATGATTTCACCAACTTGTCAATTTCGCCTCTTGCTTCAATGATGCTGATGATGCTAATAGCAAACGTTAACACAAGTAATTTTGTCTGGAAACCGAAATGCGCGATTTGGATTGGTCTGCTAGATTCTCTAAAGAACAAAAAGCTATCTATTCATGTTCATGCATGCCCAACACTACCATAAGCTGACTTCATTTATCTACCACTAAGTAGGTATAGTAGCCTGATAAGCCAGAGATGAAGTTGAAAGACTAAGTTTCTCTTGGGAGGCTATCAAGGTAGCTCTTTTTCGCAGTGTCAAATATCCTCTTCACCTCAGCAGCCGGGATCTTCTCCTTCCTGTCAAAGGAATATACCCCGTTGACTTCTTGCTCAATGTCGGATCTAGAAAGTGATCAAAATGAGTACAAGAGCCAAGAAGAGCGGAAGTAAAATAATGGAATGATCCAAGACCAAAGGAGAACTTACAGCTGGGTATACACGAATCCAGTCACATGGCTTCCCTGACAAACCGCCTTGACGAGGGCGTCAATGCGCGTCAGGAGGTCACTCGCGTCACTGGCTGTTGTATATCCCCAATCACCACCTCCTCCTTGGGGTTGAATCTCCCCGCTTTTCGCGCCGGTAGGTGCAATGTTGACGCCGGCGAATTCGGTGCAAATGACCGGAGCCCCAGGACGATGCTTGGTACCGGGGTCGACTTCCCCAATGGGTCCCAGGAACATCGGCCGCCCGGCCCAGGCTCGATCAAGTGTTTTCTCAAGGGTTGCGCATGATTCTGAAAGAGCTGGCGCGTCTGAGTAGTCGTGAAACGTACTTAAATCTGTTAACACATGCTCCCAACCGCAATTGTCGTTGACAGGTCGCGTAGGATCGAGAGTCCTATTATCGTCTAGTTAGAATTATGCCAGGAGGGAGAGGGGGAGAAGAGAAAAGCATACTTGGTTAGATAATATAGTGAGCGAACATGGTTGCGCTGCTCGATATTATCCTTAAGACTTGGATAACCCCAGGACTCATTCACAGGAGTCCACGTAATGACAGAGGGGTGGTTAATGTCACGCTTCACAGCTTCGGCCCATTCTTGGTTCATTCGATCCTTATACTCGGCGCTGAACTCATAAGCATTTGCCATTTCACCCCATACCAGATATCCTAGCTTATCAGCCCAGTACAGAAATACAGGGTCCTCGACTTTCTGGTGTTTCCGGCATCCGTTGAATCCCATCTTTTTCGCAAGCACGATGTCCTCCTTTAGACTTTCTTGACTAGGCGGTGTTAGACCCGTCTCAGGCCAATAGCCTTGGTCGAGACATAGTGCTTGGAAGAGCGGTTTGTCATTGAGCCGGAATGTACCGTCGCCCTTGTTCCAGTCTAGATGTCGGAACCCGGTGTATGTCTTGACCTCATCAATGACTTTACCCTCCGAATCATACAATCGGATAACAAGGTCGTAAAGAGTGGGATAATCTGGCGACCAAACGGCTAGTTTGCCCTTGTACCAAAAATCGGGGTTATCATAAGATGCCACGCTAGTTAGAGACGGTGGTGCACGCCGCTTTTGATCTTCACTTAGTACTAGTGGGAGTTTCACATAAGTAAAGTCTTTGTCTTTGGGTAGGCTTTCTCTCTTCTTTCCGATTGAATAACCTTGGAGGCTTCCTTCGATCTCGACGCTATAAGCGTGACCTGCTCGTCGTCCGACAACAGCCACTTCCGCGTCGAGAACGCCACCATGAATATCGTTTGATTTCAGTACCGTGCCCGCGCTACTATTGCCCAGGCGGGTAGCCGGGACTACCTCCAGAACGACAGGTTGCCAGATGCCGCTCGATGGAGTATAGAATATACTTTCGGGCTGAGGCGCCCAGTATTGCTTCCCCCGTGGCTGGCCAAGATCATATGGCGAGTCCACCACACGTAGAACTAGCTGTAGCTCGCTTTCCCCTGTCCTTTGTCGAACAATATCTAGAACATCCGTAATGTCAACATCGAAGGGGACATGTCCACCCCGGTGCTTGCCGACAAGGTATCCCGACAGCCAGAGAGTAACGCTGTAATCAACGGCACCGAAACGGGCAAGCACACGGTCGCCAGCATCGACCTCGGCCTTGGCACGGGGGTCCGAGACCGGCCGTTCGTACCACAATACCTCGTGGGCATCCTTTTCATAGAGACCTGAGGCTGGCGTCTGAAATGTGAAAGGCACGTTTATAGGCTTCTTAGTATTCTCACGAATTTTCTCTTTCCTGGCCTCAAATCCTTTCGCAATGAGCTCGGGAAATGCGGCAAGTCGCTGGGCTTCCGCCTCGGCATCGGCGCTGCTGGAGGCCGAAACGGTGGTTACGGAAACCTTATCAGGTACGCCATTTATATGCCACAGCTCCTTCAGCCCGACATCTTTATCATCGAAAAGGACTGTCCACTGATCATTAATAGGTGCCCATCTGTGATTCGTATGAACGAAGTCAGGCCGAGGGTAAGCGTCCTTTGACTGGTAGGCCATATTTTGCTCCTTGACTGTTCAATTTGATTGATCGAGGTTGGTTGAGATGAGAAGCGAGGGAAGATAGCTGACTTAGATTACAATTGATTCTAACCTATGAGTCCCAATTCGGGGAATTGCTGTCCCTGAAATCATTGTTGCACCATGGTACGGCTTGCGTGTCAAGGCCCAATTCTGTGCCGGTGGTCTGACGTCATGCACGACGGGATGCACTGAAATCTGGACCATCTGCACCTCAAAGAGTAGGTATAATCAATAAAATGGAGAGCTGCCCATACTATGTTTCCACAAGACAGCGACTAGCAGATAGAAAAGAGAAGAACCGATATGCAGTGAGGGGTAGTGATAGATGGTGAGATTTGATCGATACTCTGTTGTTGTCCAAATCTTGGACTTCTTACGAAACGGAAACTTGCGTTGTTCGTAGGATACATTCACTGTCCGTCGGGTGTCATTAGTGCTAGCACCGCCAGGCCAGCGTAAAAATTCATACATCTGGAGGACCAGCAGACGATTGAAGGTCAGCAGTTAGTGTGTATTGATTTCTCTGTTTCGTTCTATATCAAGCAACGACATGCATTACTATTTGTATGAACCTGACAACTCCTTGTCATCGCTTAACCTGAACGCCAATATGAGAAGGGCCACAGTCTCTGACAGCCCCCTTTAATCCACCTTTAAATTCGATTCTTAAGAGATGCCTGTAACGCGCCTCACGCTCTTTCTCGCGCCCTCTCCAGTGATCATGATGATGCCTTCCATTTCCAGCGCTCTCATTGTCTCTGCAAAGTCGGATGGTTCGACTGGTATACTTGCCCCTTCGTTCAATTTTCTGCTCACCTCGCTAAACCTTACGCTTTGTCCGCCGCTTGTCAACTCATCCAACAAGCGTAGGGCCGCATCTTTCAGTTCAGCTTTGCGTTTCCTTTCTGCTGCACTCGTACCTTCAGTAAGAAGACTCATATCAATCCGGCCTTGCGAATCGGTGGCAGCAGTCTTTAGTGCAGACTGAATGAGGCGTTCAGCTTCTAGAACATCAGCCTTGGTCACAGTCTGTGATAGCCGCATTTTGGCATGAGCCTCGGCAAGCCGAATCATGGATTCTAGTTGACGAGTGGTAGCCGTAATACGTTTCTCTGCGGCGCGAACATCTTGACCTAGCTTACGCATATTGACATAGGCTTCGACAAGGGCCTGCGACGCATCCTGTGACAGTGTGGGATGTATGTGGGCGCGAGCGTATGAGATGTAGGCAGTCAAAAACTCGACGGGCTAGTAATCGTTAGCTGTCTGCTTAGATAATTTGGGGCAAAAAGAGATAAGCCACTGACCAGAATTTCATCTTTGGAGCTGGCCGACTGTGGTTTGTCCTCCAAGTACATTGACAGAAGGTGTCGTGCCAATCTCCGGTCATTTGATTCATTAACACGATCAAGTATTAGGTAGACGAGATCAAATCGTGATAAGAGTGTTGGAGGGAGGTCAATGTTTTGGGGAACGGGGAGATCAGGGTTGTACCGAGAACCAATAGGGTTAGCGGAAGCCAATATACTTGTTCTTGCATTCAGCGTTGTGATAATCCCTGCTTTTGCTACCGAAACTGTCTGCTGTTCCATGACTTCATGAAGCACAGATCTCGTAGCATCTGACATTTTATCGAACTCGTCGATACAACAAACACCGCCATCAGATAAAACAAGCGCACCAGACTCGAGCACTAACTGTCGAGTTTCAGGATCTCGACTGACATACGCCGTTAGACCAACAGCGGAAGAGCCCTTGCCGCTCGTATACACACCGCGGGGTGCAATCTTATGAACGTATTGTATTAGTTGGGACTTTGCAGTTGAAGGATCACCACACAACAAGACATTGATATCCCCGCGGTATTTGGGGCTACCGCCACGTTCAAACGTCTTATTCGTCCCGCCAAACATCTGGAGAAGGATGCCCTTTTTCACATCGTCCATTTCATAAATTGAAGGCGCCAACGATCGGGATAGGAGCTCATATATATCAGAGCGAGCGGCCGTGGTCTTAATCTGCTCTTCTTCCTCGGGGGTCAGCTTTCGCACTTCTTCAATCTGGTTGTCCGAGTCGTTGGACTCCGGCTCAAGTGTCGTAAGGTCCGCATCTAATCGTTTATCGTCGACTTTGGCAACGTGGACAACGTCCACAAAAGTCTTGAACACGCTTTTGACTGTGCGCATGCGAGGGTTGACACGGACAGGACTAACCCGGTATATACCAGTTATCCGGACACGGTCACCAGCTTTGCAAAAGTCTACCAATTCGTTGTAAACACACACAGAGACAGAATGAGGCGTCTGTCCAGCAGGCACTGCATCAGGGGTCTCTTGCAACTTGATGACCTGTTTATCTTCAAACTCGCATCGATTGTGCACGATCTGCATCGAGTTTTTTTGGGCACACATTGGCCGAGGACACTCTGTTGGTTCTCGGATCTTGCCACGGTCTAGACCCACTAGGAGTGAGTGACTGCAAACATTACATCGGAAGAATGCCTGCCTCATATCAGGGATAACGGGAGTGGTCCGAATCACAAGACCCTTGATACAAATGAGTTTGTCCATGTCCGAGGGGTTAAGATCTCGAAGATTGATAATGTCGTCCAGACCCCATGGTCGTGTCATATAGGTTTGATCCATCACTTTCTCCTCTAAAGTAGGACCCTGTTGCACGCGCTGAGACTGTACAGGCTCTTCGCTTCTCTCCGAACTGGGAAATTGCATATCAGAGCTTGGAACAGAGCTTCGTTGAGTAGCAGAAACACCGTTGCTTTGGCCCCTCTGTCTTGACATCTCCGCCTGTGCCAGTTCAATCATGACATCATGTACAGACTGATCCATAAGGGGAACTATTTCCTGCGGATAATGCTGAATCTGGTGCCATAATTTCCTAGTAGGCGGATAGAGCTTGAAATCACGAATATCTACGTAAAGAATTCGCTGGCCAAGGATTAGCATGCTCTGAAGTTCCTCCCAGTATGGTTTCGATATTGCTGTGGGGTCTGCATCTGTTTCTTGTGTTGTCATTCCATCGTTCCACATGCGATATTTCTTCGTAAAGTTCCTCAGGAAATCTTTGAAGGCGGCATAAGTATCGTCAATTGAGACCGTAGTACCCCAAATGGTAGCATTGTCTTGTCCACCAAGCGCATCTGCGTCTGAGGTTCCAGGATTCAAGTTAGAGAATGTAGCGGCATCGGAATGAATTTCGCGGACAACACGGCCGGAGTCATCGAGAATGACACGACTACCACCACGAGCACCACCACTGAAAATTTCAGAGTTGATGTCACCTCTTCGAGGCCGAGCTCGAGGAGTTCCAGCGCCACCCACGAATAGCCCACTACTTTCGCTTCGAAGGTCAGACTGAGGGTGCAAACCTCGACCAGGACTTGAGCTCGGTTCGTATCGGATAGGGGAAGATTCTGAAGTGTGAGTTAGCGAACCGATTTTTAAGATTTGGGCGATAAAGGCTCTGTAACCCACCACCTATCAGGCCCCGATGTGCCCTTGGTGTCCGATCGCCATCGGATTCAGTTGACTGAGTATGTGTCATATGACGAAGGGGTGAGCTAGGCGGTGCACCGCTATTGTTATTTGTACTCTGGCTGTCGGTACCTTGCCGCAAAGGCGACGATGCTCCATTATTATTGCCGGTTACTGGAGAAGATTGGTAGAATAATGGGCTAGACGCTAACTGCGACTGTCGATTGTTACGAGGCGTAGCATTATTCTGTGACGCTGCTTGCTGCGAACGTGTACTGCGGCTAGGAGTGCCTGCCTGCGAATTGCGCTGGCTACGGCGCTGAGTAGGAGAGGACATTGCAAACTGTGTAAGTAGACCGTAGACGGTGGGTTTGTTGTTGGTCTATACCTCAGGCAGAGTGTGGTGTTGAGGTGGGAGGTTTGAGTAAATATTTACTGCAATAACAGACGTTGAATGCGGATGAGGGGCTTTTCTGTGGTCCGTCGCGAGAAACCCCTTAACGCGTCGTAGCGCGGTCGAAGCGCGTAAAGTGGAAAATACTAGCTACCTAGTAGGTACCTAGGTACTTTATAAAGTAAAAAAGATCTGGGGTTGTATCCCTGCCGCTTGAGGGTACATAGGTACAATATTTGAAGTGCAAAGTAAACCCACTAATTGCATAGATAGTAAATCGCTTTATCCGAGCATTCTGTCATCCCGCCAATGCCACCTGCACTTCAACTGTCCTATGCAGGTGTCGGCCAGCAATCCATTAAGCAATACTAATATTCAGATTCCCACTGACACCGTGAGATAAACCGCCAGCGATCCAATTGACATAGCGCTTCTACCACTATACAATCGGTCAGGATGCCGTCTATGTCCCTGCAGTCTGTGACTGCTGTCATCATACTCAGCGTCGACGATGGCTCTGGTACGTACCCAAAAGCCCCTTGTCTAATCCCCCTTCAGCCTGGGTTTGCTCGAAGAGACTGGATGTATCTAATACGAAGCTGACTTTTTGTGTAGTAGGTAGATCATATCTCTCTCTAGACCTAGCAGTCGCGATCGTGCTGCAGGCATTGGATCGTAAATACAATGCCACCTAGTTCAGAACGCTAATCTAGGACAGAGGATATTCGCAAAATATTACAACGCCCCCCACCATGCGCCGACAGGCAGTAAGCATCAAAGGCCGCGAAGTCGGAATGCCTAGCAGCTAACAAGGCTTTCCTAGCATCTGGTGCCCCAAGCTCCCCATATTCGGACGTGAAGTCACAGAAGAGCTTCGAGAAAGGTCTACTGGAGAAGACGGCAAAACAGACTGGAGATATCATACTCTACGATAACAAGTTGGTGCTTTATAAGATGGAGTCTGACGTGATGATGTACGTCGTTGGAGGAGCCGAGGAAAATGAGGTCTTATTATACAACGTCATTTTGGCGCTGCGGGATTCGTTGCACCTGCTATTCAAGTATGTCACCTTTGTCTCTCGTTTCTATAGGATAATTGCAATGCTAATGATAAAACAGGCAATCTGTAGATAAGCGGACAGTCGTGGAAAACTACGATCTAGTATCACTGGCTATTGACGAGATCGTTGACGATGGAATTATTCTGGAAACAGACCCAACGATTATTGTACAGCGAGTCAGCAAAGCGCCCACTCAAGACGTAAATCTGAGTCGCATCGATCTCAGTGAGCAAGGAGTGAACAACCTGGCACAGCTGGGACGCGCCAAGTTAACCGACTGGCTGCGCCAAGGGCTGTAATATGGCAAAGAATCAGAGTTGTTTTGGTCCAGGGGAGAATTACGACATAATTTAGAGTCAAAGGCTCGGCATCAAGGCGTTGGCGAAAGCTGTCACATCCAAAAGGAATATGCTGTTAACTGGTCCACACGATTTGATTCTTTACATCTTAATCTGGGATGCTGCTTTGCGTAGTCTGTTCATGACCGCTGCGCCGATATCCTCACCGTCTGGTGTGCCCTCTACAAATATGACATCTGCACCCCGTCTATCTAGTTCCCGTAATGCCGCGAAGAGTCCCTGTGCTATACTCCTAGTATCCTTGCCGATGCTGATGTCTAGAACTTTCCCAACCGTGGGTCCGTCTCGTGTTTTGTACAGATCTGCGTCTCCGACTTCGAGATCTATATCTACTTGATTCTTAGGCTCGGATGATTCAACCAGCCGTTCATGCTCCTTAAAATTTCTGCAAAAAAGTCCTCCGCCTATTTGCCAACAACGAGTTCGAATGACGCCAACCACGTTACCGCTGTTCTTCAACTCAAGAGTTTGCTGATCAATACCTTCATGCAATCTCGGATAGGTAGCTTCGTAAAGAACTACCCGCGCTTTCGGGCTATAGTGTTTGTATTTCATACCCGGTGCCCTCGGTGCAGCTTTACCAGCTTCACTATGGTCTTTGTATGCTTTCTCGACGCTCTCCCAACCCGGGCATTCCCGTAGTTCCTCTATGCTCACACCACCTGGTCTTAGGACAACAGGTGGATCACAGATACCGTCCACGACTGTACTCTCGACACCAACTTGACACGGGCCGCCGTCGAGGATTAGCTCGATACGGCCATCCAGATCCTCCAGCACATGGGCTGCAGTAGTTGGTGAAGGCTTTGTAGAGGCATTAGCAGAGGGTGCAGCCAATGGAGCACCGACCAGCTTAATCAGGGAGCGTGCAAGTGGTGAGGCCGGCATCCTTACACCAAAGGTCTTCTGCCCGGCTGTAACTTCAGGAGCTAACTTCGATGGAGTTGGGTTGGGCATTAATATTGTCAACGGACCCGGCCAGAAGCGCTCGATCAGCGGCTTGTAAATCTCGGGTATCTGATCATGGATCCCGTTTGGTGTTCCATTTTGCTCAGTTGCAGGTTGTAGAAAGTGCCGGAGCATGTCCAAGTCAGCGACATGAATAATAAGAGGGTTGTCCGACGGCCTGCCTTTCGCCGAATAAATGCCCTTGACGGCAGCAGACCTTGTTGCATCAGCGCCTAGACCGTATACCGTCTCGGTTGGAAATGCAACTGGTATATCTCTGGCCTTCAGATAGTCTGCAGCCTCTCGCAAGGGCTTGGCGCTTGGCATTTGGGAAACCTCCCATTCCCTCATTTTTTCTCGACCAACATTTTCCTTAAACTCTCCGAGATCACTACTGACTACCTTCAAAATTTGGGTTCTCAGTTTTGGTGCTTGTCGCGGTAAATCCCGTGACATGGTACTGTAAGAGTTGAAAACAGCTCGAACAGATTTGAGTCCAACGTTCACAGCTCGCGTAGCCAACGTGAAGGTCGATCCCTATATCTAGGTAAAACAGGAAAATTCAAAGACCTTCAACTTTACTTTTATAAAAGTATCGCGAGTGGCCTTGCAATTGTTTTACGGGTAGAATTGTTGTCAGTAAATAGCGAGGAAAGTACGACGAAGGAAATCTTCAGTGACTCATCAAGAGACTGCATGCATGCCTCAAGCAAACCAACAGATTTCACACAAAAGTTGCAGCTTTGATGTGCACCAAGCTTACCTAGCTGCTTACCTAGCTAGGTAAGTACCCAGGCGGTAAATACCTCTTGAGAAATAACACTAAGGCAGCTAATCACCAGCAGAACTTTGACAAGTTAATACTTAGGTGTGTAAGTAGGTACTTGCCTAGTGGTCTATGCATCTATAGTGGTACAGCAACTTTGGTAGGTACAATCAGAGTGGGTATGTAGTTTTAGCAAGAGCCAGGTACCAACCCAACACTCAAGGTTGCCGCACCCTTTTAAAATGTCACCAAATAGGTAGACGATACCTACCGGCATATCTACAACGAACGGGGGCTTTCTAAGACCTCAACCCCAATCTGATGTCTTGTGCCGCTATGCACCTCTCGTCATCAATGTCCCAATGTCCGCCAACAAATTTTTAAATGGCGACCTTCCAGCCCACTCAACGCAGAAAAGTTCGCGTAAGCTGAATCTCAGCGCCTCGAACCCCTCCATTCGCGATGCCTCGTCCATCGCCGACGTTCGCGCTAGCCTGGCTGCACTCCATACTCGCGAAACCGCCATAACGAATCGCCTGGGCTCTCTCGTCTCTTCCCAAGCCGATCTGTCCCGCGAATTGGGTCGGCTTGATCTACTGCGTGCCAACCTAGGTTCCCAGGTTATCGCAACCAGGTCAATCAGCAATGGCATGCTATCGTCGGCCGCTGAGACCGCCGGTCGACTTTCCAACCGAGTCAAAGAGCTGGATCTGGAAAAAGACAGGGTACAGCAGACTTTGAAGGTTGTCGAACAAGTTGCTGAGCTCAAAGCTTGCGTCCATGGCGTGGTTGGCAGTATGGGGGCACCCCAGGATTGGGAAGCGGCAGCAGGCTACATATCGCGCGCGAGCAAAGTACCCGAGCCCATCATACGGGGTGGATTCGCAGCATCCATAGTACCGAGTGTTGAAGTCCCCGATGCCCCTTGGGTAACTCTAGAGAACTCCAAAGAAAGTCTCTGTGGTTTATTTTTACGCGAGTTCGAAAAGGCAGTTAAAGATAGCGACGGCGCCAAGATTACCCGGTTTTTTAAGCTATTTCCTTTAATTGGAAGAGGTGATGTTGGTCTAGATGTGTACGGCAGATATGTATGCCAGGGAGTTGCCGGCACTGCGCGAGCAACTTTAAGAGAAGTGGCTGGTAGTACTGGGAGAAATGACAGTTTTTTCTATGCTAATGCCCTGACAAAACTATTTGAGCACATCGCTCAGATTGTCGAGAGTCATGGCAGTCTCGTCGAGAGGCACTATGGAGAGGGCAAGATGGTCAAAGTTATCGAAAGGCTACAGATGGAAGCTGATGTACAAGGCGGCATCATATTAGATTCTTGGAGCGACGACAGGAATGTAAGCAGACGACTTACAGATGTGAAGAGTTATCCTTTCTCCTTTCTAGTGCAAAGCTTCTTGCCGCCACAGAAGACACTTGGCGCGACCCCTCGCATGAACTCACCTGCGATTGGTGGTGGGACTAACCCTCGCGCCAGTGAAGATGAGGGTGTTAATATGAAGGAAATTGACGGGCTCCTCAATGAAATATCTGTCATGCTTGGGCGTTGGTCACTATATAGTAGATTCCTGGCCGGGAAGTGCAAGGTAGGTCAGGTTCCTTCACTCATCTATCCCGATTACTAATTCGTGGCAGGGCTCGGATACCCCAGAAAATACTGCACTTTCAATACCGACGTTATTGAGTAACTCAAACCTCCAAAGAAAGGTCTCCGCAAAGCTCGTTGAGCCCTACAACTTCATGTCAACATTCTTCTTCAGGAGATCTGTTGAAAAAGCGTTTCAATTAGATGAATCCCCACCCGGGTTATCTCTAAACCTCAATAAACCTATCGAAGCGAATGCACCCTTCATTATTTCGGCTGTTGATGATGTCATGTATATCGTCAGCGCAGTCATTCAAAGATCTATCTCTACCTCTCAGCGTGAAGTGGTATCTCACGTTGTTTCATCAAGTGGCAGGGTACTTGAATCTGACTTCATTAAGATGATGCACCAGAAGATGCAAAATGAATCATATCCACGAGCCGCCGTACAGGGAGGCATGCCACCAGAAGACAAGATCGTCGCATTTATTGTTTTAATTAATAGTCTTGACGTTTCTAACGAGTACTTGGCTCGAATTATAGCCACTCGAGTTGGCAGTTCACCAGACCACCCTAATGGAACTACTCAACCCAACCCGCTTGCTGCTTCGTTCCCCTTTGACAACGACATCGTACTCGTTACATCTTCTCTTAAGAACCTACATTCAACATTCTCCGCAAAGGCGACCGAGCTCGTTAATGATGGTTTGCAGGTCCTTTTCAACCAGGTGGTCAGGCAAAAACTACGAGCGATTATGGCTGAAGCATTCCGAGACGCAGATTATTGGCGGACGGAAGAAGAGCTAGCGGAAATAGCTCTACAAAATGACGAAGATGAGGACGAACTTACAGACCGAGTACCACGGCGCTTTGAGCAGGGATGGGACGCGCTCATGAAACCTATAGCACGGCTTATGACAACCAAGACATATAACACGCTACTAGAATTAACCGCAACGCACCTCTCAAAACAGAGTTTAGAGAAAAGAATATGGAGTTATAGCGGTAAGACAAATGCGTACGGAGCGATTCGCATGGAGCGGGACTTCAACGGAATCATCAGCACAGTGGCAAAAGGGAATTACAGCGTGAGGGAGTTATTCAATAGAGTTTCACAGATCCTCATGGTTGCCAATATGGAAGATGACGAGTGGGAAGAATTGGCAGATGCGGGCGATGACGGTGGCATCGAATGGGTACTCAACCAAGAGGAAAGACGTAGAGCGCGGAACCTTGTTCGCGAGTGAATACATTGGCATATAGAAAAAGCATGATCCCATAGATCTCTCACCGTTGCCACGAGTTTATGAATACGTAAATATGTAACATGCGCTTAACTTCTACATATCTACCCGACCTGTTAGAGACTGCCTCAATCTTACTATGATCGCTTCGAATTTCTGATATACTTGAAGATCAAATACTTAGATTACGAAGTAAGACAAATGAAGTACAAATGGGTGGATGCCCCCTGGTGACCCAGGCGAAGTGCCCTGTACTAGATATACTTAGTAATTGCATAACGTATTCATAGATACCGCTGTATCTAAGTAAAGGTACCTGGGTACCTACCCATGTAGCTTTAATGTTTGGTTTGGCAGGCTAGGTTAACGTCCGAGAAACCGATTATCAACAAATTCATCAATCACAGGACATTTCTTGATCCCACACGCTGTCGACAGTAAGCTGTGTCGGCCATGGCAACGTCACATTTTGGGCTGCTCGATGAGCGTGAGGAAACAGAGCTACATAAAACACGACTATTAGCAGTTGAAGAGCGACCCTTCAAACGCCTGACCAAACGTCTAGTAGGTCCAGGTGCATTCACAAACCCCAGCAAGCTACTCCCGTCTCCGCCTCCCGAGAGCAGTCATGGCGAGGCTGTGGAAGCTATATCTTCTACGACATCACCGTCAACTGCCGATATCACAACTCTGAAGGAAGACATCACTCTTGACTTCGCCGCCTTCGACTCGTCCATTGCCCGACTGCAATTCCTTGCAACTGCCAACGCGGCTGAGCGGGAACATTATGCCGAGGCGCGGCTACGTATTCTAAACACAATGGAGTCGGTGCGCGAGGGCAATGGACAATTGCGCGTGCGTCTAGACGAGGCGCGGGCGACGCTTGCGCAGCGCCGGAAGTTCGACGAGCTCGCCGATAAGATCACCAGCAACCGCATGCTACGGACGCGGGCAGAACAACAAATCAATCTAGCGAAGCTAGCTGAGGAGTGCGATGAACTGCGCCGCGAGAGCGAGGCATACGGTGACACGTGGCGTGAGCGTAGGGCGCAATTTGAGCGGCTAGTCGACGAAGGACGGAGATTACGTGCCCTGATCCGCGACGAGAAGGAGGAGGTGGAGAGACGTGAGGGCATGGATTCTGATGCCGAAGACGGAGAGGCAGCGCCCACGCCCGGAAAGGGCATCGCTAGCGGAAACGCGACGCCGCACCCAGAGAACAGTGCCGCCCCATCAGGTAAAAGAGAGGCGGGCAGCGGAACTCCCAGACCGGAGAGCAACAGAGATGAGCGGACGCCCCGGCCTGATAGTCCTGGTGCTGCAGCAGTAGGCGGCGAGAAATCAAGGTTGGATGTTAGTGGGAGTTTTTCGAGATCTGGAAGCTTAGCTCCTAGCGTAACGGCGGCTAGTCAACAGCTCGAGGACAAAGGAGCGGAGAACGGCGAGGATATCGATATGAACGAGTTGACGACACAACGACAGAGTCAAGACGGGGATACGCCGATGGGTGAGGAATCACAAAGCACAGTACAGATCACGGTTGACGCCCCAACAAGCGTCAGCGAAGATAAGATGGACACAACCTGAGGAGGATACGAGATGGTAGTCGAGCGCACTGGTTCGTGGTGGCTGTACAATAAATATTATACCCGTAGCTCTAGTGCAGAGCTACAAAAAGAATTTTGATTGCAAGGCTTTTGAGAGTGATCATTTATATTCGTTTCGTAGGAACCTATGGAGTCATCTACCATTTCTAGTTTTCTTCCGGGAGTGTCTTGCATGCTAGCTCAACGCCGCCATGTCTATTAACTTGTGCCTAGGTCGACTTGTTTGAGTGCCACAACCTAGCCTAACGACAACTTGACTGCTCCCCATACGCATAAGGGCGTCCAGTCTTGGTTCGCAAGAGCCTTACTTATGTGCATAATTTCATTCGTCAACTAAAACTCGCGTCCCTTCACGCAACAGGAGGCTCCAGGTCACGTCCGAGCTGCATCGCCTCGTTTGCCTTGGCAATCTCATCAGCGGCGGCACCCTCACTCTCAGCTGTCGCTATCCGCTCCTCAAGCCGCTGCATAGCTTCCACGATACGCTCGCGCAAAGGCACGAACACGGCTCGGGTTTCTTCTACGGCTTTTTGCTAGTGGCACCATTATTGTTAGACACAAGGCTTTGCTTCTCAGGCGGGGGCAGAGAGCTGTGCATGGCGGATATATGGACGAATGGATGGATGGATGGGGATACAAACCTCTTGCTTGAGTATGAAAGCTGCATTTCCATCAGCAGAATCAGGCGAAGCTTTTAGCTCTGCCTCAATCTTCTTCACGCGCTCGGTTTGCTGCGCTAGTTCCTTGCGGTAGTAGCTATCCTCCTTCACGAGGCGCTGGACTGATTGGGTCGCGATGACTAGAGGTGACGGGGCCGGCATTGTGTCTGTATCGCTGGATTTTCGTGTGTTCTTAGGTGATTTCCATAGAATGGATTATTGACTCTTATTTATAAGCCGAGGAATTATACAGTTGCCTAATCTTTAGAGCTATTATCTTTTGCCTGGTCCCAACACTCTCCAACTTCACCTCTTTGCCCAGAGTAGAAGTATGTTTTGGTGGGGTTGGCGGGGTACCTGGGTACCTCTAGGTATGCATGTGCTTGTAAGAGACACCCCGATATGCAGTTAATGGGGGAATCATTATTCTCTGTGCGATAAACGAGGCTCTCTATTCCATTCAAGGAAAGACTCAAGTTGTAGGTAGGTACCTTTGCGCTCTTATCGGACCTCTCTTATCGTAACTTCCATTACAAATCGACTGTACCCATATGAATCTCATCCTCGGATTGCGCCAGACCTACGTTGAATACAAGTGCCTCTAAAGTTTCTCAACACTTCCATACTTGTTGCAATCGCCATGTCCTCTTCTCTCTCTATGCGTACGTGTCCTTCCCCTCATCCCTTTGCTTCGCTAACAACCATTTTTGTAGCGTCAATTGCTCCCAAGGCTGAATCCGCTGCTTCGGTTGCCGGCGGAAACACTGCGGCGTCGAAGCCAAAGGTCAGGACCCCCGATGTCATAATCATTATGTTCAGTCAAGTATTAACACATTTTACCTGTTCAGCCATGTTGCGTGTGCAAAGATGAAAAGGCGCAGCGAGATGACTGCATGCTCTTCTCTAAGTCGAACGACCCCACGAGCGATTGCAAACCTATTATCGACCAGTACAAGACTTGCATGGCCGGCTTTGGCTTCCAGATTTAGGGTCGAGGATCGACGAGCTAGAACGGTCTCGATTATGTAACAGACTGATGTCTCCATGTAGACTATTAATTGCCGGGTGCTGCCGAGCTTTGATTAATTGTTGTACGATAGATGGATAGAGGGTCACAACGGCCATTGATTGCATTTGCATTGCATTTGGGCGGCGTTCAGCAGAAGAGAATTACATGTCTCTCCTCTCTTTGTCAGTCAAACTCCCCGTCTTTGGCACTGATCCTATAGAGGGAATTGGATTTTTCTTTCCTTCTTTCAATCAAATGGCAATTCAACTCCGAGACGCAGAGTTGAGAGCTCATTGAACACAACAAGCCTGGGCTAATATCGAAGACTGTTTGATACAGTGCCCCCTGTCTTGTTGTTGTTGTTAAAGTTCGTTGACGGATTCATCCATCGGCAAGCTGAAGTCATTTGACGGAATTAAAGCCGCCTATTGACTAGCTAGACCATAAATGACAAAAGTAGACACGACAAGGTCGTTGCATTGGACGGTATTGTATTTATCATATCATCAGTAGTGATTGAGGGAAGACTCATGTTCGTGACACCGCTAGACTTACTGGAATCGAGGTGACGCCCCGTTACCAAGCGTATAGAGGTCCATGATGATCCTACAAAGCGTACCACTTCTGCAAATGTAGGCTTTTGATACCACGATGACAGTGTGGGGGGACGCTTAGTGTAAGCATCGTGGTCAAGGTGGTGGTGCATGAGGCATCCCAGCTGCTGTAAGCCACACACACTAGGTATGCACCAAGACGATTTGCACAGGCCATTCATCTGCCCACGATCAGCCTCGTGAGCTACAAAGTACTTTGAGCTATTCTGCCGGTATTAGGCTAAATAGGTGCATTCAACGACAGGGGCAGGCATGCAAGTGTTGGGGACTGTACACATGATGTGGTACCTACACTACTGCAAGAACCACTCGACCACGCCGCAAAGAACACATAACAACTTTGAGAGGCTCCCTTTTTAACTCCATGACAAAGAGAAATGCGAGTAATCTAGTCGAGACACCCCTTCAGGACGATCTCGACCGCATTCGAGGACCGGTACGAACTATGCCAGACACATTTGGCGAGCAGCCGTTACAATTTCTCTACCGAAGTTATTCGTGGAGAGTGCGCAGTGTAATGTGGGCACACTATCTAAGCTAATGCTAGTTCGGCATTAGGTACGGGAATTGGGGTAGAAGCGGAGAATCCCGTTCAAAGTCCCAGAGAAAACCCAGGCTAGATGGTTATATCATATGTACTAGGAAATCGTGGTATGCGTGTGTACGCTACTTAGGTCATACTATAATAACTTACACTCCATATGGAACAGTTTGAAAAACTATAGCATATGCCGAGTACTATTTCACGTTTCTCCGGCCTTGCAACGACTTCACGATACTTTCAATGCCTTAGTTTCTCATAAGAGGCACATGTAGATAGGCTATGAGCAAGCCAACTTCCACTAAGAACAGCTTGGATTAGCCACCTCCTGCAAGGTGCGGCAGCTCGGGACGCAATCCCGTCAGAGAGAGGGATATGACAGTCGCGAATGCTCTTAGCGAAGTTCCCGCCACTCATGGCCACTCCTTACGAGAACTATTAGCAAGACGACCAGGAGTCTCTCCAGTTTCTCGGGCATCACTTGTTAGCCATTGCCTATTGGCGACGTCGGTGCTTTTATTAACGACCATCCTGCCAAGAATACAGTCATCCAGAACCAATACCTAGACGTCAACATCTGGAGACTAACTCAATGCCTGTTCACTATTAATGATTAAGCTACAGTATATGAACCATTTAATATCTTGATTCCTACTTAGTGTAGTCAGATAATTTACTACCTGCAACGATTACGAGTTCCGAAGAGGCGATTCTGACCGCCAACACTGCGGTGTAACCCTCTCTAGCCGTGCCAGACCAGGCACAACGATTAAACAACGATGACCCAATGCCACCCTTCTTTTAGCACGGATGTGGTCCCCTGTTCCTGACAGACACTTGCTGTACATTGGGAGCCGTCAACCGTTTCCATCGACTTGGAGATGGTTGTCCCACTATTGGTAGGTATATAGCTTAGAATTACCTATTCTAAGCTAGGTGTATCCATGTTATGGTACCATCTCGCCGGGAAACGATTAGACTCAGTTAGGCGAGACGACACCTGGAGGCTGGGAGTACCAAGCTGGCTAGTCAACCTGCGGCATGCCACTCTTGAATAGCATGATGCGGAACAATCTCGATGGAACGATACTCCTCCAATGAAGGCGTAGTGAACGGTGTAATCTCCTACGCCTCTCTGTCAAGGCCGCGCTTGTCTCACGGTATGGAAGCAATACTCCATCAATCGGTGTTACTAAGAGGTATTTCTCCGCAATCCAGTCTACCATCCCGTCCAAAAGTGCTCTAGAAGTAATATTGTAAGTTGCTCTCACGAGACAGGGGACCATAGATCTCAAGATCGCCGCAATTCGAACTGTAGTTCGAGTATTAAGACCCGAATTATATTCCGCTGTGGGCTCATGCTTGGATGAGTAATTTAGAGCTCACTATCGCCGTAAAGCCAATTCTAGGGGGGTGCGGGTACTATTCGTAGCTGCTGCAGAGTTATTCCGGAGAAGGGCAGAATCGAGTCAAGAGGTTGGCAATGATACATAGAAGTCGAAGCCCGTTCAGAACAGACTCCGGCAACATTGCCGAAGTCGTACGCCACACGCAACATACACTCTCAGTAGCGGGTCTGTCTGTCTACCCTTGCTCCAAGCATTGATATGCTAACCTAGTAGATGGTGTCTGGTCCAGCTGAGTGAGACCTGGGACCTGAACATATTGCTCAGTAGAGAGGGGTGTCCTTTTGTATCAACGCTACTGTTCGCCAGACTAACGCCTCCTCCCCTGCCATCTCCCCCCGGTTGTAAGTAGACCGTCTGGGTGACTATCAAGGCCCCGCATGGGGTATCATGGGGTAGTGTGCAGTCTAGTATATCAAACCCCAGCTCGTGATGGCATAACCCTGTTCGAGAGCCCCAAGCAATCCCATGGGCGGGCCATGCGAGTGTGAGGAACGAGCTACTCTCTTCCGGTCCGGTTGCCCGTCTCTCAGAAACGTGCTTGCAAGGTGATCATGGCTCTGTATATATCTTCTAACTGGCCCATCTCGATTGCCCTGTCCATTGTCTTCGTGAACCACCATCTTCTCTCTCCCAGCTGTACTTTCTGCGAGGTGGGAAACTAAAAGCCTCCTTTTCCCTTTAATTAGGCGGAACTATTGTTGGAGCTTATCCTTCTGGCCTGCTTTCGTGAAGAGCACTGTCCAATATCCAAGCAGGGTCATAGTCAACATGGTCGTCGCTATTGCGGGTGCTCCCAAAAAGGAGGCTTCCGCCATAGCTGCGGATGAAGCCCCAGCGTTTGAGAAGGTCAAATGGTATAAGGAGCCTGGGCTACGGAAGCTATACTTCTATGCATTTGTCCTTTGCATTGCCTCTGCGACTACTGGATACGATGGGTACTAGCCTATATCTTTTGCTGAATACCGCATTAGAGTATAACTAATACGTTCTAGGTCGTTTCTGAACGCTGTGCAAGTTTTTCCACAATGGCAAGATTATTTCGGTCACCCTGAAGGCTCTCAACTAGGTCTTCTGGTCGCTTTATATCAGATTGGCAGCGTTGTTTCCATTCCTATCGCGTAAGTTCAAGGGTCTTGAGAGCCAAATTACTGCTTCTGACTCCTCACAGGCCTATCTTCTGCGACAACTTTGGCCGGAAAGTGCCTATCATAATCGGCTGCATAATCATGATTGCTGGTGCTGTTATACAGACAACCGCAAGCTCGATCGGTGCCTTCATGGGCGGTCGTGTATTGATGGGCTTTGGAAACAGTCTCGCCCAGATCGCCTCTCCCATGTTACTAACGGAACTCGCCCATCCTCAACACCGTGGTCGCCTCACTGCCGTGTACAACACTCTATGGAATGCCGGCGCTATTAGTAAGTGAATCTGAGAATGAACGTTAGAAGATTAGCGCTAATTGCCCAACAGTCGTCTCTGCCCTGTCGCTCGGCACCAATTACATCGATTCAAGCTGGTCATGGCGCATTCCCGCCCTCGGTCAAGGTATTCCTTCCGTTGTTCAGATCATCTTCATATGGTGGATCCCAGAGTCCCCTCGATACCTTATGGCGAAAGACAAGCACGAGAAAGCGCTCGACATTCTAGCCCGCTATCACGGCAATGGTAACGTCAACGATCCTACGGTACAGTTCGAATACCGCGAGATCAAGGAGACGATCAAGATGGAGATGGAAGCGAAGACAAATAGTTCATACCTCGACTTCTTCAGGACCAAAGGCAATCGCTACAGACTTATGATCCTTTTCTCCTTGGGTCTTTTCTCGCAGTGGTCTGGCAATGCCATTATTTCCAACTACTCCAATGTGCTCTATTCACAAGCAGGCATCGAGAGCTCGACCCAGAAATTCGGTGTAAGTCACTCGATCCATTCCACTTATACACATTAATTAACACCGTGGGCAGCTCCAAACTGGTTCCACCGCTCTCTCTCTTATTGTGTCCATCACGATGGCCACGCTTATCGACAAATTCGGCCGACGTCCCTTGTTCCTTACGGCAACGAGCGGCATGTTTGTCGTCTTCATCTTCTGGACATTGACATCGGGACTCTACGGCGAGCACAGGGCCCCGGGTGCTGATAAGGCGCTCATCGTCTTCATTTGGTTTTTCCAAATCTTCTACTCGATCGCGTGGTCGGGCCTCCTCGTGGGCTACGCTCTCGAGGTCCTTCCGTACAAGTTGCGTGCCAAGGGTCTCATGATTCTCAACATCACTATCCAAATCGCGCTGCTGCTCAACGAGTACGCCAATCCCGTGGCTTTCCAGGCCTTCGGCTTGAACCACGCGTGGAAACTGTACATCATCTACACGATCTGGATCGGTATCGAGCTCCTCTTCGTGTACTTCATGTACGTCGAAACCAAGGGCCCCACGCTCGAGGAACTGGCCAAGGTCATCGATGGCGACGATGCAAAGGTAGCACATCTTGACTTCGACCAGGTGGAGAAGGACGTGGCCCGTGAAAGCCACGAGCTTCACGACAAGGCCTAGAGTGTGTGGCTGCGGACGCTGGGAGCGCAGGCTGTTCCATAGGTAATCCAGTTTATTTTGTTCTCTTTATAATGAAACCCGCATGTTGTTGGCGTCAAGTTTGAAAGCGATTGGGTCTGGGGGATATATAAATACATGACGGGTACGGACTTCTTGATAAAATCAGATTTGGTGTGCCGGCATAGCATATCCGCAACCCCAAGGTCGCGATGATAATGTGCAACGATGTCAATGAAAAACAATCCATACCTTCTACCAGCCTTGAATGATAAGTGAGTGTTATTGATATGGCCGACGCTAATAGCATGGTGTTGATCTTTGTCGGGAGTCTGTTGCGTTATAGCTCGGACCAACCATATTCCCTCGAGGCTTTTTTCATCCCAGCCCAGGCCAGGCTTATCCGACTCCACCACCTAAACTTTCAATCATCCGCGGCAACACTGCGCACCATATTGCCCTCACTCATTCGCTTTGGTATACGGTCTTGGTCTGGTAGACGCACGATAGATAAGACGATCACTGTATCAAGCATGCGATAGCGCTTGCATATCCGCCCGCACAAGCACCCCCACACCGTACATCAGAGTCACATCTTGCAGCAATGGAGTCTTTCAGTCTCGCCGCCGAGCACGCTGGCGCTATCCAACATACGCATGTCATCCGACTCGATGCGTCAGCTATCGCGGCAGCGCGTGAACTGCGCATCGCTATCACCGTCATCATCGCCGGCTGGGTCGCTATTACCGGCCTGCGAAGCTATTTCGGACGACCTATAGAGCGACAAGGATAGGCCGTACTCTAACTCATCCTCTACCAATATTACATTCGGCTCAAACCGAGCGTTGCGAATTTACATCCATTTGACATCTCTCCTCTTCTTTGTACATAATACACCATACACACCTACGGGCATAGAGAGGATAATAGACACCATGGACAAAATACAATCAATGGTTGCTTTCCACCTGTTCATGCATCCTTTGGTGCTCCAGCGCTAGGAATACCATACCTGAATCCACAGGGATAGGGAAAGAAACGAAACGAAACGAGTGCATCAATGGACATATATCAGAATAATTATACTCTTGAATTGTTATTTTTTATCATCTTTAGTCATGTTGGCAGGGAGCCTGTAGTTTTAAGATATCTCTCACTCGAGGCTTATTGCTCCTTGCAGCCAATTGGACATTACATCATCAGATTTCTTTAATCTAATTGAGATCCACTTTCTGCCCTTTTTCATCTACACCTCACATTCAGCTGTCATACACTCGCGGTACTCGCTATAAACAGCGACTTCGGAATTTTCGTGATTCCCCAGTTGCACTTATTGTTGAACGGACTAAGGTTGATTGGTAACTGCAAGATGCGCTTGTCAGGTCTCCAGAAAGAGGTGCTCTCCCTATATAGGAGCTGCCTCCGAGAAAGCCGTAAGAAACCGAAGGTCCGTTGTTTAAGCCATCGCACCTCGGGCGCGGAAACCCATAGATCCAAGGGTATAACCGTGACCGGCTAACACTGAGACAAATAGGCCGCACGTCCTCATTTCGAATCTTTTGCAAGGTGAGTGAAGATTGCAGGGCCAGTATTGATGCAAGGTCCCGAGGTCGTTGCGTACTGACACGCTTAGTAGAACGGAATTCGATAAACACATGAAGTATGACAAGAGAGACTTTGCTGCCATTGAGTTTCTCCTTCGCAAAGGTCGACGTCAGCTTGAACTCTACGCTGCACCTGGCATCAAAGACATCAGATTGTGAAATTACCAAGGTAGCTTCTGTTGGCGCCTTCTCCGCGCTCGTCGTCGTTTACGTCACGAAGCAGCATTCAGTCTAGCAATTTGGCAAGTCAAGACGGTTAAGCAACTGTTCATCTGGGAGTTCCACTCCTGCCATGCCTCTCACCGCACCACGGCTTTGTGCATTGAACCCGCTGTAGAAAGGGGAAAGTATTGTTCTCTGTAGAGAGCATCCTAGATGCCTATTCCATTCCGGCATCGTCAAACCCTGAAATACAGCTTTTCTAATAGCATAATTTTTTTCTCAATCCCTTGGAACGCTTTTTTGGAATAGAGACGATGACTACGCTCAATTTGCCTTAGAAGGGGAGTCCGCATCATCGACCAAGGTTCGATTACCCGTTGCCAACCGATGCCGGCGGAGTGCACCCCGAACGGCCTACGCATCAAATATCTCAGTCTCCTCTACCTCAAGCATCAGCTACAGTACGACACCAAAAACAACGCAGAATAAGCCGCAGTCAACATGGATTGCGAGTCAGCAGACGCTTGCCCGCGAGGTCGAGTAGGGGATCACTGCCTCCTGCTGATAATCAATTCCCCCTTTCGCCCCAATCTCCGTATTGGGGTACACTGCCGTCACCTGCAAAATCGTATAAGGACTGGACACCTGGTGATTACAAAACGAATATACCTTTGAACGAGCCTGTCACAGGCCTTGCCATTGGTAAGATAAGACATAATGCCGGGTATCTTCGTCACTTTCTAGACTCAACATATGCGAGGCGACCTGAACGGAAAACGCCAAACCGGGAAAAGCGATTTGGGCTTGCAGATCCTCTTGCCTGGGACGTTATCAATAGATCACTCACCCAGCAGCACCGATTATCCTCTTTAGTTGACCCCGATGGCCCTGGAATTCTCCCGCCGAAGCAGTCTTCCAACAAGACCATTGATGTCACCTCTAGCGATTCTAGCCAACGGAGGGCTCTCAATCGGTTTGCAAGGGAACTTGAAAAGTACGCCGATGCAGCCGGTGCTGCTGGTAAAGACCCTGTTATTACTCCCACAATATCAGAGTCCAAGGCGTCACTTCATACCGTCAAACCGTTGGTGCCTTACAAAGATGAGTTTTTGGCCGCTGGCCTTGCTGTAACATCTGCAGAGCAGAGACGGGCTTTGGCTCATCAGACAAATGCGCAAGCCACGCATCGAACAACTAAACCACATCAACACTCGAGCAGGACATTAGAGACTAGGAAGAAGCCAGCTACGCCCGGCGATGGTCCTTCGTCTAATGCAAGCCCTTCAATTTCATGTACTAGCTCTGGCTCTTACATCGAATTCAGCCCACGAGGCGGACACATGTTACATGCTGTTGATACATTGGTGCCACGAAGAGGCACTGCGAAGTCGAAATGCTGTCATCATGCTAGGAAACGTCTCATTTCCTGGTTTATCAAAAAGCCAACTAGCAAAAGCAGTAGCATACTCGCACATCATCCCCCAGTTCGAACCCACCATGTCCACGGTAGGCAAGTAAATTCGAATGGCCCATCGTCTGCTCATCTAGGGCGCCGCCGACTTCAACATAAAACGCACAAACCGTTCATACAAGACATCCCGGAGGTTCAATTGTGGCCAAAACCTGTGCCTCCCGTGAAATACGTGACCCCCAAGAAGAATCCATGCGTAGCACTCAACAGTGACTACTATGAGCAACGCGATCTGGGGTTCCACTCCGCCGAGGAAAATACGCACCAGCATGCTCCTTTTGATGCGAAGCAGTCCCTAGGTTCCTTTGGGTTGCAAGGCAAGAGAAATATAACGAAGGGTGTCCTGCCCAAGCCTCTCCCGGTACCCATAGCAACCATAGATGAAGAGACAGAGGTTAATACCTTAACGGACAACAATGCTCCAAATGGCTCTTTACCTCCTGCACATCTGAAGGAGGCGCCGAGCGTTGTAGAAGGCCCTAGCCGCCGGATCAACGGCGAGTCTTCAATGACGCACCAGTCATCGGTGCCATCTTTGCCATTCGCAGCTAGACTAGCAGCCAGTACCGCTTCGTCACTGCAGCGAGCGTTGGATGACGCATACCAGAAGGTCGAAAGCGACACTCAGAAAGCAGGCAGTCTACCAGAGAAAGAAGCTATAAAGAAGGAGCCACCACCACCAATCCCACGGCGAGATTCACGGCACAATGCGTCCCATCATCCGCACCCTCGCAGACCACGTTCGACGGACAAATTCATCTACGTGAAAAGGAATATGCCAACAGTAGAGGCATCTTCATCATCTTCCAAGCCTTTGCCACCTGCGCCACTATCTGTAGCGCAAGTTACGCCTAAGAAGCGTCCTGACATCAAACCGCCTCAGCCCAAACACACAGCCCCTCCAACGCCTCGACCCTTGACCGGGAAACGCAAGAATGCAGTAGCAGAACTGGCCAAAGCAGAGGAGATGCTGAGAGATCTAGACGTATTTCTCAACGACTACGATGATGCAGCTATTGAGGACCGGGACGTCATCAAGGGTCTACAGGTGGCCATCCACGCGGCGGCCGATGATCTATACGATGGGTACATAAGACACAAGACAGGGCTGCGAATCCGACGGTTCTTGGCGGATCTGAAGTCATTCGAAGACATAACTGAGCTTGGTCCAACAGATCAGCGGGCCAGGGAGAAGCGTGCTGAAACCAGAAGACTTGAGGGTGTTAGGAATCGGAAGAACGACCGGTGAGAGGGAGAAGATGCGTAATTATGTACCTTTCGTCGCGTGCCCATTTCTCTTGCGGACGACGGCACGACCTAGATAGTGAACAATGCCATATCTGCTATAGGCAACAACTCGAAAAGCGTTTCTACGTGATATTCCGCTTGAAATCCCATGATCTAGTTTCTAAGTCCCCAGTATAGGTACTTAAATGTAGATACAGATATAACCTTGGAACTACTACCTAGGTACATTACATAGGTAGGTAGTATGACAGGTTGCGGGGTCCGCTGTGCCCCTTTCAGTTTAGTGACGATACCTGATCGAGTCATACACAGTACATAGGTAGGTAGGTTGGCGGAGCTGATGGCGGAGTTCCTGATGCGATTTAGGTACTTTGTGAGTAGTTATGCATCTACATGCATGTCCCTGAATACTTCGGATTATCCAAGTTGAAACATTCTCACATACGGCACAGAGATCTCACTCATAGTTTTTGTCCATAGTATTGAAAAGAGTCGGGTTGGTCTTATCATCTACTATTGTAGTCACAGCCACGTATTGTTGCCAGATACACTCTCCACTACGTGGCACAAAGCATCATCATGTCGCCTAGCGGGACGGCTCAGGATGATGCTGTCCAGAAGCATCGGGCGTGCGATGAATGCCGTATGTTTTGAGCCAAAACATCCTATTAGACCGGCCGACTCACGTTGCAGCAGGAATTCGGAAGCTTGCATGTACCAAAGAACAAGATGGCTGCTCCCGATGTCGAAGAGAGAATATTCCGTGCCAGTACGCTCTTATCTATTCCCAAACCTCCTGTATAGATCGCTATTTAGATGCTATAAATGGTAGAATCTAGTCTAATGCCTATGTTGCCATAGCTACTCCCCACAAAAGCCCATGGGAAGGCCACGGAAACGCCCGCGAGAAGAGCCCGGCGAGAAACCTCTTGCCGCCGCTCCGCCAGCAAAGACGGCTATGACAGAACAGCCGCCAGACACAGAGGACCCGGGCATGGAATTCATCAACACGTTGTTGGAGGTCGACTTTGGCCTCGACTTGAACCAGTCATTTCAGCCAACGGAAGAAGCACCGACGACAACAGACGTTCCCACTCAGCTCTGGGATTACACCAACTTCGGCGAAGTCAATTTCGATTCCCAGCCCGCCGAAAACGCACCGATATTTACCCCAGTCAACATTGACCCGGCCCTGTTCATCGCACCAGCAGCGTCTACTTCGCCTTCAATGGACCAGGTCCCCGCACTATCCCCCGCAAACTCGAACACGAGCGGCTCGCCCGAGAGCGCGAGCCCTGCCGTGATGAGCTCCTCCTTGCTAGAATGTGACTGCATGGCTAGACTGTATTCGGCTTTAAACTGGATGCAGAAACTACCGGACGAGGTCGAGCCCGCAATCCGTCTCGCTCGCCTAGCTGCGAAGACGGCATACGAAGTTGTCAATTGTAATAAGTGCGGCTCGCAGCTCTTGCCCACGATGCAACACAAGGTCGGCTCGCCTTACATGATGATGATCTTCCAGAACATGATGCTCCTAGGCACGCTGATTCCGAGTATCGTGCACGCATACGCGCGGATGTTGAACATCGTCGACGAGGAAACGAATCGCGCCATCGCCGAGCGACGGAAGATGACGTTCAAATTGAACGGATTGGGAGGTATATGGGGCCACTTCGACAACATTGACGACGAGAAATGCGGCGCCAAGCGCAATTTCGCGTACAGGGAGATGGAGCCCGCCATGTGGCGTCTGACGGTGCGCGCGCTGCTGAAGATTGATGTCTACGGCATGTCGGGCCGCTGTACTGCTGCCGGAGAGATGCCTTTAGCTGCCGACCCGTTCCATCTCGGACTCAAGGACATTGTCACGCTCATGGAGGACAAGGCTAAGGCACGACATGCGCTCATGGATACCATGGTTCTTGCGGGTGTGTGGGAGAAACCGAATTGCTTCGTGGGGGCTGCGAATCCTGGAGAGCCGCCGACATGTCAGCGTATCATATCTATTGCGAGATCATCGGTCGAACGGCTGTGTATTGCGTGAGCTTTCCTGTGGTATGGCAGCGTTCTGCCATAGCAGACGGCTGATGTCTGGGCCGAAATCGGCGCAGACATGCACGGTCAACCTCTATTAGAGCCACTGCTTCAGGTTGAGAGAAGTTGCTATTAGGATCCATGACAAATGGAAACAATCTAATATGGCTGCATAGACGTTGTACATAGCTCAACTACCCCTTCAGGGCTGCGAAAAGGGAGCCCTCAACTCCACTCCACTCCACTCCACCGCATCGGTTGTTCGAGTGTCAGTTCATATGGAGAAATAGCGAACTGCGAGAGTCTTTGACGTCACTTTGCTATTTATCAGGGACTGGAAGCACGTACTCCTGCAATCTCACAATTAGCAATTGGCGAACGAATTGCTACTGTACCACTGGTATATCTAGACTTCAGGGACGCACTTGGTCTATATATTGTCCATATTTCGCGGGGTTCTCGGAATTGTGTCTTGGACGCTGGTGGTATTGATGCATTACCGAGATCGTGCAAGGACCTTGGTATGTCGAGTCCAAAGGGCTCTCAGCTTCAGTCTCAGGAACCTACAATATCTCTACCGAAATACTATCTGGACGACTAGTATGTCCGACACATTTGAGTTCCCTAGGTTCATGGCCGCAGCCTATAAGAAATCTACAAGAACAGTACCTACCTATTCTATATCAAGGTCAACCGTCTGCGGTGTGAAGTGGACTCGGGAGGTGGGATCAAGAGCAACATTGACAACATTGCCAGTCAAGAAGCGAGTCCGGAAGAGCAGTCGGGCTTCATCGAGTTTGAGTGTCACAGGGATGGCAAAAAGCAAGTTAGCGATTGAATCACCTATCATCTTGACGTCAGCCTTGACTATGTTGCTAAGATAATTGGATTTTATCTTGGGTCGAAGGATAGGAAAGCGGTTGAAGTAGTCATTTCGAAATGCTGCAACAATCTGTCACTAATACACACGTACTTTTCGATATGTCCTACATCTAGTCCCCAGATCAACACCAACTACAATGCTGTGTTGTAGTATATTTCTCTTCATCGTTCTGTCTGTCTGCTTCACATCTGTTAGACAATAGACAATGCTTCGAGGATGGCTGAGCTTGTATTAGTAGTTATGTCACTCTGCATATCTAGCACGGATCCATTACATGTTTAAGCGCACGTATAATGGGACAACTCAAGACAAAAGCAATAATTCACAAGTGCTTTTACATTTCGCTAAGTGTCATGAATTTCACCCACACACACACACACACACACACATTCCCGCTTAACCATGGTGCTCGTGTCGTAGCTAGTATAATGAATTTGCTTACTGTAGTGTTGGTATTTTCGATGAGCACATTCTCCGTATCTATGTAGGTACCTAGTGTAGGAAGATACTATAACTACCTACTTGAATGGGTAGATATTGTTGAGGTAGAGCAGGTTAGATTAGACGACGGTAGAATAAGCCAATCTAACGCCAACCAGGTAAGTTCCGGCGATAAAAATAAATCTGCTAACAGCAGGTAAACGTACGATATTTTGGTAACAGCGTACCTACTTACATAAGTACATACTGAGAAGTACAGTAGGTTGGTATGTATGTATGTGTAAGTATGTAGGTACAAGTACTTGTGGAGGGTCCTACAATCGTGCACTTATCGATACTTCCCTCCCCAACACAGATGCCTGTATTACAGTTCTGCTAGGTATATTAGGTAGCGTAGCGGCCCAGCTAGTTAGTGGTCGAGAGAGCAAAGATTTAGCGCACATCGGCCATACCGGGAAGAGCAAGTACCCAACGGGAGACCCAGCAAAAGCAGTAAAATGGCGGGCGCACGGGCTGGGCACTGGCTTGGGGCTGGCGGGACAGGGCCGGTACCTGTGCTGTAGTTGCATCATTGCTGCCGGTTTTCAATTGAGGACACGGTTGTCTACCTCCCTAGGTAGGCCAGAGTAGGCGATCCGGTGATAAAGCCTACCTACCCTAACTCAAACCTTCGACCTCATCTTTTGAGCTCCCCGGCCACTAGACTAGACTCCCCCCCCTCCGCACATTATCTGCCGAACCATCGCCAACACCCTCGACACTCGAGTCCGCATCGCGACAACCACCGCCGACGACCTGGCACTCGTGCTGCTACTGCGCCTGTTTCACTGTCTATTGTGAGCTGTGTCTCGATCCTCCCGTCCTCAACCGCCCCCGACCTCGATTCCGTCATCCCCGTCATTCCGAGATCCTACCTTGACACCGCCGACGTGTGCGACCGACTACTCACGCACCCGCCCCCTTTCCCGGCCGGAACAGCAAGTCTGCACGCGCAATTATCTGTTTCGGCAATCAATCCACCGACATGGCCCAGATCAGAGGCACCGCCGGCTACCAGCTGAGCAACCAGACCCCCTTTGGTGGGCCGAGGATGGATGGCAGCGACCCAAGTCCTCTGGATGCCATAAGGGCGCAGACTAGCAAGATCGAGGATCTCCTTGATTCCCTCAGTGGTCCCGTAAAGCCGTACGTGCGCATCTATCTTCGTCCGCTTATGCCATCGCACAGAATGATGCGCTGGTGCTTGGCGTGCATCCTAAATCCGTTGACTCGGCATCATCATTACTAACAAACTCTCCCCTTGTAGATACCTACCTGCCATTGGTCGATTCCTGATTGTTGTTACATTCCTTGAAGACGCCTTGAGAATTCTAACACAATGGAGCGATCAATTAGTCTACTTGAACTCTTATCGGCACAGTAAGCCTCTGTTCATTACCTAGTTGCTCCTTGGAAAATAAAAACCGCTCGCTAACGAAGCTGCTTGCTCAGTCCCGAGCGGTCTGACGCACATTTTCTTAATTGTAAACGTCATTGCCATGGTCTCGTGTTCTGCCCTGGTCATCGTCCGAAAGTACTCCGACTATGCCGTGGCTGGCTTGATGGGTGTTGTCGTGACCCAGGCTCTTGGCTATGGTCTTATCTTTGACCTCAACTTTTTCCTCCGTAACCTTTCCGTTATTGGTGGTCTTGTTATGGTTCTCTCCGACTCGTGGGTTCGGAAGACGAAGGCTTTTGCCGGCCTCCCTACGCTTGATGAGAAGGACCGAAAGATGTATTTCCAGTTGGCTGGCCGTGTACTCCTCATCTTCTTGTTCATTGGCTTTGTCTTTAGCGGCGAGTGGACCATTTGGCGAGTCATTGTATCTGGTATCGGTGCTGTCGCCTGTGTAATGGTTGTTGTCGGCTTTAAGGCTAAGTTCAGCGCCACTTTACTTGTTGTCATCCTGAGCGTTTTCAACTTGCTGGTCAACAACTTCTGGACTGTAAGTCACACCTCCCCTTTTCGGTTGAGTGGCAGTGGGACTAATTGCGTCACTAGCTTCACGAGCACCACCCCCATAAGGATTTCGCCAAGTATGACTTCTTCCAAATTCTGTCTATTGTCGGTGGTCTTCTCCTGCTCGTCAACAGCGGCCCTGGTCAGTTCAGCATCGACGAAAAGAAGAAGGTTTACTAGACGGTCGAGTCAAAACGATTAGTAAGGGCTACATGGCTTATGAAGAGCACTTTTGGGTACCAAAACTCTGTGTGTGCGCCATCGCGATACACTAGTTCTCTTTGACCATATGTTCCAATGCAAAAAGGAGGCTCCGCATATCATGGCGTAAACGGCGTGGACTGAATTTTCCACTTTTTGAGTTTATTTTTGAAGGCTGGGTTGAATGGACTAGGGCGAGGGTGGGATATGTTACTATGCTACCTTCTGGCCGATTCGCGGGTATGGGGTAAAAGCACGAGGTTGTAGGCTTGGTCGAATTTGCCGTGGGAATGGTGAAGACAGTTAAAAAAAGATATACAGCGGAAATACAAATCCCTATCAGCCTCAACTGCAACAATTTGATCAGATCTTTGCACGTCTTTGCAAGTTTACCAGTGTTTACGCTCTATGGCATCTAAGTCATACAGAATCAACCGTGGGTATAGCTGGTCTCTATATGTTTTTGGCTCTTTGTTTTGTCTCGCATTGCGAGAGTGTATAAGGCGTGTCTTTGGGAACTAATTATGTGGTTTACCGTTTATATAACGCTAGCTATATGTAAGGAACTTAATTACTATTCTACGGGCTCTTCCCTCTTTTTTATTATTAATTTTTTTCTTTCCCCAAGAAAAGAAAAGAAAAACAAAAAGAAAAAAAGAAAATAATTCCTTCTATGTAATCTAGTTATTTAAAATGTTTTTATCCCCTTTTACGCTCGAAGATACCAGGGTGAAGATAAACACAGTTATAGGAAGACGAGCGATGAAGAATGAAGAATGAAGAAAGCAGCTACTACGGCGCAGCCCATATCTTCCTCTTGCGTCCCATTGAAGGAGGTGCTCGTGGTTAATGCCGGTCGGCGATATGGTAGTGGCATCGGCAATATGGAGGGTATATATATAGTTTAATAGATTTCGCTGACTCTGCGACTCCTGGGTCCTCGCAGGGTGACCTCTATATGTTCGTGACTGCGTCTCGTTGACATCTATCTACATGTTGCAGCTTGAGGTGCAGCTCGATCTTGTCGGTCTCGTTCTAGGAGACCGAATCGGAGTACTCTCGTGCCTTGTCTTCATGTCTCTTTTGCCAACAACATTTTGTCTTCTGTTTGTTGCTATAAGGGTTTGGTGGTAGGGCAGCTGAGACGTTGGTTAGTTGGTAATTGATATCCCATTCTTTGGATAAGGTGCTTCTTTTTTTTGTTGATGGAAGTTGCTTGTTGTCGTCTTGAAAACGTGCTCGCAATGAGCGTATATTGCTACTCAAGTCCCATAGAGGCCGCGCGTCTAATGTAAAATCAATAATAGTAATATATCGGTGAAGAGGGAAAAATAATTCTGGCCACCGAGGGAATCGAACCCCCGGGACCTAACGATGCAGAGTAGTTATGCAGAGTAAGTATACAATCGCTAACCGCTAGGTAAAGATACAGGTAGAAATGCTTCGCTAGGCGCGTACCAACGCGGCCAGTAGCCCGGAGGTCTACTTGGGCATATAGTCTGTGTGATGGCTGGGATAAGGTTGTTGGGTTGAAGCTTATTTGGGTGAAGGCTAGAGATGGGGTCGATGATTACAGCGCACGTGGTCATGAGATTAGGATGGCTGCAATAATAGGGGAAAGTAATCCAAGGAGAAACTGAGTTGAATTTGGTCATTGCTGGCATCACTACATGGCCTGTCGAAGTTGAATAGTTGATTAGAAGTCGTTGATGCACAGCCCCATATCAATATCAATGGTCACTATCGTGACGAACACAGTGAGTTCAAAGTGTAATGAATGGCTTGAAATATGCCCGAACGAAACATACAGCGACCCTAGAATAAGTATCTCCACTCACATCAAGTATTGTTAAAAGAGCTGTGATGTAGATATTATACTTGAGTGAGAACAAGTCAAATATCAGGTACTCTGTGTATACACACAGCGAATTCTATACTACTGTACTTGTATAGAAACAAGCATTACTACGTCTTCGTGTTAGAGGCAATCAGAGAATGCATCTTTCTTTCCATCACAACATACTCTTCCAATCGTTGTGTAGAGGAGGTAAACTGCCAACTGATTGACACGGAAACAGCAAGTTTCCCCAAAAGGCGAGGTACAGAAACACATCTCAGTGTCACCCCGTTTTTAAACGAGCATGAATACCTAATATGACTCCAGTCTGGGGTTCGACCTTGATAAGACCAACTGTAGCTAGCAGCGTGTAGCATAGTCACACTTATATAGTTTCCGACTACCTAGTCGACGGGTTACACGTTCATAAGCTTTTTATAACAATGTATAAAATGTAATGTGACGTTTTATCATTGCGATTAAGCATTCATCAACAATAGAAGTCGCTTATGAAGTGATTAACTCAACACAACTGTGTAATTTAACAACGATGTTGCGTATTTTTGATTGTGGTCTCTGTACAAATACATAGTCGACAAGAAAACAGCACTTGACACCCTTTTCCCATTTATGAAAATTGACCAGGGTTAGTCGGGATTTATCTACATCCTCCCCGCATCACGTGGTGAATTCGACAGTTTTTCCCAAATAGACATAAGACGCAAGACACATTTTAAACCGTCACATCACCTTTTACAGAATTACAGCTAAAAGGCGCAACTGTTCAAGGCTTCCAGCCCCCAGTTCGATCCCTGAAGAAGTTATCAGGGTCGTACTTTGCCGCAACTTGTTGAGCGAACGCCCGACTTTCAGGGCGGAGGCGTTCCCAGTAGTTCTGTCGGTAGAAACCATAGTTCATGAAAACGGGGCAGTACACGTCGGACAAGACGCCCACTTCCTGCCATCCGAGTACGCGCTGCCGGATACCCGTGTACGTTTCCTCAAGAACGTCGCCCATCTTTTGATAGTCAATCTGTGGTATAAAGCTGTAGTTCAGCTCTAGGATGAGACGGTCCGCGTCATCATCTGCGTCTATCAAATCTGGAGCCCTGGCTTTTGCTTGCCGTGCAATGGCCTTCGGGAACGGCTGATAAGCAATTGAGGCTATGCCGCCAAGTTCGACTGCGACACTAAGTCAGTATTCCCATTTGAAGCATAGCCAGTCAGAAGCTATCTCGGATGTGGAAAGCTTTCAAGGTTTAAATTGGAGCCCGGCAGTCGATAAAACAACGAGGTGAATCTCTTGATTACTTACGTAGTGTCTTGCTCGAAACGCTGCGCCAGTGTTCATGGATGCCTTCCATCACTATGTCATTGTCTTGGCTTGAAGGCAAAGGTATGGTTTCTGTGCCAATTTGTACAACGGAGCCTTTCACGACAACCCAATTGCTGCCACTAATGTACTCGGAGTATGTCCGTTGCTTTGCAAAGTTCGCTATCGGCACCCCAGCCTCTGTGAAGTTTCGGAAAAGATCAGCAGGGGGTGTCGGCCCATCATAGAATAGGAACAGGATCCAAGTGTCGAGAAGTTCGATGTCAATGAGCTCAGGAATCACGAGCCCCGTGCTGCGTTCTGCCGTCACGATGACGGCTGCTCGGTCATCTGTGTTATACTCTGTAAAGTCTCGAACCGCCTGAAGTAGATTCGACGCTACCTATCACACAAGTCAGTGATTACTATACACGAAAGGGGCTCATCCCGCGTATCGGTAGCACGCAGAAGCAAGGAGGCCCAAATTCTGCCTGAGAAGGGAAACGATGACTCCGGGGAACTGACCTTGTCAGTATGTTTAAAAATCACATTTCCACCCCAAATATTCCCTTGGCGATACGTTTGGAGCGTGTATGTCGTTACAATGCCGACTTAAAACCCTTATTGTCAACTCATAACTAATACTTGTAGGAGTGGATTTTCGTGGAAGAGTTGAGACTGCTGTACTCACAATTATTGCCACCCCCTCGCAACGCTCGGGCTAGGTCGGCATTTTCAGTGTCTGAGGCGGTCACGATCGTTCCGTTCGCCAACACCACCTCATACTCGAGAGCTGAACTTGCTGCCCAGCCGTATTGTGCACTCATGTAAGATAGACCGCCGCCAAGCATAAGCCCACCGGTGCCAGTATTCCCAATTCGCCCACCCACGAATGTCCAGCCTGAACCCTGCAGTTTTTTCGCAATACTATTTGAGGTTAGCCATGAGTTCCTATTCTATAAGGCGGAATGTCATTTGAACAGACTCAAATGAATACGAGCGCTTTGGAGATTTTGATGAGGGGCCATGAACGACTCAAGGGGGCGTACTCGTCAAGCCGGTTACCAGGTCCCATACGCAGAACACCGGTGTTGGAATCGAGAATGGCCTCATTCAGACGTGCCGTGGAAATTAACGGTCCGCTAGCGACGCTAGAGAAGTAACTGTTGGGGTTGTGGCCTCCTGACTTAACGGCGAAACTCTCATCGCCTTCATTTATAATTTGAAGTATGGTAGACACCTCAGCCGCCGAGGTCGGGAACAGAATACAGGAAGGCTTGAGTGCGCTACACGACGTAGACCAATACTTTCCTTGCTCATCAATATAGTCTAGGTCAAGAGGATACGCCACATCGATATTCGTTTGTTTTTTTATAGTAGAACATGTATCTGCTCTACTAAGCGTAGCAGAAAGCAACAAAAGAACTAGTGATGTCCGCATTGTGGGAAGACGGTCCCAAGGTGAAACTCTCTGATCAAAGAGGTATCCAGACTGGTTCTTGACACTTGATATATCCAGGATTCTGTCACATATACACGCGGTCGGGGATTTGGTTCTTTAATATACTTACGCTCATATGGTAAGCCTCACTCACTTCGCGAAATCGAGGTCATTTCCCCCCTTGACAGCAATAACCATCACTGAGCCACTTCCGCCCTTAGGTAACTCATGAATTTCAAGTTTGAATGACATTGCAACCCTGGGCCCACCAACGGTATCTATCACCCCCATTGACGTGCGTCAAATATTGCAACGTTATACCAAGTTTACAACGCTCGCAGGCCGAGATGGCGCCTAGCTTGTGGTGAGAAAGGTGTAGAGACTGGAGACAGCGACGATCTCTCCTTTCTTTGGGACGGAATACGGCCTCGATATTGTCCCGATATGGGCGAGGTGGAAGCCAGACCATAGCCAGGTGTAACTCGTGGTTGTTGCAACGCTCTAGATCCTGCATGCTGTCTCGCGCCAAATTGAATGTGTCATCCAGACAGGGCTGCTGGGTGGGACATCGGTTATGGGATGATGGAACATGCATCCCAACACTATTGATAAGGTTTAGCTTGCAGCGGCTTGAGGTTTACTTTAGCCTATAATGTGCAGTTCAGCAACGATGGAATCTTGATCTGGGCACATTCCTGCCAATCGAGCGCTAAGCGAAGGCTCGCGTAGATATGTGCTGCTCTACTACTCTATACACACTGCAAGACGCAAAGGTCTCACCAGCTCGCACCGAAATTCGAAGTGATTTGGGACAAGAACGTCATCTCACATATGCGAAATGATGCTGCTTATTCTGGTTTTTGGTTAAGCGAGCTGAAATTGCAAGCGACACCAAAACGTGGCTCTCCTGATTGGGACTGTCCTATATCGGTCCTTTCAGATTGGGGAGGGCCCAGACGAACCTCTGAGAGGCCAGTTCGTGAACCTTTGCAAATTAGCAGTGTACTCCATGGAACTAGGAAGCATAGTTGTAGCTCCACGCCTTTTCATAATGGTTCTAGATCATCATTAACGATCTGTGGAGTGATGGACGTGTTCGGATCAGCCAGTCATAAGTTGTAGAGATAAAGAAGACCCAAGAATAATATTGCCCGCTCACGCAAGTGAACGCATGCTGTTCGCCATAACGGCTTCAGTTGTTGCAGCTGCCACCAGTCTCTGACAGTTGACAGCGCTACTCTTTAGACGGTAGAATTCCAGGTAATCAGCGGGTACTGTGTACATACACATCGTAGTACTTCGTACATGTACCACTTGGAATCAATAGGTATCACCTCCAAGGCAACTCTGTAATTAATGATATCGAGATAAATCAGACAACCAATATGTTCGAGCCACTTCTCGAAGCAGCTCGAAAAATTGATAATACGAGCCTACTTCTGGAATGTCCAGAACATATTCTGCCGGGTAGGTTGGTGTGAGACTCCCAGCAGGGAGTGCCCATCACCAAGTCCCTGAATGCTAACGCGGCCTGTTCTAGCTGTACCAGATGAATTTTCTTTGGACCACGTCAGGACGTTCATTGCAGAAACACATGATAGATCGGTTAGTGGCTCACTCGGGACCTGCCCATCCCGGATTTCGGGACTTTAGCTTGCATGGACTGAGTTGTACTCTAGGACTCTACTGCTGTCTTGTCGGCTATCTATGTCGCAATAAGGTCCAACAAATTGGCATCACAGCCTAGCGATGATGGCGAATATCAGAGTGTACTCGAAGATATTATTTTGAAGGTGGGCCGAATATTGGTTCCCATTTGCTCGGGCACCACATTCGATGAAGGTGTGTCCCAGTTAAACATCACATCAAGGTAGCCTTGCTCCCTAACCACTTTCCCAGACTCAACCGACTATACACTTTTATCGAAAAATGGTCTGCTCGGCCTACATATCATTGGTCTACTTTTGGCTCTCAAGCCTGGAGGCACCTTGGTGCTTCCAACTGAAACACTCCTCTCTATCATCGCATTCACAAATCCAGATGACCCCTGGAGCTCAAGCTCCAGTGCCAAGCTCGCTCACACCCTCCTTACAGAATACTTCAAGAACATCTCGCCACCAAAATCTCAGCAAGCTCCCACCCCATTTCCTTTCCAGCGCTCTCGAGATGCAGTGGCGGAGAGAAAACCAAGTGAAAAGCCACCAAAGACAGAACAAGAATGCTTCATAACCGAAGACATATTGACAGGTTTTCTCCGGCCGTTGTTCGCAAGGTCCCGCCCGGCAACAGTGACGGCGTCCGGGCGCCCAGCCGCCTTCCCCGAGAAGTCTTCCCGCTACACACAAGGCGATGGCTTCGGAACGGACGACGTCGCTTCCCGGAAGCCGTGGAAGTACACGCGGCGCTACGCCGTGACACTATTCGAGTGGTCCGTGGCCAACTCGAACGCCCATCTCTTTCAGGAGCACTGGCCTCTCTTCACTCCCGTCCTTCTAACGCTTCTCGACGAGCCGCAGCCAACATCTCTGAGGCTCCGCGCGCTGTCAATCTTCAGAGACTTTTGGCAGTCATGTCCAGATGGCCTGCTCGTTCGCACCGGTCTGGCCGAGGTCTTCGAGCAGGCCATTTTCCCGACAGTCTTGAACTTACCGAGTCTTACACCCGAGGCCGAATCATGTGATTTACTAGCCGCCGCGTATCCCGCACTATTTGACCTCGCTGGTCTCGGAGATCTAGATAAAGCAGGGGTTGAAAATGAAAGTGCAGACGCCGGGCTACCAAATACAGCTGACCAAAAACAGAGCGACAGAAGAGATCTTCAAAGCAAGGGGTTTTCTGAGAGTCAGCGGAAATTACTCGACAAGATATTCAGAGAAGGTATCATGGTCGGATATCACCATGCAAAAGAACATATCCGACTCGTCGATTTCTTGTGCCAAACGCTATGCCGCCTAGTGAGCGGCATGGGTATATTATCAATCAAGTATCTAAAGGTAAGTACCTCCTAGCATCATTACGCTTGGTATGAATAACAATGATCACCTCCTTTCTTTGGTCTGCACCCCTGGCATACCAAATTAGCCCCTTCACCCCCATCTTTCTCTCCAGTGAAAGATTAGCGCTCAGTAATTGCAACGGTATATAGCGTTGCATTGCATGTATTAGGCTGCACCGGCACCTTACCCCCACTTGTGGAAACCCTTTTTCAACCTCTACCAGGTCAACAACGAAAGCAAGTGAATAGTGGAACTGAGAATAATACTAGGACATCGTTCCCATGATTTCAGAGATCCTTGTCGACCCATTCGGCACCAAATACCCACCAATGCTTCTGTCTGCCACGCATCTCTTACATGCAGTCCTGCAAACATGCTGGCCTCGAATTCCACATTACTGCAATGAGATTATCAGAATTGTCATGCTAGCTTGGTTGAATATCGAAGATGAGGATGCATTCCCAGCCGACGTGCAAATCAAGGCAGAGTTGAAGCAACAACTGATCAAAACGGTTGAGATGCTCTCTGCGATTATGGCAGCAGCCAAACTAGACATGTCCGATCGAGTATGCCCACTCGTGGCCAAGGAACCACAACTCCGCTCCCTTTTCAATAGCCACGAAACGAGATAAAGATCTCTACCGAGATGCGAAAAGTGCCGACAAAACTAGGGCGATTTGGAGGAGTCATCTATTGCATCAGCTGATGTTGTCGTGGGCGCAGCGGACGATGCCTAATCGACCGGCTGCTGCTTGAAGAGCGATTTGCCACGAAGCCACTTCTTGTATGCCTTGTAGCGTTTCTTAGGTAGATCCTCATCTGTGACGGTCAACGGATCAGTGCCGACGCGCAATAATTCATAGTATGCAGAGATGTCCTCCTCCGTGGTGTTCGGAGCGAGGCCATCCGTTTGCCAGTTACCATTCAGGTATTCTTGGTACTCAGACGAGTCTATATCTGTTGGTGCCTCGTTCGAGACTACAAGTGGTAGGCTCTGCGGGTGACTGACATATCGCGCGTAATCCTCCGCTTCTTGCGCACTGACCGATGGGTTCAAAGATTCTTCAACGACCTTCTTGAAAGTCCACTGAGCAGCTTTTGACTTCTCCTGGGGTGTTTGCTTTGGTTTTGGGCCGTCGATAGGCGTTTCTAATGTTTCCTTCATGATGCTGTGAGGAACGGTTGGCGCCCTGTCGGCAGGAAGTGGTTGTAGCCAACGATGGATCGAGATCCCCTTCGCAGCAGTCCTTTCGGCAGTCCGATCCGTGATGACTGAAGAAGCATCGGTATCCTGGGCCTTGATAGAATCTTGAGGATCGACAATGGTAACTCCTTTCTTGGTCACAGGCTTTTTTCTCTCATGGGGCTCTTGATCGCCCTCCGTGCGGACTCGAAAAGGGCTCAGATCATATTTACCATCTTGTGTCGACCTAAAAGGTATGTACTTGATGGTTGAGTTCATCTTGTATGAAAACATCTTTGGGAACGACGAGAGCGTAGCCGGCCTGTAGTACTCAAGCCAATAGTCATCAAAGAGGGAAACTGGCTTGCCTCGGATATCTTCTCGCAGGGGTACCGAAACGGGTAGCTTCGCTTTCTCAAGGAAAGTCGGGTTGAACCAGTTAATGTAGTTGTGCTGAGGTTTTTCAGACCATGTACGAGGATCTTCGTGATGTAGGTAGTAGTCCGTAGAAAGATCCCATAACATAGGCTGTCCTTGAGCGAAAATGTAGTTGCCTAGGAAAAGGTTGTACGCTTCCTGTCTTTGGCTGTCAAGAAACGAATTATTGTAATATCGTTTGAAACTTTCAATCATATCACGGGAATGGCTTGTCCATTGGTTAATCTTGCGGTAAGTCTCCATAGTATTCACAAGCTGAGAACCGCCGTATTGGACCGCGATTGTATCTCCATGATCATGATACATATGGGTGAAAAGATTGACTGCATCGGTGTCATAGTCGATAGACGTGTCTTCAAGGACTCCAAGAGCATGTAGCTGATGTCCAAGGGCTCGCTTACCGATAACGAACTGGGCCGCGTTGGTGCGATCCAAGCAGTCGATGCAATTTGTCCTAGCAACTCCGTTTTGAACGCTGCCCACAGTTATGTCCCCATCGCCATTCTTGAAGAAACCTGTCGTCGTAACCACAGATTCAGCAATACTTTCGAGAGTACTAATAACATCCTGGTCCCGGCTTTTGGCAGCCCTACTCATGTCCCAAGCCTTATGGATTATTTGGTGCTTTTCTGGAAGAAATTGATTGAGATAGTTGATGGCATTAGTGTATTCATGAAGCAACTTGGATTCTCGCGGCGTTCTTTCCCTAGCTTTGATCAGGTTTAGAACATAGATAGGGGAGCCATAGCGCTCAAACAAATTGTTGAAATGCAGCGCAGCAGCCGTATAAAAGGGATCAACTAAATTGAGTTCGATCGGTGGTTTGGGAGTCACGCCGATGTTGTCCTGCGTCCAGTATAGTGGAATACTACCCCTATGCTGCACATAAGAAGTAAATTGAGGGTTTGCGAAAAGCTTGGGGCCAGGTAGATGAAAGGAAGTGGTCAGGGATTCTGACACTATCTGCTCCGTCTCAACATCATTTGCAACATAGCCCAGGTCATTGGCACCGCGCTTCAGAAATCGAGCTCCAGCAAAGAATCGCGAACGGCGAGCTATGATGGTGATATGTGCTGTTCTCCCGTACACGGATATGGCAGCTTGATCTATGTATCCGTGGATAATGGGACGGCACCAATCGAAAGGATTGGAGAGGGACTCTGATGCAGGCCGCAGAAGATGGCTGTTCCAGATAAACATATTGTTATAATCGTGCTGTATTGCGCCTGGCAACGCTTTCGTTAAAATCTCACGCTCTCTACTAATGTTATGTTGTAACGTTCTTGTGATATCATAAGAGTAGCTATAATAAAACGATCTGGTCAAATCTAGATGATTGAGGATGCCCAGGAAACGAGGCTCTTCGGGATTTCGTGCGTCTGTTTTGTATTTGGCTGGAGTCAGGGGGATCAATTCGGTCCCATCTACTTGGTAAACGTAATGCCCGCCTATCATGGCCACAGTACTCTTCTTGGTAATCAGCAACATGTAATATGGCCCAGTGAACTTGATGAAGCCGAGAAGTCCCCATGTCGTGCACCGTTGTTTAATACCACCGGTAGCTTTATTTCCATGATCGATGGTGTCCAGGAGCGAGTTCATCTCCTTCCGGCCATATATGGTTTTATCCTCAGCGATACTCAAGATTGGATCCTCGTGCGTATTACGCGCAATCTTCAAGATACGGAACCGCTTCTCGGGGACATCACCGCCTACAATATAGTAGCGACTAGCCGTCTCATACAAGGTGAACTTGTGCATTTTGCACACCAACGGCATGGGCGTCCGGTCATCATCTGGCGGCGTTACCTCACGCTGCGATGTCTCTGGGCTATGGGTACGGATGAAAGGCTGGGCGACCGATGGGTCTTCATCATTGTCATATTCGGCCGTGCTTCTCGACGCTTTGATATTTTGCACTAGGGTTTCACTACTCGCGTTATTCTGTAGAAGAGGGAAGGAAGGTTCATCGTCGTCTTCGGTGGCATCCTCGTTGTTATTACCGTCAAGTTCGTTATTCACGGTCTGGATTGGGTTGGCAGACGAATCGTCTATCTCGGCGTTGGTCACAGAGCTCGATGCTTGACCGGCAGCAGTCCGAGGAGACTGGCCACTGGCCTTGGCACTATTAGATTCGTTGGTTTCTGCCATATCGGTGGCGTCCTTGTTACCGATATAGCACAAGGGAAACAGCACATTCCTTGATCGAGGTTAAGCCCGCTCTGGGTATCGGGATGGGGAGAAGGTCGGCATTATGATTGCTACACGAGACACGGGAGAGGGGATTCTGCGATATGGGAAGTTGAAGTATAATAGATTAGGTAGTTATGGCCTGTATGGGATGTGATTGACGCAAGGCAATATATCTATGTAGACACCTGGTAGACAGCTTAGCGTAAGCGGGTAGGTACCTAGCAGCACCCACCCCTCACCCCACGTGCTACTCCCCTCCTTCCAGGGTCTTCAATGATAGCTTGCAGGTACCTCTTATTTTCTGTTAAGACAGGTTTTTGTTAGTTCGGCCATGATTATCATTGGCTATAACTTTTATTCTGCCTGTATTATCGCCTAGTTATTTTAGTTATATAATAATTAGACCCTGACTATACAAAAGTTGGCCCTCGCGATTGACCTGGGGCACAAAGGCCCACCAACTCCATTCGAAGAGTTCAGACAAACGAATAGTTTCGAATGTTGCCATCAGGGGTAGCTATTGACTTCACAGTGATCCACATGTGAAATAGATGCGAAAATACTCACAGGCTTACAAGTGCGGCGCGATTTTGCGCTGCCGGCACACGAGGCAGACCCAGCTCTGTTAGTTCCGCGCGTCTGATGCACCCGCGCACCGTAACGACTGTTCTTGATTCGAACGGGCTGTTTGCGTTTCTTCTGGCGGTTATCCCTCAGAACCTGCTGAATCCTTGCTTTTTGTATCGGGTTCACGTTGAAACAGACGTTGTCTCCCTATACTATAGACCCTAACAGTAGACTTTTGTTTCTCAGCATAGGTAGCGCTGCAAAGATTACCTACCTAGGTAGTAACTCAACCACCTGCGCCCAAAAATGAATTGTATTAGGGAGAGGAATATAATCCTTCATTACGTATATCGTCAACAATATTACTATCACTATCCAGGTTCACCTGCTTGATTCGCGTAGCGAGAGGTCCTTTTTAATATCTCCCTCATCTGTCCACTGAAACTACACATGTTGACCAAATCCATTTCTACCATCCAAGGTCGTGTGAATCTTGCTTCTTGTATGTGTATCTACGTTCTTATGAAGCACACAGGTACTGACAATGTCTCATTTACAAGTCCTCGAAAGCATGCCGAAACTGAGGGTTGCACACAGAGAGAAACTCTACTAGGGGCAAGTACATGCATACTCGGATATAAATGGTTATATTGGATACCTACACCTTGCATATCCCGTTACTAGAATTAGAAGATATAGTGCAGTGGTATGCTGAAGTATGGAACTGTGTTCAAAAATTAGCTGGAGAAACTTGTATCAAGCCAAGGGAAAAGCCTAGGAAGGACACGACGTCGATAACTTTTCAACACTATATAAAGACGTCCCCTCAATTACTACTTCTGATCGGTTCACGGAGGCACAATAGCCGTTTAGTTACGAAAACTCTTAAGCATGTACTGCTGATTCTTCTGTTCAAACGCCTAGCTTGGCATCATCACAAGCGTGTACTACCATGATACGTGGCTAAATGTGTAGTCAGAAGAGCAAACCTAGCCCAGACAAGAGCGGGGAACCGAGGGACCAGCTTGCTTCCCAAATACACTCACATCCGCTGTTATACACTCCAGGCAAGCTTGACGGCAAAGGCTGTACACTGTCGTTGGATGATTTATCGGGATGAGGTGAAAGACGAATATACCACATAATGCTGGAGCCCAGATACTCATGGAGATATTGGGTACTAGAAGGCCCAAATACTGATAAATGAGCCCATATGTTGTCTCTTTATACCCGATAATTAGTGATAACAATTGTCGTACTACTCTCAACAAACCCAGCAACTGCAGCTAACTAACTCGTAGCACCTTACGATATGCCGAGTAGGCGAAGACCCTTTGGAGCAGAACAGAAATTTCCAGAGCGGTATAGCTACAACACTAGATAGTGATGCAAATACCACTAGTGGTTCATATTAAAGAGGGCACCTATTAGATAAGGTCTAGCATGAGGCGTGATATCATGGTACAAGAAACAATGAATATTTGATGACGCCGAGTCTTAACTTTAAACCAATCCGTATTTCTTAAAGAGCCGAGATGGCATGTTCTAATGGATCCCTTTGAATCTCCCAGGCAAGCCAGTCCGAGCGTGTTGTCCTACATACTGTTAGCATACCTGAAGCCAGCAACGATTGTATTTGTAGAAAAGCCTTACGGTAAGAGACCCATTCCGTTGACCTTCCATATTCCGACCGCTAACGCGACTAACTGCATGAGAACATATGCGAGTTTAACTTGCAGTATTTTGGCCTTATTCGTGTCTGACTCGAATCGCTCAAAGGCTTGGTTTGTTCCCACCAAGCCCATGATGGGGTTTTTGAAAGCCATGTAAACCATCATAATGCTGAAGATCTGCAGAGAGTTTCCAGACATGTACATCATGAAGAATGTCATGGGCAGGCTTTTGATTGGGGCTAGGGCTACTTCCCAAGCCTTCTTCAATTTTAATGTATCCATCTCCTCAGGCGTCGGCTGTTTCCGGGGCTGGACTTTAGATTCTTTCGCGGCTTGTTTCTGTAGGCAATCTGGATGAGTGGAAGATAGTATTAATCGACGGGCTATAGCCATACCTTCGACAAAGTCCCGGATGCGGCGGGATAGCCAGGAGGATCAGGTATGCTGCCGCTCTTGGATTTGTTCACTGGTGGGAAGTTGAGGTCAGTGACCCATTGAGGAATCGATGCCGCGTTGGCTGACATGGCGACCAGGGAATGCTGCGTAAGGGACCGAGTTTGATGCTTCGATGACGGCCACTAGCATATAAAGTACAGGGAGAGTTGGTGGAGGCCAAAGGGCAGTTGTGCTGCTCAATACTGTAGCAGAGATCGAAGCCGAATCTAAGGCTGAGGTCAATAGTGGATTCAAGATGCGGCCCGCAGCTCCATGATGCCCAGCTGGATCCCCAATTTGGAGCTGGCCTTAGGTAATCAAAGTATTGATATGTATGCATGTCACTAACCTAGTATGGTAGTGTAGGCGCTGCTCAATTGACATTAACCTACTCCCTGCAAGTACTTAAGCATCTACCGGTACATCATAAGTACCCGAGACCCAAGTAGATATATAAGTATGTTGCGTCTTAGCTGGGATCCTGAGGCAAAAAGACTGCCTTCTGGTAAGTAAGGATAATAATGTCTATCTAGATATGTGTTATAGATTCAATCATATCCTTTACCTATTCCATCCATCATCTATGTACTATCCTACCTACGTAGAGGCACTATTTGGTGAAGTACATACCTAATGAAGATACTCAGACAAAGTCTATGTACGTAGGGAGTACTCCACTCAACCAGTAGCGTCCCTACCTAATAGTAAATACGGAAGCTACCATGTGAAACGCCCCCTGAGCTGTTACATACTCTTACTCTACCTGGAGCTATGTACTTCCTTATTAGTAAAGCGCAATTGTAGGTATGCAGATACCTACCTTCTACCTACATTACCTAGGTATGTACATGCCGGTACTAATACTGAATTCTACCTAGTACCTACTAGTGCACTGTAAATCCCCTGACAGGACCTGACATCCCGTCTTCCGTCCTCCGTCTTCTGGACGCATCCTCACCGACCACGATTGCGCGTGCATATAGTTTTCTCGGCCAATGACCGCGAGCTCGAGCAGCTACTTTTGCAAACCTCACACGATCCCAGCCGACACTCGATCACAACGACGCCGAGCGGTTCGCCTCGACGAAAGGGGCTAAAGTCGAGCCGTGGTCAGACCGTGGTGCACATGTGACAGCGGTTCGCCAAATAGACAAGCCCCTCCTCATCTGCCACACCTGCCGTCATCCGCCTCAGACCATCCCTACTGTGTCTACCATTGGGCCGCCGCCGGTGTTGTGCATACGACATCTTTCCACCCATCGCTCACCCCTCGTCTACCCCTCCGCCGCCAGCCAGCCAGTTCCCTACCTGTGACATTGAATCACCAGTGACGCCGCTGGAGCTTCCGTTTACAGACTCTCCGCCGTCCGTTGCTTTTTCTCCTCCGTCACCATGTCGTCGAGTTCCCAGGCTGGGGATTCCAAACTCTTTGCTCGTGTAAGCGCCTTGTCTTGATACTTCTTTATGACCCAGCCACTTTCTCATTTGTATCGTTGTCCCATTCTTCCCCTTCACCTTGAACGGCTTATCCTTTGCGCTACCATCTCTGGGCCTGCGCCGTGCTCGTTCACTCGCAGGCCAGCCAAGTATCTCTATCGCATTTCTTGTTACAAGAGCACTTCGTCCATTCTCCCTTATCGCGCCCAATACCTGAGACCATCGAGTCTCTAGAGCGACCTTATGATCTCTACCCTCCGGCGCCCTAGTCAAATGCGTAGTGCATCGAACCGGTCCTCTCAGTTTTGCCAGATCCACTCACTTCCTACATATTACTATGCGACATCTTCCCAGTTGTGTCAACCATGGCAATGTTCCTCGCGTATATACCCCCGGACTATGGCTTACAACGAATGACTCTGCAGGGTAAGGTTGCCGAGCTACGAGCCGAGCTGAACAGCGGTAGCAAAAAAGACAAGAACTTCACACAGAAGAAGATTGCTTTAAAGAAGATAGTAGCCAATATGACCATGAGCAATAATGAGATGGTCTCGTTGTTCCCTGATGTGATAAGTTGTATGCAAATTCAGAGCCTAGAAATCAAGAAAATGTGAGGCCTGTTCGAGAACCATCAACTCGAGACATTCGAGCTTACTTACAACGGGGCGCAGGTGCTTTCTGTTCTTAGTGAACTATTCAAGAATGCGAGCAGAAATCGCGATAAAGGCAATTCCAGTCCTGAAACAAGCAAGTTCTTCCCTTCACTTTGAGATAGTTGGGATTTCTGGGCTGACGTCAAATAGGATATGGAAGATCCCAATCCCCTAGTCAGAGCTCTTGCCCTTCGGACTATGTCTTACGTCCATGTTCGAGAGTTCGTGGAGGCGACTGTCCCCCTCGTAAAACGGCTGCTTCGAGATGCGGACCCTTACGTTCGAAAGACAGCAGCCTACTGTGTCGCAAAGCTGTATGACCATGATAAGTTGATGGTGGAACAGTCCGACTTGATAGATAGACTGAACCAGCTGCTAAGAGATGATAACCCCACTGTCGTCGCCAGTGCATTAGCAAGTCTAATGGACATTTGGGAGCGTAGCGAGACTATCAAACTCACATTAGATTATAGCAATGCCTCCAAGATGGTGGCAATCCTGCCGGATTGTTCTGAGTATGTCAACACTTTATTCATGATATGATGCTAAAACGGCGAGACTAATGTTCGAAAGGTGGGGTCAAACATACATTCTTGAGGCTCTCATGTCATACGTGCCCCAGGAGTCGGGCGAAGCGACTCTCCTCGCGGAACGCATATCGCCGCGTCTCTCACATTCCAATTCCGCCGTGGTTCTGACATGTATACGGGTCATATTGTATCTCATGAACTATATCGCAGATGAGAAGCAAATATCAGCATTATGCCGAAAGCTGTCTCCACCACTTGTCACATTATTAGCGAAGGGACCTGAAGTTCAATATCTTGCTTTGCGAAACGCTCTACTTATCCTTCAGCGTCGGCCAGATGTTCTACGCAATGACATTCGTGTGTTTTTCTGCAAATACAACGACCCAATCTACGTCAAGGTTACGAAGCTAGAGCTCATTTTTATGCTGGCGAACGAGAAGAACATCGACGAAGTGCTCACGGAGTTGCGGGAATACGCAACTGAAGTCGATGTCCATTTCGTCCGTAAAGCTGTACGCGCCATCGGAAAGCTGGCCATTAAGATTGAGCCTGCCGCTCGACGGTGCATCAATCTTCTACTTGAACTTGTCTCTACCAAAGTTCCTTACATCGTGCAAGAAGCAACCGTCGTCATCCGCAATATTTTCCGGAAATATCCGAACCAATATGAGTCCATCATCGGGGTGCTATGCGAACATCTCGACTCGCTCGATGAGCCCGAAGCCAAGGCGGCAATGGTGTGGGTCATCGGACAATACGCTGACCGTATTGAAAACAGTGATGCCCTCCTCGAAGATTTTCTCTATTCATTCGCTGAGGAGCCGGTCGAGGTACAACTAGCTCTATTAACAGCAACCGTCAAATTGTTTATTCAGCGGCCTACTAAGGGCCAAGACCTTGTCCCTCGGGTGCTTAAATGGGCCACAGAAGAAACCGATAACCCAGACCTGCGAGACCGGGCCTATATGTACTGGAGACTTCTGAGCACCGACGTGAATCTCGCAAAGAAAATTGTCATGGGCGAGAAGCCCCCTATTACTGCTGAGTCCGAGAAGCTAGACCCGCAGACTCTCGAGGAGATGTGCCTGAACGTCGGCACTCTCGCCACCATATACTTAAAGCCTGTGCAGACCGTTTTCCGCAGCGCACGGCCCCGCCGTCTCGCCGATTCGCCAGCGTTACAGAAACACTCTCTGCCTACATCTCAGAATCTACCAGCATTTGATGTCAATAAGTCCCTCTCCATGTTCGGCATGGGTGGCCAGGCCGCCGTCGTCCGCCCCGGCAACAACGCTGCGGCGACCAATCGGCCCATAGCAGGCGTCGCCCCTGGTTCCGAAAATATGGCCGGTGCCGTGAATGATGCGGACGCGTATTTCGCCGGCGTCGGCAGCCAGCGTATGGCTGCGATGGGGATCTACGACGACGGCCTTGGCGGTGGCACCGGTAACGAGGCCGGATACGTCGTTAATCAGTTCGCGCCTCAGCAGGTTCTACAGCCTGCACAGGGAGTTGGTAGTAATGGAGATCTCCTAATGCTGTAAATAAATTCCTCGTCTTCTAAGCCCCCTTGCCTAATTCTATACATGGGAACTTGCTAGAACCTCGCACCTAGCTGCGCAAATATAAGCAAAAGGGAATGACGTTGTACTGGTGGCAGCTGTCAATTGTAACAAGATGGAATGCAGAGCAGAATGAGAGCTATTACCAATACAAGTATTGATATGTCTCCGGCTTTCCTGTCTTCCTTCTCTTAGAAGGTAGCACACAGCAAGAAGTATGTGGGTGATACGCGCAGGGGGCTATTGCTTGGATCTGTGCTCACCAACGAGAATCCACCATCAATTGTTTATAATTTCTCCTAGCATCCCAATTCACTATGATATGTTGCACAAGCAACACAAAATAATTCCAGCTGCTACTTGATGGAATTAGAAAGTCAACGAAAGTCAGCATGTTGAGTTGTACGATTAGTCTAGCATACATATTGACACAAGCAACAGATTATATGTGTAATTTCTCCTCTCACAGGCCTCCCACTAGAACGTTGCATGCAACAGCTGTGTGTTGCAGCGTACATGCTCAAACTTCCAAAATTCAAATCTTCAGACAGCCATCCTCCTCCCTGGAAATGGTGCCTATACTTATGGCTTGATAACGCAGCTACCAGTTGATGCAGCCAGAGTATATATCTAATTCAGGTGTGATCAAAGTCCATGATTGCAGGTGTTAAGACCACTTGTCTAAGCACCGCTCCCTGCCTAAATCCATCTAGCAATGCCTGCGAAAAATGTAACAGCAATGACGCTGTAGATAACAGAAAGGTGGATTTCGGCGGTGACAGATGCCCCATTCGTCCCAGTGACTAGAGCAACTGTAGGTGTTGCGGTAGTAGATGTTCCAAAGGGCCAAGTACTGTGCTGAGAAGAAATGCTGCTGCCTACGGCCAATGTAGCCGCTGCTGTAGTAGCAGCCTGGGCCGTTGAGGTGGAAATAACATTAGTGTAGATACCGGTGGTGCAGGTAGATGAAGATGTCTGTGGTCCAGTGATGCCATGGCTAGTGTACGCAGAGTTAGGGACTGTGACAGTAGTCCCAGGGGTTGTCGCCCAGCTCGGAACATTGGGTATCGTAGCCCAACCTGGGACGTTAGGTGTTGTAACTGGCCCTGGCACATTGGGTGTCGTAGCCGGGCCTATACCATTTGGTGTAGTAGCCCAGCCTGGGATATTAGGTGTCGTAGCTGGTCCTGGTACATTGTTTGTTGGAGAGCCTCCTGGTGGAACAGATGCTGAAAGTAGTCCTGAATTACTTGGTCCTTGATTACCTGGCCCTTGATTACCTGGCCCTTGATTACCTGGCCCTTGGTTACCCGGTCCTTGGCTGCCTGGTACTGTAACTGTGACTATGCCCGGCATATTTGATGGGATAGGGATGGGAGCTGGACCACCTGCACCCGGACCCGGAACGGTAACTGTGACTATGCTCGGTACGCTTGATGGGATAGAGATGGGAGCTGGACCACCCGCACCGGTACCAGGAACGGTAACAAATGTAGTAGGCAAAGCTGGGGTATTTGGGACAGATAAAGGACCCCAAGGGCCAGTACTAGACTCACATGGTACTGATAGGGGGTTGCTGGCGTGGATGGTGATAAACGTGGTAGGTAGAGTTTGCGTGATGGTCGTAACTGGGCCGTTGCCTGGACCGTTACCTGGACCGTTACCTGGAGCCGGAGCAGACTCGAGACTGATTGTAACCGTCTCAACAACGGTACCTAGTAAAGGGATCGTCACGATGGTAACGCCAGGACTGGCGCCAGCAGAGCTTGGAGACTGTTGTCCCGCTGGGTTGGGAGACTGTGCGCCAGTGGGATTAGGAGATTGACCACCTGCAGGATTCTGTGATTGTCCTGCTGTAGGACTAGATGGCTGCTGTTCTTGGCTACTAGGACCTTGCTGACCTCCAAGGCTGGGAGACTGCTGTGCTGTTGGATTTGGAGTTTGTTGTCCGGCAGGATTCGGAGACTGTTCACCCGTTGGACTTGAGGGTTGCTGTCCAGCTGTATTAGGGGGCTGTCCATAAGCACCGCTGGGTAGTCCAGACTCGCCACTACTTCCAGGGCCGCTCCCACCGCCGACTCCAGGACCATTTCCGGTAGGATTGTTACCAGTCTCACTTCCCGGACCACTTCCCGGACCAGCGCCAGGGTTGCTGCCCGGACCACTGCCTGGTCCAGTCCCCGGGCCGTTCCCAGGACCACTCCCAGCGCCGCTTCCAGGGTTGGTACCAGTGTTGCTGCCACTACCATAAGTACCGCTGGGGCCAGGAGTTTGAGCTGTGGTGCCATCTTTGAGTGCTGTCATCTGAGCAGATGAATCCTGAGGTGAAAGTATGGTTGACAAGGCAGGGGGAACAGTGGCAACCACAACAGTGGCCTCAACATTGTCAATAATACCAGGAACGATGTGGTCTCGCTTCTCTACTAGGAGCTCGGAATCAGAAGAAGAAGCGATTAGTTGACTAGCCATGACGTAAACCGTGCCTGCAACAGTGAAGGTCGAGGCAAGGGTAGGGGTAGTGGAAGTCAATACAACTGAGAAGGAGTCATCAGCCTCAGAGCCATCAGATTCGGACTGAATAGCCAAGACGACATGGCAGATGGCCAAGAGTGCCGGCCAATACATGGCTGTAAATTGTTGTGACACTGACTGGGAGTGGTATTGAACGGGCTTCTGACTAGGGTTTCACTAAGGATGATGATCGAGGAGTCCAACACCAGTCTGTTTGAAATATTAAAATATCGGCGGGGAAGCGAATGGCAGTCTCACTGAGTAGACAGCAGCTAATGAGTGACAGGGAGGCCTGGAATAGAGAACGCGGTCAAGAATGAATGGATGGATGGATGGATGGACAGGATGTTTGTGAGTGGAAGGATGGGCAAAGAGAAGAGTATCCGAGGAAGAGAGAGAGGCACTTGAAAAAGGGCGAGGGAACATCCTGAGACAGACAAACACATAAGGCAGGTGCGCGCTGGTTCCTGAATAAAAGCTGTTGAGCCGCATGGAAGGAGCTGGTTAGTAGTACCACTGAAACGGAAAGTGAGACTTAGGGTCAATGTGTAGATATGTATGTACTGCGAGACGTCGGTAATCACGGGAACGTGAGAAATTTCGAATATAAAGAAAGCTACTCGCCACAGTCTCGCCATGGGAGTGAAGCATTTCCATGCTTATTATTTCATATTACCATCTCTATATATTGAATACTTTGTAGGTAAGTGCGAGCAATCTCCTAACCATTAACTTTCGTGCTTCACGTGTTTTCATTCCAGGGGTGAAAGTGCGAGAGGTAGCGCGCACGTAACTTGGAAAGCTCGACACCACCTGAAGTTCCCCTTGGCTTTCCTACTTCTTAGCCAATGTCCCATGTCACGGCAGCCACTATGGAGATTCGCAACCTCCTGCGCAACTCTCTTCTGCCGTGTGTTAAGGGGGGGAGTCATGCAATGTTATTTCCTGAGCGAGGTAAGAGCTGAAGCTCAACGGTTGACATAACTTATGAGGAATAGGTTACAGTAGGTAGTGTCTGATGTTTTGGCTTTCAATTCAATTCAATCTCATCTTTTCTTCATTGCTGTCATCGTTTCACAGGCACATTTAGATATGGAAATGCTCCTTAACCCCCAATCTCTTGCGTCTTCTTTTTCTTCTTTATTTTTTTTTTTTTTTTTTTTTTTTACCTGGACGTATTGGATACTATGTCTTATCAGGAGGTAGAGGGATTGTTAGAAGGATTTCTCCCTTATGTCAGGTCTTCTGTGTCATGCACTTATATACACCGACCTATATTTACTGTTGCAACACTCATGTAATTGCATCCAAACCTAGGAAAGGGATGTTAAGTGTGAATGGGCTAGTAAAATCTGCGACTATGGAAGTCATTAACTACAAATTATAAATGAGAATACGCAGGCGTAGTGTAGAATCATTTGATTCATTCTTGATCGCCCGAGGATGAAAATTTATTGCTGAAGCCAGTACTACCACTGATACTGGGATACTTTGGTACTTTCTATCTCGCGTAATACGACATGGAAAGCCTACAAATAAGACCTTGTACTGAAATCTTCATGTCTGAAGAGTTTTCTTCGGGTGTTGAGATGCGAGAGCAGTATCGCGTTGTGTGCCTCAAGTTCATTTGAAGTTGCAATCTTACTAATCACGCACGTCGAGCGATGGCCGGGACATCCGGGGGCCGGGTGACGAAAAGCGGGGGCTTCCGTTGGTTAGGACAGTTAGATGGAACATGGAACTCGTCTTCCGGTCATTCCTAAATTCTTTGGACAAAAAGGGCACTGGAGATGGTGGAACTGCGACTCAGCTAGCCGAGACCTAAGTAGAGCGACGGGTTGCGCGGGGCCACGGAAATATGCGGACAAAGTTAGAGGTATTTACTCATTGCACTACGATAAGAGGTAGCAACCAGCTAGTGTGGTGGACCAAACAGCAAGGATATATCACGGGTTTACAGCCAGGAACTGAACAAGGAGACATTCGTCGCCAACTTTGCGTATTTCTTGGTACTCCAACCTTATATGGTGAGGTCACGTTACCGCGAAAAGCGGATGACTCAAAACAACAAGAGCGTTAGCTAGGAATGCCATGCTTCTTCTGGTATCTCAACCCAATCAACGGCAAGGTCAAGGACAAACCTGCATATCGCTATCGAGAATTGGTCACCACCGGTTGCTACGCAGGCCGGTTGGTGGACGCGGTAGTATTTGCTCTATCTCTAACAGCAGAACTGCAACTCTGGACGGACCGGAGACATGATGACCATGAGTAATATTTCCAACCAACAAGTCTTCAAGGCAACAAAAGGTAGGTAGCCTGTAGAACTTGTACCTGCTGGTTTGGGTCGTGATTACTGGTCTGATCTACATCAGCCACGCTGGAGGACCAATGTCACAGCATCAAGAGGTATGTGAATAACTCAACTTACTACAAGTACCCTACCACTGCCCTACCTACCTTCTACATTGTACATGTATGAGGTGAAGGGGATCATAGTCTTTGTCCCTCAATCTGGGGGCACGCCCATGATTCTAAATATCCCTCTACGAAGTACCTAGCTCACTAGGTATCGAATCAAAGTACTGGTAATGTTTTAGTGCTGGCAGGTACGGAATAGTGTATCTTGTATTACGTCGGGTGGCAAACTTGGGGACCGGGCCTTGGCTCGCCATTAAGCCACGGGCCCTTCTGGGGAGACCTGGGGACGCTCTCAAACACAAACCCGGACGGGGCTGAGACAGCGATCTGTCACGATGGACACCAGAGCCGGATAGGCACATAGAAATATATTACTGAGGCACTTGAGATATCACCATATCTGAGTATTTTTAGAGACATTTCGCATGGCGTTTCAAGCAATCGAGAGAAGCAGACATGTGAAAGTTTGGGGTATGTCTATCCGTTGCTGGACGAGAAAGGGATATTCCTGGCTAGCAGTCATCCCCCTAGACCAAACTTTAAAAACACCCGTGCACGGCTCAGCACCCGCTCTGCAAAGACGAGGTACTTTGGTACTGACAAGGGATCGGCGACCATTGGCAAGGCCCAAGCTAGCCAATGGGCGGGCTGTAACACCAGGCTTTGCTAGGTACCTAGGTACCCACCTCGCCTACCTACTTTATGCGCTATCAGCAGGCTAACAGACAGCTGCTAGGGGCTGCAAGTACCTAAACTACTACCTACATATGTACCTAACCATCTAGGTAGGTAGTAGGTACCTAGAGCAGACTACCTAGAGCTAGGTAGGTCAGTAGGGTCAGTAGGTACTCTCCTAGTGAACCTCCTCCCCAGGCTCGCCAGGCAAGGCAGGTTAACCTGTGCGGCACGGTGCCTGTCCATTCAGACCCGAAACATCATCATCTGTCTGTCATCCTCCACCACCCATTTCCAGCAACTCAGCCGACCAATCCAGCCCATTCAACTCATCACCCACCCTCGACCATCTTTCCTCATATTTCTCCAGTTATGGCAATTGTCCTTTCTCCCCACACGTGCCACTGAGATTTCCTAATAGCATTCCAACTATCCGTACAGCGTTCCATTTGTTTTGATACCAAGCCTCGAGTGTCTTGCGCCTCGTCCGCCTCACCCTCCTTTATTCCCTTCCCGGGCACCCGATCCCGACAGACAGGTGAATGTCTCAATTCCGTAGCCAATAATTTCCCTACACCGCATTCAGCTTGAGACTGCTTGCATATCGACGCGCTATTTCGACTGTCCCTTCTTCGTGGCGACTACACTACTTCATTAATCTACTGCTATTCGAACCTGTGTTCGACCTCGTCGTCCTTAGCTCAGTACGGTTACCGGCTGACCGACCGTGACAACTATGGCTGACAGCGTATCAGCCTCTGTCGGTGGCGAGCAAGGCCCTAGAGAGCAAAGGTTGTCAATGCACCAGCCTGCTGGCGACGTGGAAATGGAAGACCTCTCAAAATCACAGCCTGACACTGCAAATCCTGATACCGAATTACGACAGAGTCATGATGGCGAGAACAAACCAATACCGGTACCCGCCAAGGACATAATGAACCCATCGGTTGCTGAAGCGTCGTCGTCAGCCCAACGTGATGGTCCCGCATCACCCGAAAACGAAGACTTGACCATTGATCCAGTGGAATCCCCATCAAACAATGGGGTACCTGCCGTGAGCATAATGCTACAGCTTACCAATGGTGCTAGACACCCCTTCCGTATTGATGAAAAGTACCTCACTAAACGCAACATCACCATTACGGGAAAGACGGAAGACGGCAACATGGACCCTGCCAGCATTACAGTCTATACACTAAAAGAGCTTATATTAAGAGATTGGCGGGCTGAATGGGAACCTGCACCAAGGGAGCCGACGAGTATAAGATTGATACACTTTGGTAAACTTCTCGAAGATAGGAATCAACTAAGTCGTGAGTATTCCTACCGGTGGGGGTGGTTGATCCGGCAATTCGTATTAACTTGACGTCTCTTTCTAGACTATCACTTTAGCACCACCAGTAAAAATTGGGTACACATGACTGTGAAACCACAAGACCTGCTGGACGAGGAAGAAGCTGCCAAGAAGGTCAAAGATTCCAGCTCGCAGCATGGCAGAAGCGGTTGCTGCGTGATTTTATAGGCGGCGATTGGAGGATTGAGAGGATGCCTCGTAACATATTCATATTGTCTTGGTGGTTCATCTGGATTCAGCTCGTCAAACAGATGAGGTATCCATGAACTATGGCCAAAACTAGTCGTCAAACAGCCATCATTTCTGATGGCGGCATTTCGTTCTTTGTTTTTTTCTTTTTCCTTAGGACGGTGAGGCATCGGGCGGAGTTTAAAAGGAGTTATTTCATCGGCAAGGGCTGCGGAACTAGCCTATGCGAAGCGACTGTACTTTATTGTGGGAAAGATAGATGCTACTTTTCGGGGCGAAAGCGCCGAGCGACACATACTACTCACATCCTCTTAGAGGTAGGATGAGAGCTCATAAGTCATTTGGTAAGCATATTGTGGTATGGGTCATATCTGAAGCATTGGAGCGGGATGAAGTTGAGATTGGAATTATTTTGACATATTTTGAATGGCTGATTAGCAGATGTGCATTATCATGCATTAGAGGTCATGAGAAGTCTTTTAGCAAAGTTGCATATTTGATCTGAACAATGTGATGGGATGACGTTGTCTGAACACACATCAACGTTGATTTTCGGGGTGAACATAAATAGACGTAATGGCTTGTCGTGCGAAATGAGGTTTCTCTATTCCCCGATCGACAGTAATTGTGCTGTATACTGAAGGACCATCTATTCTATGCCCATTTCTTGCTCAATGATTCTAGCGGGGGGAGAAAATCGACTCGAAGTAAAAAGTTCCGTCGCCACTTTGAACCCGAATCTGAATCTCCAGATGCACGTCCTTCATTCCCGCAACCCCAGTCTCTCACGCAAAAAAAGAAAAATACCTGGAGCAGCAGTTACAGCAGGCAGTGAGACACGATTGTCGATAGTACGAGGCACCACCCAACATCACACTTTTCATTCAATTCGTTCCAGCCCAGAGAAAGTCCGTGGGTTTTTTTTATCGTCCGTCACCATCAGATCTTCAGCTTCCGCTCCATCTCCTCGTGGACACTGGCCGCACCGCGGTGTTCCTCGCCGGTGAACACGTCCTCCCAATCGCACGAGGCGTCGCGGCCGGTGAGGATGTCCTCGTGCACGCTGGCGCTGCCGACACCGGTGCTGCCGACGCCGCCGCCCAGACATACGGGCCGCCACGACCCTTCGCGCGTGATCTTGAGCTCCATGCCGCGGCGGATGGGCTCCGCCATGCCGAAGGTCTTGCGCAGCGACTCCATGCGCAGGGTCTCCTGCGTCGCCTCCCACGACTTCAGGCGGGCCTCGAGGGGGTGGCGGGACACGGGGGCCGCGGGCGTCGAGGTGGACGAGGGGATGGGCGAGGCGGCTGGGTTCAGACCTTGGCGGAGCACGTCGTAGACGCCCGGTGCTGAGGGTGCGGAGGTCGAGGGCGGCAGGTGTGTGAATGAACTGCCGTGTTGGGCGGCGGGGACGATGCGCATCGACTGCCGAGGAGGTTGGTTAGCTAGCCCTGTCTTGATGCTTGGTTTGCCTCTCGGTTTGCTATGGGATCAGCATGTTCTGCTTACCATGGCGGGCGGTTTGCTCTTTCAGTTCGCTACTCGGTATCCTCGTCAAAATTGCCTTGTAGTTGACAATAGGCTGCGTGAAGTATGTGATTTGGTAGGGATGGATGTGTATGTGTAGAGAAGATGACAGTTTGTATTGTATGGTGCCTATTGTATTGTAGGTGATGAAGCTCGGATACCTGGTACTTGGGGACAGACGTCAGGTGAATGAAGCCTAGGTCTCTCTCACTGGGCAGGCTCCAGAGAGCTTTCGCGTTAGGAGCCTTGCCAAGGCCCAGCTACAGCTGCAGTGGGACAGTCCCCGGCAAGGGAGTGGTTACTTTAGTAGTAGATAGCCCAGATAGCCCCACGGTGCCTCCTCGCCTTACCTGTTTTATTGTTAGCGACGTGCAGAGGTGTATGGTAGCAGTGCAATGCCTAGGTACCTAGATTTATCGTTGCAGTGCAGACCCGACAAAGTACTTAGAGTATACTCAAGTAAGAATTGAACGGGATTTGATTCTCTTTTCCTCTGTTTATCAAAGTACCTGCCCAGACATGGTCACTGCGCAGTTCAAGTTACCTACAATTCTATATGCCTATCCTGTTTTGGTTAGCTCCCGGCACTTGTGCTTGGCTCGGTCTTCCTTGCATCGAATCATCTTCAAGGTCGCTCCTATGTAGATGTACTTAGCTATAGATTAAAGTGTCACCGATGATCGGATGCGAATGTAATGACCATGCCTACAACTACAGATATGGATAACATCGATTGAACCAAGAGTATGAAGCTACAGTCATATCGTCGTCTATAAGTACTAGTCGAGAATGCGGCCTCCGTCTGTTCGCAGCCCCGTGGTCAATATCGCCAATGGCACCTTTTACCGCCACCACCCCAATGCTAGCTCAACTCATCCAAACCCAGCCCTCTTCAAGGGCTTGAGCTTCACACTACCTTCGGCCGCCGACCCCCCCACGCACTGGTATGTCGTTGGTCCATCATTGAGTGGTAAAACAACGTTCTTGCAACTTCTCAGAGGCGCTCACCTCTGTGTCCCCCCAGCAGCACGGACTTATCCCTATCTATCATCAGATGCAGTTTCTCACAGCCTCCGAGTGCCGAGCAGGGCAATCAGATACGTTGGGTTTAACAACGACCCGCTAACGTCTGGCATCACTACGTCACCCTATCTGTCTGCTCGCTACGAGTCTAAAAGGGAGAATACCGACTTTTCACTCCGCGATTTCTTGCTTGGCAATACCAATCTAAATGTTCTAGAACGGAAGCCGGAAGACGAGCCTAACCCTGCGCTCCTAGATCGCGTTGTAAGAGACCTGAAGCTTGCGCAGCTTCTAGATCTGCCTGTGACTTTCTTGAGCAATGGACAGGGACGCAGGGCGCGGATAGCGCGAGCTTTGCTCATGGCCCCCGAGGTCTTGCTCTTAGATGAACCATTTATGGGTCTTGATCCGCCGACGGTGTCTGGGTTAAGCCCGCTCCTCCATGCTTTGGCTAGCAATGCCAATCCAAGACTGGTCCTCAGTGCGAGGCCACAAGATCCCATTCCGGAATGGATCACACATCTGGTATACTTAAGAGCTGATTGTCAAGTCGGCGCCATGGGCGACAAGGAGACTGTCCTAGAAGGTCTTCGGAAGTATGTCCGTGGGGTATGGAATGGAGCCCTTGTTGAAGATGAGAAGTTGGCTGTACACAGTGTCGTGCAAATGGGAAGGACGCTCACTGCTGGGGGGATCTGCGGGAATCCATTGATGGGAGATGAAGCTGCCATCGAAGATAAGAAACAGATTACCAACTCAGCCGCCAATACACCAAGGAATATTGGGGAACCACTAGTGGAAATGGAGGGGTGTCAAGTGCAATACCGAGGTCAAGTTGTATTAGGTAACTGGACAGAGTACGTCAATGGCAAAGAACACCAAGGTTTGACCTGGACCGTTCGAAGAGGAGAGCGATGGGGTGTTTTTGGACCAAATGGCTCTGGAAAAACAACCATCGTATCTCTTGTCTGTTCAGATCACCCACAAACATACTCCATGCCTATCAAGCTGTTTGGGCGGAGTCGACTACCGCAGCCTGGTTCCGGCCAGCCCCCTCTAACTTTCTGGGACATTCAGGCACGGATCGGACATTCAAGCCCTGAAGTCCACTCACATATGCCGCGGAACCTCACCGTCCGTCAAGTCATCGAAAATGCATGGGCAGACACATTTCGCAGCAAGGCGAAATTGGACCAAGAGGCAACGGACAAAGTCGAGGCTTGTCTGCGTTGGTTTGAACAAGAGCTAAACCCGAGTTATAGCCAAACTGCCTCACAAGGAGTAGCGCGAAACCTTCAATGGGCGGACCACTACATGTTTGGCGAGCTTTCCTCCTCGACCCAACGTGTAGCTTTATTCCTAAGGGCAATCATCAAGAATCCAGATATTGTAGTACTCGATGAAGCATGTAGTGGGATGGACGACGGGGTCCGCGACCGCTGTCTCTTGTTTCTCGAAGCCGGTCAGACGAAACAATACGCCAAGCTCGGCGATGGCTCGGAAATCATTGTTGAGAGCGAGGTTTCTAAAAATGGCAACATCAAGTTTAGCGGTTTAAACGACAGCCAGGCGTTGATATGCATCAGCCATGTACGAGAGGAGATACCGAGTTGTGTTCGAGAGTGGATTTCGCTCCCGGAGGCGAACTCGGGCGAGCCCGCTAGATTCGGTGTTGCTGATGCGCCATTGGCCCACGACGAGAAGAGCTGGAGGCAAATCTGGGGAATGGAAGAGGTCTGATATCTTCCAAGTCATCATATTTCGCCAACTATAATGAATAGTAGATGTACAGGATAGAAAGGGGCCAATGTATAATGTATAAGCCAAAGGTTATATAGGGGTAAATAGCGTAGAACCTTGCGCGACAACAGCAAGAGTTACCGCGTTTCTCTCGTTGATCGTTAATGGTTTATCACATAGATGGGGAAGACACCTTTCAGTTTTATCCGGAGAGACTTCTGAGCGTGTTTACAACAGTAAAAGGGGTAGAAGAAGCGACAGCATCAAAAACTCATAGAATCCTAGCTCGCAATCACGATGCCTTACTTCCTACTTATGCCCGACTGACCACAGCCACCATATCCCCTTTTCGTGCCGTGTGATTTATATCGAGTTAGAGTTTCCTGGTTGGAAGCAAATCGCGGGCTTGATCCGAGTCATGTCAGTTTAACACTGCCAAATACTCCCGCTCACAAAGACGAATTCTGGTGCCGTACGTTAAGCTATCAACTAAAATCTTTGCTGGACTTGTTGGCTGGCAGAACCTTAGATAGTACCTAGGTTTAACTATTTACCTACCTGGAAGGCAACAACCGAAGCATCTAAGTGGCAGGCAGAGTAAGGTTTAGTCCCCACACTTACTTTGTATCATAGGTACTACCTAGGTTTTTGAAACAGATTTGAATCACCTACCGAAGCTTATGGATCCAGCCTAGATGCCAGGTACTATAAGAGCCTGCAGGATACATACCGGACAGGCAGATAACTACCAGACGATGGCTTACTGCTTACAGAACCAGCTTGATGAACTCATCGTGGGCGAGCTGTGGGCTGTAGCTGCGAACTATCCAATTCTAGAAATTTCTTATTATTGGAGAAACTCTTTTCCCACACAAGAACTCACTTAGGAACCCTTTGGAGGATCACGTACAAGTAATCTCACTTTGCCATCCCCAATCTCTACTCCTTGGCTGAGTATGTCCACCTCCTCTTTAGCATCAGTTAGTTCCTTCTGCTCGTCCCTTGCTAATGACTTATCCCAACTTCTTGCATCAATGCCAAGTATCCCTCCCATGCTGTTACGGTCGCCGGGCACTGAAAACTCACGGTAGGCATACCTCCATTCGTTGAGGAAGTTTCTAATTGCCTTGCCAACCTTGTCTTTGCCGTTCTTACTGTGGTGCCCTGTTCCCGTAATAGCGTAGACAGGTTTGCTCTCCTTGCTGTTGTCGAGCAGAACCGTCTCTAGGTACTCAACTGCTTCGTCGGGATGTAAACCATGGAGGTCTACGTATATCTCTGAGCTTGACGTGTTCCCTTTGTTTCGGGCTTCATACAATTCACGCGCAGCATCTCGATGTGCCTTTCGCATAAGATCATTTTCACTTTGGCCCCGAAGACTGAGCGCCTTGGCTGCCCGTGCGTCGTTGCGATTCCATGCTTGCGCAGCACTGGGACCTGTTAGAGACAACAATGAGTATTTATACGTCTCGACTCACCTCTGGAGAAACTTGTTCCGCAAGCCACCATGCTTGATGGCCTCTTGACGAGACTTTAAATACGCTTTATTCGCTTTGTCTCCAGTCTCTAGCCAAGGGATTTGTTTAGGCATGGGAATGGCCTGGGCAGCAGCACTGTTCTCTCCATTCTTTAAATTCGTCGAGCTCCCATTTCGGCCGATTTTTTTGGCATCTAGTCTGTTTGGACTGGGACTCGGTGAAGGTGACATTTTCACGATATCAGCCAAGGAGCTAGGGGTATAATTTTCCTTGTGCCCATGACCATGACCACCGCGTTTTCCATGATGTTTTTTGCTAGGTTTAGCGGAGGCAGAGCTAAGAGAAGGGAAGGCGTCGTTATCATCCATCGATGGGGCGGTGGTGCCGTCCTTGGTTTGAGGGCGGCTTCCTGGACGAGAACGCGAACGACCACCATCATTGGCTGCAAAGGCATGTACAGGCTTCAAACCTGGTGGCGGAGTGAGGGTAGCGCCAGTGTAATTGAAGCTAGGAGCATAAGGATTTAACTCTGGGGTGGCTGGGCGCAATGCTGGAAACGCGTTGTGATCTTGAACCTGAAGGTTCTGGGACTTTGGAGGCGGGGTGCTAGTGCCATCTACATTGAGTCGGTTTATCAAGTGAGCTGGATCATGAGAGAAAATGCAGGTGTCCCCTGCCAAGCAGTTTCCCATGATCCAATACCTACATTAATCAATATCTAAATCACATGTACTAGGAGCGAATCGAGTACTGACTTGCAGATGTGGTTGCTTAAATCATGGCTAAATCGACAATCGGCCCTCAAACATTGACCGGTAGACAGATAAAACTTGCAAATGATACCAGTTTTCTGCTGTATGGACGGTGTACCCGGTCTGATGTCGGGCGTAGTAGACTTACCAATGAGTAAAGCCTTCGACTCAGGGGAAAGTGCCGCAATATCGTTGGAATCCGAACCCTGGGATTCCATCATAGCCGTGATAGTTGCACTAAGATCGTAGCCATGCAATGCGAGGGCAGTTTCAATTTCCTCATCTGTCTTGGATTGGCCCAGGATAGAACGAAGCATATCATAGGGAGTCATATCCGACTGCTGCGCCGAGATGTACTCCGGCGCAGCCGCATTTAGGCCGCTCGCATTTCCCACTGATGACGATATACTAAGCGCATCGTCGCTGACGAGCCAATCGACATTTTCGGTCTGGAATTCACCATATATTTCCTGTGCAGGAGTCGTGTCGCTTGCAAACTCGTAGGCATTAAGATTTGGGCTGTGAGGGATCACAGGCGCGGCAAACGCGAGACGCGGGGAGGGTCGCGGTGATGAAAACGGGGAGACAGTGGAGGACTTTGTTCTACTGAGACTGGTGGGTATGAAGCCTGGAGGCGCTAGCGGGCTCACGCCTAAACGAGGCGACCCAGATGCAGGAGTCGAAGAGCCTCGCCACGAGGCTGGCGATGGACGGCGGAGGATGGTTTGCCGGATTGGGGGCGGTGAGGTTGCGCTACCACCAGAGTCACGGTGCCGCCATAACACATCGAGTATCGCATTTTCTAAGGATGAGCCGGTTAGAGATGTTTCTCTCTTGAGAAGGTCCTCAAGTTTGTCTGTCTTGTCTTCATCCTCGATATTTGGATCTTGAAGTATGGGGAGGCACAGGTCATATGTCTCGTCCGAGATCATGGTGATGATGACCCTGTTCCGGATGGGCGGCGGCCGAGCGAATGAAGAGAGGGAGAAAGATTAAGGCTTGAAGAGTAAAGCTGCGTATGGCTGCACTGTACAGATTGACTTAGCGGCGCATACATAATCTAGGGGTTGTAGATAAGTCGGCCGGGTCGGGACACAAGTAGAAACTGGTTAAGCATACATTTAAAGCGAAAGCAACGAGAGAAAACGTGAGGAGATGTACGCAAAGGCGCAAGATCAAGAAGACGGCGAACTAAAGGTCGAGTGCCACAAATAATAGGCGACTACTGGCATTATGCAGATGCTGTAAGACTGGAAGTGAGGCTACCCGGAGTCGAAAGGAAACGAGAGGCGACGCTAGCACACGGGTTAGGAGGGAAATATCTTCGCGAATAACTGAAGCTGGCAGAATAGACTAAAACATGGAAAGGAAAAAAAGAACGAAAGAAACAGAGCCTCGCTGGAGTTCAAGGTGCAACACGGATGGTGCTACCGGCTCGGAGGTTGGCGGTATGGAACAACAAAGATACAAAGATGCATCTGAAGAGCGAGAGGGAGGGATGGGATGGGGGTTGATGCAATCAAGTGGGGGCCAGCCATACCCAACTCCTTATTACTTATTATCATCTTACCTAAAGTAACCTACCGTCAAGTCCTTCGAAGTACCTGGCCAGGGGAATACAGCCCAGAAAGGTACCTAGGTTTTAGGTAGGTTTTAGGTCCGCGGTTAGGTTATACATATATGAGCAAAGACATGTACATAGCAGAGCAGGGCGCATAAGGGCACTGACTTATTTAAATACACAGAAGGTACTTGAGAGCTGACCTAGCTTATAGTGGAGATCTTCTAATATAATTAGTAGCTAGGTAACGTTTTAGCATCTACTTAGTATCGACGTTCTGTTTCAGTGCAGCTTCATTGAGGTGGTCGAACAGTGAGATCTGTAGGCTAAGTACATACCTACCTACTTAAACCTTACTAAGTAGAGCAATGCAAATGCAGGCCAAACTGGTTAATTGAACAGCCAGTGAGTTAATGATAAGCTGATCTAGATATTCAGGAGACAGCTACCGGTACTTATTTTATATTTGTAAGTCAGTCAATGGTGATGGGCACTGGGATCATGTGGCCTAGTTAAGATCAAGAAATTTACAGACATATATGCACCTATGTAGTATTGTATCCGCAAACAGCAAGCAAGCGACTGCCTACTGCCGCTATGCAGCATCCTCAATGTGCTAAAAAAACCGTCTTATCTTGGGCAAGAAGGACATGTTCTTCTAGATCATGACATATCGGGTCGCGTTGAGGGGGCCAGGAGGATGCTTCAGAGCTCTGCGTGTCTCTCTTTTTGTCGTCCCCATGTTGTCTCTACGGTATTTCTTCATTGTCATCTTCGGCGAATCCAAAGCTGAAGCCGCCGCCTCCATTCTCCGACTCGGACTTTGTCCCGACGGCCTCCTCCCACTTCCTTTTTTTCCTCTCGCCTCTTTGCTTGAGCTCTACGAGCGCCTCGTTTAGAAGCTCAGGATAGCTCTGTTCCAATCGTTGCACGAAAAGTTCGAAAGGATTACTAATAGTCTTGTTAAACCCTGTAACTTGATCCGGCTTATTCTTGAGGAACGAGAGAACATCTGTTAAGTGAGACTTGGGTACGAAGTTTTGTGTGAGAGCTATGCCAGTCTCAAGGTTGACAACTAAATGCCACCACCCGCTGGGCACATGCAAGATCTCTCCCGCTTTGCATACGCCCTCAATACAACCAGGAAGTTTCCGAGCCTCAACATGGAATTCGAGAAGCCACTCGGCGATGCTTAGCGGACTGGTAACCTCACTACTGTCTTCTGATACAAAGACACCAGGAACTTGTGTAGAAGGTGGGAACATAATCCAATACTTCGACCCTTGAACTGCAACTCTAGAGTCAGTACTATGCGTTGAAAATTGAGAAGGATAACACTGAAGGCCGTAATGGCCAACAACGTCGTCCATATGTGACCTCTCAAGATTTAAATGCACAGGCTATATCTAGGAAGAGACACGTACCAACAGCATTCCAAGCACTTGTCGCATTTGGGTCCTTGTGAAATGTAGAACCACTACGCTCCGGACCAACGATGAGCCATCGATGCGCCGGTCGTTCTGCACCCAGTACCTCGAACAAATCCGGACCAAAGCAGTCAGGCGGCCAGTACACCGAGCTGTTCTGCGGCCCAATTTCTATGTTCATCTTTTCTGCAAACCAGCGATCGAACAAATAAAGCGGGCTTTCGTCCTCATTTTCTGACATATACTTATAGTATGTCGAGAATGGCCAGTCAACTGCTTCAGCTCGAAAACTAACATTGGAGAACTTTTGTTGAAGTTGCTGAATGTTCCATTCTTGGCAAACCGGCCATGTTTGTATGCAATGGGTTAAGATGAAGGGCGTGTTGCTCCAACTCTGAGCGAACTCATCATAACTAAGACTCGGTAGGCGAGATATTGCATTTGACGCAGGTATAGTTGATGCGTATTTCGCTAGAGCAATATGTGAACAGACAAACGGCCTGTGCAAGACATCCGAGAAAACATTGCTACAATCAATTCTGCTTTGCTCTTCAGCTGGTATACGGAGGTATGTGGCTTTCCAAGTGCCTTTCCAGACGACCTCATTTCCCTCCTGGGAATGTGGAGACCTGCGAGACACAACTGTTAGTACCTAGTTAGTATCGGGGATAGATAATGAATCTTCGAACCCAGTTACGGAAATTTAGCAACGTTTGCGCTCCAAACTCTACCGCAGGCTGTTATACTGGATGAGTCACTACATACGCAGCTCTCGTATACAGTAGCTTTATCTCATGACAGACTAGTCTGACTCACTCAAGGTTGACTCACTCCAAGAACAGGGCTTTCCATAGATCATCCAGCTGTCCAAACGCATACAGAAAACGGCAGGTAGCGGCAAGTTTTCTTAACGAGGTTGTATCGAGATACTCGAGCAGATGTAAAATCATCTCATCTGGCAAGTGGCTCACAGTGCCTATGTGTCGCCGGGCATTGAGAACATTTGTAAAGTACAGGTTCCCAAGTGGTTTAATGCCCATAGGGTGAATGGGAATAGAATCAACAATGCTCAATTCATCCGTCCCGCCGCCGTCACCGTGACTGAGATCCTCTGCTAACAGCATTGTGTAATGGTTTGTAGTAGATGGGAGTAAGTCGACGTGGCAAATGAAGATGTTGCCAAAAATAAAGCTTAGACCTACAGTAGATCAGGAACCCTAGCAGTTGGTTGCAAAAGGATGAGTCTTGTGTGTTAGTGTATGTTTTGCAGTTTTCGACATTTGAAGCTTTAAGATAAGTTTTTTTTTTTTTTTTTTTAACTCCCTTGTCCTTCATTTAGCACATGTGAATGGTAGGCAGGTACATGTACCTTCTTAGGCCAGGGTGTAGATAATATCTGCATGGGTAGGTATCTGTACATGTACATGAGTGAGTCCTACTGAGGCGCCCATTGACATCAGAGGATGGAGGAACGGGCACAGGTGCAACCCCTCGACCCCTCTCTCTCTTCCTTCTGTTCTCTGTGCCCCATCATCAGGTCATGTCCAGGTACCCGGAAGTAGGGGGGGTGATTTAGGTACATGTACCTGACCATGGGCCATATTTGCTGCGCCCCTACTGTATTGAGTTTGGCTGCAAAGTATATCTACCTTCCAAGCGCCAACTCAGTTTCTCCGGAGTTTTGCCCCCACTCAAATTTTTTTTCCTGCCTACTAGTAGTAGTCAAGAGGTGCTTGGGCTTTTCCTCTCTCCTTCGATCCCTCTGAAATCTTCTCAGATTTATATCTACACAACATCCACCAGACAAACCTCCATTTCCGGGCCGTATCGCTCTCACGATTAGTTGAGAGCATCGCGTCCGCTAGATTCACCTACTTCGCTTCGTTGCTGCTGACTTGATTCCCTCAGTGCAAGTCCGCGACTATTTATCTCGAACCCCACCACCACTTTCGTTCTCTATTGTCTTGAATTTCAGGCTGTGCTTGGAATTCGAGGCGTAACTCAAGACTTAATCCGCAATCATGGCTACAGACAAGGGGCTCGAGGATATCGAGCAATCCCAGATCGAGTCTAACTATGACGAGACTGTCGACTCTTTCGATGACATGAGCCTGCGCTCTGAGCTTCTTCGAGGTAAGATGCGCCACCAACGATAAACCCCTCCAACGCGATCGCAAATCCAGGCGAGGCTAACATCCGCATGACATAGGCGTCTACGCTTACGGTTTCGAGCGCCCCTCTGCCATTCAGCAACGTGCTATCATGCCGGTCATTAAGGGTATGTTTTTGTGGTGTTCACCATGATCGCGTTCGGTGTGTTCTGATCAATACCCAGGTCACGATGTTATCGCGCAGGCACAGTCTGGTACTGGCAAGACCGCCACTTTCTCCATCTCTGTTCTCCAGAAGATCGACCCCAACGTCAAGCAGTGCCAGGCTCTGATTCTCGCCCCCACCCGTGAGCTTGCCCAGCAGATCCAGAAGGTTGTTGTCGCCATCGGTGATTTCATGAACATCGAGTGCCACGCCTGCATTGGTGGTACCAGCGTCCGTGACGATATGAAGGCTCTACAAGATGGCCCTCAGGTCGTCGTTGGCACTCCCGGCCGTGTTCACGATATGATTCAGCGTCGCTTCCTCAAGACCGATGGTATGAAGATGTTCGTCCTTGATGAAGCTGATGAAATGCTCTCGGTTTGTAGCCCTATCACTAGCAAGTTTGAGTTTCTCCATTGCTAACTTTATCAGCGTGGTTTCACCGAACAAATCTATGATATCTTCCAGCTCCTTCCCCAGTCCACCCAGGTCGTTCTTCTCTCTGCCACGATGCCTCAGGATGTGCTCGAGGTTACGACGAAGTTCATGCGCGACCCCGTTCGTATCCTCGTCAAGAAGGACGAGCTTACCCTAGAAGGTATCAAGCAGTTCTACATCGCTGTTGAGAAGGAAGAATGGAAACTCGACACTCTATCTGATCTGTACGAGACTGTCACCATCACCCAGGCCGTCATTTTCTGCAACACCCGCAGAAAGGTTGACTGGCTCACTGACAAGCTCACCGCCCGTGACTTCACCGTCTCGGCCATGCACGGTGACATGGACCAGGCCCAGCGTGACCTTATCATGAAGGAGTTCCGTTCGGGATCTTCTCGTGTCCTCATTGCCACTGATCTGCTTGCCCGTGGTATCGACGTGCAGCAGGTGTCCCTTGTCATCAACTATGACTTGCCTGCTAACCGTGAAAACTACATCCACCGCATCGGTCGTGGTGGTCGTTTCGGCCGAAAGGGTGTTGCCATTAACTTTGTCACGGCCGAGGATGTTCGCATGATGAGGGAAATTGAGCAATTCTACAGCACCCAAATTGAGGAGATGCCGATGAACGTTGCCGACCTCATCTAATTACTACACGATTACACGACAACCCCATTTCTCTCTGCATACATTACTAGTCTCTTGATGTTGGGGGCCAAGGGTATTCCAAGGTTTGATAGACGCAGGGCTCGGGGCGGGGCTGGTTTCTGCTGAGGGGGATGCTATGGTTGCTGGTATGGGCAATCACGTTGCATCTCTAGGACAGCGGTAGAAAAGTAATTGATGCATCTGGGCATTTGCGGCTGGGTAATGGCACCTTAATCAGGCGGTGCATGTCGCCTGGCGGGAGGAGTCGTTGGTGTTTCTTCATTTGCTCGTTTCGCGTACGTTTGTACCTAGGCCGTCAGATGCTTTTTACTCAATGAAAATGCTGAACCAATTTGAATAACCGGACTCGTCTTTGCCACGCCTCAGCATCTCCCCTTAGCCCTCTGTTTTACTATCTTTGCATCGCTATTCACTGCAGCAACGTTCCCATCGTTCTCATTACAGCCACAGCTTATTGTTTAACCACTGGTGTCATCATCACGCTGTTTCTCTGCTTATTTGTCTACAGCCCCTGGTACGGATTCTACCTACCTAGGTACTTGATACCGCAACTCGAATACCTGGTTCCCAAACTGCTGACGAGAGTCGCAAAGTCCTCGCCACCTCGCCAGGCGCCTGCTTGGATATGTATGTGGGGTGACTGGGCTCTGTTGAGATTCGTCACCGAGCTCACCTACCTACCAATATTGAACCTACCCGGGTACGTTGAAATGTGTGCCTGCCTAAGTACCTACCTACCTACATATATTCATTATTAGGTATTAATAGGAATTATTAGGTATTATATTTGCGAGGTAAACATTAGTACCGGTGGTCGTACCTTCTACCCCTAAGTTTCGAGGTACCTAGGTAGGAACTATCAGATTGGCCTCAGTATGAGCGCTCTCGCAAGGTAGGGGCGTTCGAACTGTGGCTGCCTCCACCCCAAGAAGTGACGATACTTTCAAATCCAGTCGGACTGGAGACCAATGTCAATGTTATCTTCTACTCTGCTTACCCTCTCCTTTGCGCACCTGCAGTAGATGGCCTCCCGTCTCTGTGCGTCTCCATCCTTTACAAGATTCTATTTTGCCATCATTACGTGTCTCGGTATTCACTCCCTTTCACGCTAGAGTCATGCCTTCCTCCCAGCAAGCAGACACTGAGAGGCCACGGAAAGTAGCCATGCTTGCAGAACTAATCCAAGAACCAAGGAACGAAAAAAGAATCGGCCCACTGGTGACTATGCTTCTAGCCAGGAACGTTGATACTCACTCTAAGGAACTCATTGGATTGGGAGATGAGTTGAAGAAGACGAGGGATAATGAGCTTCAGCATCATGAGCGTATTGCAGAACGAATACTTGGTATTGAACACGATGCAGCGAGCCTACGACAGCTTGTCGAAGCCAAAAACCTTGAGCCATCAGATACTAAAGCTATTCTCCAACAATTGAGCAGCTTGTTGACAGAGACCATCAAGGAGAACAGGCAGAACGATGAGATTTATCAAATCGTCAGAGAGCTGGTAACAGGGCAGCAACAAACTACCAGCGAGATAAGAGAGGCTCTGAAAAAGCAAGAACAGCTTTTGGGCAATCTGAGTTATAATATCGCTGAACTCAAAGGCGGGCTCGAAGGTGTATCGTTCGACACGGAACGCATTCGAGGGTCTATTGTGAAACTAGAAGAGACCATCCAAAAACGTTCTAAGATCGTCAATCTGTCTTTAGCAGCCACGGCAAACCAGCTAGATACTACGGAGCAACTAGATATCCTCGAGGAAATTGTAGGGGAAAGCCTTACTGGGAGAAACATGAAGCAATCTGCTATCAGTAAGGATTGCGCCCCAGGCCCTTTTCTCATTGGTACAAGTGACAGCTCAGGTATAACATCCTCCACTGATTGCAGGTCTGCTCTCATGGTATTCTAAGCTAACCCAAGTAGACCAACTAGAACGCCAGCCTATTAGCCTCAAGGATTGGCCTGCAACTACAGAGTTCCTCGCGATCTATGAAGAGAAGATAGCAAGTTACAAGTCTAAACAGCCTGATAACGAGACGGAGTTCATTAAAGATTTCTTGAGCGCGATAAATGTTCATGCTAGCTGCCTTTTGCAACGTCATTTCCTAAAGAAACGCCCGGAGCAAGTGAAGTTGAGTGCCTTGGGCGCCGCCGACCAACGTTCCCCGGCCATTTTCATTGAATTGAGTGGGGTTGCATGGAAGGACATCAGGCGAATGATAGGAAGTTTGAATCTGAAACTGGTACAGACGGCCGTAGATAAGAAGATCTCCGGATCGCAATCTCGACACCGAGGGTCGCTTGTGCCTCCACGGTAGTCGAGATAAATTCCCTACTGAGCCGCTACTAACAATTTGGAGCTTATGGGACCGGAGAGAAATGAAAAGGGCACACCTTAGACAGTAGTGGCTCCCAATTATTTACTCTCTAAAGGGATCCTTCCAGCTATATCATCCCTCATCTTGCGGGTAAGTTTAAATCCTGCTTCTATGACTTACTTACTGACCAACGCGTACTGTACAGATCCTCTGTGCTGGAAGTTGAACATCTAACGCAGCGACGGACATCAAGAACGTAAAGCTGATATCGGCTCATTTGGCCAACAACATCCGTGATTCCGGAATCTTTTCATTGAACTGTAGCTGGAGTGGCATTTGCTTGCGGGAAACAAGGGCAAAACATGACGAGGTTGCTTCATCAAATGGAGCGGCGCAACGCTACCTTGACCAGTTAAGAAAATACTACTGTAATAGCACAAAGCTATTCAAAATGATGCATAAATCAGGGTCTCGCTTGAAATCTGTAATAATCGCTATATAGTTAGATATATGGTGACAGCATTCTCAAGTGTGCAAGCCTGGCCTGGTAATATTTGCGGATACTAAATATAACAGCCATTCTACTTACAATTGGCAGATAGAGGAATAAGGCCATTCATACAGGAGGCTGTTTAGTAATCGGCTAATTGACAAACTCGACGTTTATGTATCTTAAACTTCTACAGCTGATCCCTGACGATCTTGTTCACTGTGTCTAGAGATTGCAAAAGAACTCGCGTAGCGGAAGGAAAGTTGGATCGTGGACGAATCAATACGCTCTTACCATTGCCGCCACGAGAGAAAGACCGGGCGAATATGCACGGGAACCAACAGGGCATCTGCGAGCCACCTCAAAGCCCGCATGAGAAAATACAAGTAGCGCTACAGATCACTTCGCCGCTCCATCTTGATACTTCAAGACTACCTACCTAGTAACTCGTCGCGGAAACAGAACAGACGCTATTTGCACCACAACAGTCCAAACGTCGATCACAGGAGATCCGCAACTAGAAGATGGCAGATGCCGGATTGCTCATGAACAAGGAGCCGCTCATCATGGGGATGACCCCGGGGGACTACCAAGCTGCCTTGTAAGTAATTATGCTATCCGTTCTTCAACCATTGACGTATATATATGCATTTTATTTTACTTTGTCTAGGTGATTGGTAACTCATCTAATCACTACATCCACTTGGACATCCTCCATCCACCCACTTCCCTCCCTCCAGTCTATGGCAATACTCACCATAATCCCGGTTCCTCCTAGCACACCAGATTCTACTTCAAGACAGCCAGATCCAAAAAGCAATGCGGGAATTCCCTGCGTAAGATGAATATTCAAAAAAAAGCTAACATTATTTCACAACAGTTCCTATCTCGACCACGCCAACTTCGCGCGCGAAGTCGAAGCCCACGAAGCCCAGAAGCAGCAGCTAGGAAAACGTCCGCCAGCCGCGCCAAAGGATATTCCATGGTGGAGGCGGCCCGAGTACTGGGCGCTCATTCTGGGTTGTGTCACGTTCTTTCACAGCTTGTTCTCGACGTGGGCGTGGCCTTGGGTGAGGCGGTATCTGGAGGAAGACTCGCCATATTCTTAGTGCCACGGGAGGGAATTAATTAGTTTTGTTGGTTTTTATGCACCTTGAAGAGGGTTTTAGAAACTGAGACCGGGAAGGTATGGACTAGCATTACACGAATCAGATAGAACCTGGCTATTGCAAATCTGTGTCGAAAACGCCTTATCGCAGACTCAAGTCTTCTACGCCGGACGAAAGCCCCTTGGTGTCCAGGCCAGTGTACTTATTTATCCAGCCAAGAACTTCTTTATGCCACACGAGGGAGTTTTCAGGCTTCAAGACCCACTGCGTAGTAGAAATAAGTTAGCAAACTAGGTACCTACTGACCATCACTTGTTCTGTTCCCCCCTCTTTCGACTAGGAGAATAGGAAGACAGCCGCGAGGGTAAGAGAGCGCTCGCACTTACGTGGTTTTCGTCCGGGAACATGACGAACTTTGAAGGTACTCCACGAGTCTGCAAGGCATTGAACGCGGCAAGACCCTCGGAAATGGGCAGGCGGTAGTCGAGCTCGCTATGAATGACAAGCTGTGGTGTCGCCCACTCACCTACAAAGGCAGCGGGATCCCACTTCTCGTAGAGCTCGCGGTTCTCCCAGGGCGTTCCGCCCATATCATGAAGGACGAAGAATAGTTCTTCCGTCGACCAGTCTGCTAAAGTATTGAAGATACCATCATGACAAACAAGTGCCTTGAATTTGCGCCCTAATGGGTGGCCTTGGATCCAGTCTAGAAGGAGAAAAATTAGCATCAGTTCAAAAAGTACTTTATGAACCAGGACAAGCGAAGGTATGGGAGACGCAAAGGTTGTGGGGGACAGCAGCAAGGGGATGTAAATAGTTTCTCACTGATCATATAGCCACCATACGACGCGCCTAAAGCCACAGCATTGTTGGTATCGACGTATGGGAGGTTGTCCGCGATATGCTCAAAACAGTTCACAAGATCATTGTATGGACGTCCACCCTGTGTGCAATTCGAAGTTAGTTACTTTCACATGTTTTCAACGCCATAGAAGGCTTCAGCGACATGTACATTCCAAGGAAGGGATGACTGAAGAAATCTTCAGCGAAGCTATAATTTATCCTAGGTGATCTGAGATACGATAGGGGAAAGACAGATTGAAGTACTGACCCAATCCAATGCAATATCGTCAACATATTGTTGGCCGTACCCTGTGCTACCCGTCGGGTTCGGCATAACGGCAACATAGCCCTGTTCAGCGAATATGGCTGGATTCCACTAAAGTTCGCTATAGTTAGTAGTTGCTCTTCAGGGTAGTAGGGAAGCTGTGATAAAAAGACGCTTGTCTTCCCAGTGGGCAACTATGAGCTCCATGAGCAGCTAGGGAAAAGGGGGACATACACGAGTGCTCCACGAATCCCCCCAGGCACCTTGAGGACCGCCGTGAATCAAGAAAGCTAATGGGTATTTCTTAGCTGGGTCGAAATTCGTTGGTTTCATTATAAGAGCATGGCCCTTGTAGTCGCCAGCACCTTGAAACCAGAATTCATCGAATTGGCTCCTTGACAAACCAAGCTGCGTACATTCAGACATGTTAGTCAATATCTCTGGGCTGCATTCCATGGGCGTTTCTTGATGATAAAACACAAAGAGACTCGCTATCGGGCGAGAGAGATCTTCATACGTACCGTCTTGCCTTCTTTAGAGACTGACGATACAAGGATTGTCTCTTTCGAGGTAGGGTCGAGGATCGAATAGGAGGAATTGTCAACCAACGACGTGGTAGTCAAGAATAATCTACCGTCATCAGTGGCTAGGTTCGAAATGCTCCCAACTGCGCCATCTTTAGTTAAGGGCTGTGGCAACTCTTTTGCTTCCAAGGGCGAAGAAGGAAGTTTAAACACCAATTGCCGTCCCTCTTTTTCCGCTGTCACATACAGCTCCGTATCGTCGTTGCTCCATACAATTGCCTCGGGTCGCAGATCCCAACGGCCTTCACCATCATCAGTTTTGTAAAACTCTTGCACATTGCTCAGATCCTCAATATCTGGTATTAGCATCAGCCGGGTTTTGTCAGACTCGTATTGCTTGTGTCGCATGCGTGTGAAGGCGAGTTTGTTCCCATCATGAGAGAATGTGGGCGATCCGCTGTAGCCCTGCAGCCCTCCGGTCTTGACAATTTGAGGGGTTGGAGGCTTCTCTTCCGTGAAACTTTTCAGAGGTACATAATAAACGTCGGTCTTGGTCCACATGGCAGGGTTAATCTCAGGGTCCTTGGAAAGGAAAACGAGGCCCTTATTGCTGATATCGAAGTCTGCTGCCCCTCCGAAGCTTGGAACAGGGCATTCGAGCTTTGTTCCGGCCAACGCGTTGACAAGGCCTGATCCGAGAAGCTGGTACTTAGCAGACTTTTCGTCTTTCCGCAGAGCACCGTAGAACACGGCGCTTGTGTGCTTAGAGACGTACGTGTCCCAATGCCGAACAAAAAGGCTCGAATACACGCGTGCCGAGGAGTGTGGTTTCTTCTCGTTTAGAGCATCATGCATACCTCCCGAGGCAGAAGAAGGCGCTGTCAAAGCCAGGGCAACAGTGCCATTGCCGATGTCCTTGGCTTTCAGGTTCGAGACGGAGCACCTGAAGCTCTGTATGAGATACGCACTCGGCTTAGGCTCCGACACATTCGCTAGCATGAGTTGTGAGACTGCATCGTCATTGCTCGCTTCGTTCACGAAAACGAACTCATCTTCGGAAACCCATGTAGGTTCACTGTAGGCAGGGTTGGTGAAGAGCTCTGTGGACTGTCCAGATGAGATGTCCAGCACCTTGATGCTGTATTTCTTCGAATGAGTCTCGAAAGAGTATTGAGAAACTGTACGAGCTCAGTCTTCGCTCAATAGAGATATGTAGATCAGACTAGGTAGCTCTCTGAGCCAAGTTACCTGTGTAAAGAGCGAGCTTCCCGCTAGAGTTGGGGATAGCAGGGCTCCTCCGGGGTGCCGAGAGGAGAACCTCGGGCGTGAATTTGGTTGCCATGATCGTCATGTTGGAAAATGAGGGAACCCGAATAAAGATCCGTAGAATAGAAACCGACCTCTCAATTCGTATAGCAAGCGGAATGCGGCCTACTTACCTACTTACCTCAACTCAATGGCACACCGTAGTACTCAGTAGAAGTGAACAGGTATGCAGGCGCATTATGCAGGGTTGAAGGGGGCCCTCTCTGGAGCTCAACTGATCGTCACCCCGCAGTGGCACCGTGTCAGGCTACCTAGACAGGCTACCTAGGCCTCCTGCCCCTCCCCTGTATCTGCCCTGTACCTACATGACATACAGAATCTTTTCTCTCGCTTCATAGTGTGATGATATATTTACCTACAGTAGGCTGCACGCTTCGTTCTACTAGTACGTTAAAGAATGTGAAACCCAACCTCTCATATTATCTCTGCTACTATCTCCTCTATGTCTTAAGTCTAGACTATTCTTACATGTCGAAAAAGGGTATCATGCGTCATCCTTTGTAATGCTTATACAACCAACAAACTGATTTATTCCATCTGTCTACCATCAAATGCGCCAGAATCAAATGAATCAAACCTATAAATGTGACGCCTTACAATGATATGCGCCGGCAAAATATGTGAAACCAGGAGCCACTGGATCGTATTTATTACTTTCGCGATCCGAAATGGGTGCGAATTTTCTTATTCTCGCGCGAGTCCACCTCACTGTCTTCGGCGTCAGCCTCCTTCTTAGCTTTCTTCTTCTTGCCGTTGCTTCCTTTCTTGTCTGTTGTTGTCGACGTCGGCGTGGGATGGTTGGAGCCGCTATCTTTATCTACGGGTGTAGGTGCCGCCGGTGTCGATGTCGCAGATTGAGCATCTGCATGATCGGGCTATTGGAACGCGTCAGCTTTCTCCTGTATTCTGCCTGGCCACTCTCCTACGCAGGTGAGCAACCACATTTACGTGAGAGTCGGGCCGTACATGAGTAGGATTGTGAGAGATGGAGGAACGCGAGAAGATACGGTTCTGGTCGATTAATCCGTTGCGTTTGCGCTGGGCTGTGGCGTTCGAATTGCCTTTGATATAGCCATCAAAGCCGGTGATGATATTGCCAAAGGGCGTGCTCTCGAGATATTCGGTCTCCTTCTGTAATATTGACTGCTCTTGCGCGACCTAGAAGAGAAGACACATCAGCCCTGAGTCCGCACCCCGAAGAACACGCTGTGCGTAGTACAAAGTATCGTGGAGACAACCTACAAGCTGCCGTTCGATTAGCTTCCTGTTTTGAAGTAGCTCCTTGAGGTACTGGCGTTGCTTTTCATAGTGCGCAACTCCAGGCTGGTCGCCATTGCCGCCATGGCCCGAGTTCGTAACTGGCTGTATGTTTTCTGACGACATGATCAAATCGAAGAGTCGTACGTGCTGTTCTTTTTGACTAGCTTGTAACAGGCGGCCGCCGAGGGTTTACAGTAGGTTTAAAGTAGAGGGGGCTACCGTAAGTTGACACGATGGAAATAATACTACCTACATATGTATGTAGTTGAAAGCAGAGAAGCCGATGGCCCACACTAGGTAGCTTATTCCAGCCCGCCTTATTTACTTAGTACACGTACCTAGATCAAGCCCGCCCCAGACTGGGGTTCCTTAGGTACGGTAGGTACCATTTCCTTGGCGCTGCAGGCACTGTAGATACCTAGCCAAGACCTACAATATGTTCTAGGTATAGGTATGTACTCCGTAGACTCTACCCTGATCTACAGGCATAAAGTCTTACGATCTATTTAGAATCGCGATTAACAGTAGAGAAATGGTACTAGCATCTAAGTGAAGAAATATAGCGTTCTAGCGGGTTCTCATTGATAAATGGCTGTATATGCTAGGGTAATGACGAACAAGCCATTGGATGAATGATAACGTAACTACTGACCTCGATCCAATACCATACAGGAGTCCGCACTGGGAAGGGTAGCTGATGCAGTGTTTCAAGATACTAAATCTGTATGTCTGGCAAGATTAGCGTCACCTCTCAACCGCGTCGCTATTTGAGGTTCTTCTCATCTTCATGATTTTATCTTTCAAGAGTTTCTCTCTCAACTTGTTGGCCTGCTGCTGTGATGTCTTGCTCTGACAACAGAGAGTCAGCTCTTGATACGGGAATTAGCCAGAATCAGAACCCCTATCAAGAAGAACGAACCTCCTTGGCCGCCGAGGCCGCATCATATCGTGACGATCGAGATATGTCTTCATCTTCCGAAATATCAGCTGGTCTGTTGTCACGGGGTCGGGGGGTCCGGTTCTTCGAGGGTCCAGGAGATGTGCTAATATCTCTATCCTTGCTTCTGCTCCTGCTCCTACTTCTACTTAAGCTGCGCCGAGACCGTCTGTGGCCCTTAGGCGATGCTGATCGAGTAAGGCTCCGTGTGAATGATCGCCTGAGTCTGCCTCGGCGATTAGGCGACGGACTGCGGCTGATTAGCTCGCGTGCCGGTCGTCGTCTGGGGCTACGAGACCGGGACCGGGACCGAGATGTCGAGGACAATCGGGAGCGGCTCAAACGGCGACTATCTCTGCGTGTTGGAGACCTTGAGCGACTTGGTGAGTCGGAGTATCTGCGTCTTTTACGGACGGGTGAGCGTGATTTACTACTGTCTTCCGAACTAGAATAACTGTCGGGAGAAGATGTGTTATTTCGACCGTGATTGCCACGGCCTCGAGAAACCCTTTTTTGGTCAAGCGAGCGATCTCGCTTCCTGTAACGAGGAGGAGATTTATTCCCAGCCCGATATCGGGGCGGACTCGTGGAACTATTGCGCCGATTGCGTTTGTTGGTCTCGTTTGGTGATCGTGAGCGAGAATCGCGTGAATCTGTAGATGCTGAGCGGGTTGGGGAGCGCCCACGCCGGAAATCTTCTCGTGCCCCACGACGCCCATCAGGCACATAGCGATCACGGTTGCCTTGATATGAGTCACGGTCTCTTCTCGGAGGGGATGCGCCTCGACCCGCGCCACGTCCGAATCCTCTTCGATCGTCAAAAGCTCTGTCACCACCGCGTCTACCACCGCGCCAATTGTCCCCACGGCCCCCACGGAAGCTACGGTCTCGTCGCTCACGATCTCGAATTTCCGTTAACTCGCGATCTCGACGCTCCTGTGTCTCTCGACGGACGCGAGCCTCCTCGGCAGCTTTATCTGCATCGATCTAGGCTTGATTAGTTACAGGTAGCGGTCGGAGACATCAGGCGGACAACAGACCTTCTCTTGAATGAGTTCAAGCTTCTTGGCCTCTAAGAGTTCTTTCGGGACACCTTGTGGGCTGGACTGGGCGCTCAAGCAAAGCTTCCAGAGCTCCTTACAAAAGGGGGCGGTGTCTTTATCCAGGAAACCCGTGAGCTGAATTTGCAAGGATTTGATATCGGGCTTTAAAGAACAAGTCAATTTTCTCTCATTGTCGTGTTGAAGTGGAATGGTTGAGCGCGAACGTACGAAGCGAGGACCGTCAATCAGATTGAAGCATAGCTCTATAACCACGTCGTCTTCAGAGCCTAGGATTTCGGATATTCTGCTAGCTATCCATCTGCGTTGTAAGAGGTCAGCTGCTCTGTAGCGTAGTCGATCAGAAGACTGCCATCCACCAACTTTTTCATAACTTGAAGATTGACCTTTTGCATGTCGACCTTTTGGTTGAACTCCGGGGGGAATTTGGTAGCTCGCAGGAGCTTTGCATCCACGCTTGCCGCCATTCGAGTTGCTGGATGCCGTCAAGAAGTGCCTCTGTGTACTAGATGGACGTGGGCGGCGTGCTGTTCCGCGGCAATACTGTGCGAGAGAAGGGAGATTGGAAAGGTGACGTCTGTGGAAGCAAGCATTGGGCTGGAAAGTGGGAGTTTTGGGGACGCGTCTGTTCTGTTTCTGGGACCGTTAGGTACTTACCTTAGGTACCCTCTATCGGCCGCTAGGGGTACCTATGCACCCAAAGGTCGCTAGAGGGTACACAGTTACTTACGGGGCACCTAGGTACCTATTTCTTCAGCCTAAAAGCCGACTGCTTGTTTGATGCTCTATGAAAGAATATATTACCTGATGCCTTGAAGAAAAGGAAGGTAAGAACAGGAAGGACAACTTTAGGTAAATTGCTATCTACCTCGAAGTGTCTTTGTAGGAATCCACCTGCAGTGCTGCCAGTGGCCTGCGCCCTACCATAATACATGACCCGTTTTTACAAGCCTGACCAGATATTAATCAAAGACGCTCGCAACTACGGAGTAAGTATTCAAAGCTTAGAGCGATGCCACCCATTCATCTGCATTAACAACCGTGGCCTGTTTTGAGAGGACTTTTCCAAGTAAGGTCTCGTGCACCTCAGGCTGTGTATCCGCGCACAAGTCGGCAAGGACCGTGATCTCATAGTCCATGTCAAAGGCCTGGCGAACCGTCGACAGCACAGCACCACTGGTAGCAAGGCCAGCAACAATGATCTTTTCGATTCCCGAGGACCTTAACACGATGTCCAAATCGGTGCCGTAGAGCGCCGAGACCCGTCGCTTCTTGATGTGGATATCGTCCGTCGCCGCCTCGGCAATAGTCGGATGCAGTTGCACGGCCGCGTCCGTGTCTTTAAATAAACCAGCGGCCCGGACTTGTGCTGTCATCGGGTTTCGTGGTGAGGCATCCGCGTAGCTTGGCCGGAATCCAGCTATAGCGGATCAAAAGTTAGACTGTTTGCATTGTTCGCATGGGAAATCAACAGCTTTGGGGTGCTTACTTGTCACTTGTACAACCGGAATCCCAGCCTGTCGTGCTGCCGCTAAAGTTGAAGAGACCTTAGCAAGATATTTCTCCGTATCCATGGCGCCATTAAGCCTCTCGACAATTCCGGTCTGAATGTCGAGGAGGATGAAGGCGGTTTTCCCCATAGTGTACGTATAGATGGTTGACACAGTATTTTTACTACTTGTTAAACTGGTATTTTGAGAGTATAAGCTATGAGATCCTGCTTCGAGAGTTCTTCGAATTTGCGAGAACACGCTACAACTATATATCCCCTTCTCACTTTAGTTGTTTCCATCCGTCGAGATATGAAAGCCCTGGATTTGATGTCGTTCAACGCCGGGTCGGGTACGAAGGCCAGGTATGATTGGACTAGCAGCAACTTCAATGACGAGAGTATCCGCAGGCCCGGAGCCGGTTCGCATAGTCCGCGAGCTTTATTCTCTATGTGCTGAGAAATATATGCCCGTTAAATCCGTTAATAGACACTAATCGTAAATGAAGGCAGCAAGAGGAAAATGTATGTATTGTAACACAGTGCCATCGGTAAGTCAGAAGTCCGTTTCTACGATGATACGGAGACCTAGTATCAGAATCGATATTTGTCAATTATGTCGGTCCTCCGTGGTTGGTATTGCTATCACTATTGGATTAGGAAAATCAGAAATGTTTCTGGCTTTTGTCTGTCCCTTATGCCTCGGTGCTTCTCGTCGTCTTCTGCCTTTTATCTATAAGCTACAGGTAGTATCGGTGGTTTTTTTTTTTATCTCCCGGGCCCCCCGTGCTGTATTTATGACCGTCTGCTGGCTACACATTAGTACATTATCGAAAACATAGACAAGGTCTTTTATGCATTGCCTACCTACAGCGGAATGGCTCGGCCTGCTCTCAGCCCGTGTGACAATAGGTCGATCAGCATGTTAATTACCGCAGAACTTGCATCTGCCGAAACAAATTAAGTAATTATAAGCGCAACGAATCAATTATAACTCAACGCTCTATGACGGAACCTCATACTACAACGATATGTAATATCAGGTGGGGGTATCAGAACTGATCATATCGAGTCCATCGATGAACGAATTACATGATGCTGAATATTTGACATACCAATACTAGTCCGTAACGTCATATATTCGTGTACCGTTCCTTCATTACAATCAATATTACGAAAAGTGTAAATGAAATAATTCCCCTCCAGTAAGCGAGGCCAGTAGCAGAATATTCCTTTCAACTTACGCCGATGCCCTTGCAGTCGCGTGTCTTCCATGGGCATATCCCTAAAACCCAACTCGTCCATCACGAGGTGTCCCTTAACTCCGATCGCCATATAGCTTATCAATCCCAAAAACCCTTCAGACCGGCCTAGGTCCTTCCGGGGTGATGTAAATTAGAGGGTTCACTTCGTTCTCGCTGATGACCCAACGCCGATTTTCTTTGTTCTGCTGCCGCCGTCCGCTGCTGTAACTGCTGCTTTGCAGCTAAAGCGTTGATCTTCTCTCGCGCCTTCATCAAACTGCTGTTGTCTTGCTCCCTTAATTTTGCGCGAATCTCGTAGAGAGATAGCAGGGTGGAAGCCCTGTCGACGTCTGAATCGGCCTATGCTACTCATTAGTATGTAAAATGGAGAAATAGAGAAGAGGAGACGGCGAGTGGCGCACATGTTCACCGCGGGGAGTGCCGGGTATTGATGAAGGCGTGGCGGAGTTTGTCCTGGAGAGTGGTGGCGAAAAGATTCGGCGGCCGTATTTGTCAGTCAAGCGACCAGCAGAGGGAGGAGGTGAGGTTATGCGACTCTCGGTAGCGCTTCGCTGATGATTCGTCTGGGGCTTGTGCTGGTTGGGGGCGTCAAGGGTCTTGTTCGTAGAGACGAGGGCTTTAGCAGCGGCTTGGTCTTGCTGTGGTCAAACAAGACAACAAAGTCAGAAACACGGTGGTGGAGAGGTAGAGGTGGACACGAAAGTACGACATACGGCGGCCTGGAGATCATTCAGATCAGCCAGCATCTGGGCCAACTGTAGAGCCTCCATAATATGGTATAGAGTCGGAGGTGTCTATAAGTAGTCGTCGGATGTGGATGTTGGTGATGGAGGATGACGATGATGATGATGATGATGATGATGGTGACGACAAACGAGTACGAAGACGAAAAGCTCGGGATGTCATAGCATTAGGTGCATTAGAGGTATATATTTGTAGGGAGGGAAATAGGAAGATTCTGTGAGGTAGGTGGAAAACAGGAGGTGAGATGTTTGGTATTACGTTGTTGCAGCGGGGAGAGAAAAACTCAGTACAATACTACCTACACCGTAGTACTGTCAGTACTGGGTATTTGTCGCGTGTGCAACACACCATTTCCATACCGACTTAAAGTTATGGCTGGCTAGCTACATACGTCGTACACCTAATGGAGAAAGTAGATGAGGAGTGAATTATATCCGGTACCAACTTCAAACGTTGAAAGTCTAGATCATCAACTACTGCACATACTTACATATACGTTGATACCTCTGACTGCACAATGTGGATCCTCTGTGTCGTCCCCGCGTTTAAGTATCAGATCAGGTACTGTATCTAACAATGACTGCGGAAATCTACGTACTAAGTAAGTACTAAAACCTACCTACTATATAAGACGTGATATTGTCCGTACAGGCCTCTCTGTGCGAGAAGCTCAAAATAACCCGTCTATTATTTATATTTAGAATACGGTAGGCATGACAGTCTGGGCGAGCCCTTTCTGCCTCGTGACTATTACATGTATACTTAGATAAATAACTCCTTTGGCAGAATGTGTGTTAGATGGGTATGTAACGGCCGCTTCCACTCCTCCGGCATACCCTCCTCCCAGTCAATGATTACGATGTTATACAGCTCTTACATCAGTACATCTTTGTGTAGTTCTAATATCATAGCCCCAGGAACACACCAAATTTACATACACACCTAAAGTATGATGGCACTCCTTGACCTTGACGGCAACTTTTACGCAAAGCGCTCTAGCGCTGGCGCCGAACTGGCCGGATCTACATTTTCGACCGTCCCTTCGGCGCCAATTCCAGTTGCTGGACCAGAGTTGAGGTGAACCAAGCGCAACGCCCCACCGAGCCTCTGCTCAGCGAAGACATGCCGGCGGCTGGCCCGAGCAGAAAAATATAAAGCCGCATTGGCGAATCACCAATTGCTGCTCATCTCTGACGTCCACCCAGCCATCAACTTCCGTCCGCCGTCGGCCCCGCATCCGAGCTGTTAGAGGAGTCTAGGTATAAAATATACCCGATAGGTAGAGCTAGGATATACAAGCATACACCAGTATATAACACGCGGGGCGACAGTGACCTGGGTACAGTCACTCGTAGTTCGACATCATGAACGTCTTTCGTCGCGGTTTCGCCATGGCCTCGACATCAGCAGCCAGCCTCAAGCAAGCGCGCAAGGTCGTGTGCATCGGTCGCAACTATGCGTAAGTCAACCCTCTCGCTCGTCTTCTTGCGGGAATTTGCTAGGTAGTTAACAGTCTGCATTTCAGGGACCATGTCGCTGAGCTCAACAGCGCCCGGCCTAAGCAGCCTTTTTACTTCTTAAAGCCGACCAGTTCCATCCTGCTCCCAGGAGAGGGCCCTGTCATACGGCCTAGGGGTGTCGAACTTAGCTATGAGGTTGAGCTTGCCCTAATTATGGGAAAGACATTGAAGGACTTCCCCGTTGAGGATGAAGCTGGTGCTATCGACGCCATTGAGAGTGAGCAGTCTCCACCCTTCTTGTTAAATACTGACGACTAATGCTTTCTTGTAGGCTATGCGCTGGGCATTGACATGACTGCTAGGAATGTCCAATGGGAGGCCAAAAAGAAGGGCTTGCCCTGGTCCATCAACAAGGGCTTTGACACCTTCCTGCCTATGAGCAATATTATCCCAAAATCGGCCATCCCCAACCCTCACTCCATAGAACTATATCTGTCTGTCAATAACGAGGTTAAGCAGAATGACTCAACAGAGCTTTTCCTCTTCCGAGTTCCCCAAATGCTGAGCGCCATCTCTAAAGTCATGACTCTAGAGAAGGGTGACATCGTCTTAACGGGAACTCCGAAGGGTGTTGGACCGGTCGTTCCTGGAGATGTCATGCGTGCCGGTATTAGAGTTAATGGCAAGGAAATCGAAGAAGCTAAGATTGAGGTCCCCGTTGAAGAGTCAACAGGCGCTTACGAATACGCTGAGACATAAGAGCTAGCCACATCTAGAGTCAATACATTTTATTTCTCACAATTCCCAACGTTCCCGGTATTAGACATAATTATCTACCTGGGCAAGCTCGGCACGATAAACAACTCTATTGTTCCTACATGTTATGTCTAGCGTGCAGCCGAGAGATGACTATTCTAGCCTGGCCGGACAGCTAGTGTCATTGCTTGTTTCCCAGTTCAAGCTCTTGAGGAAAAGGAAAGAAAAGGAAAGAGGTGGGGAAGATGTGTGCTGGTGCTAGGTTAGATATTTATTTGAGAAATCGGTAAGAACTAAAGTGACCCATTTGTATCGAGAAGATTACCCTATCAATCATACAATGTAGCAACATCGAAGTATTCTATGACCCAAGATTTTCCTTATTTTTTTTCCCTCTTCAAAGTCATGTTCAACAAGTTCACAGATAACCGTGGTCGACTAGGCGCCTGGCATGCCACGCCGAATGTTCATGTACTGACTGGTCGGGTAGCGCAAGTTGTTCGGCGTTCTCTCTAACCAGTCCAAGGTGCGGTACATAGTCTTCACGAGACTGCCGCGCCCTGCTCGGTCACCGCTCGCTTCCCAGAAAAACGCACCGCCGAGTTCTCTGTTCCGCACATAGCGGGCCTTGAACTCGGTGCTGCGGACATCGTCGTAAGTAATCAATTCGCGGGCCTTCGCGTCGTAACTATACGTCGCCTTGGCCACATCATCGAACTCTACCCGCGACCCCGCCTTCGGCAGGTCTTTGTAGTACCACACGCCCGGCGAAGGGCCGCCGCTACCGACCGACGTGTAATTCTGGCCCAATCCCGAAGTTCCGTTGAATGAGCGCCCGTACAGCGGTGATCCGATCACAATCTTTCGCCCGTGTATACCGTGCGACTTGTAGTACCGCACCGCGTCGTCGGTGTTGAGGGGCGTTGACGCCTCGTTCTCTTGGTTGGCGAACACATTGGCTTGGTGCCCGCTCTTCGAATACCAACTGCCTGAGTAGTCATAGGACATAAGATGCCTAAGCCGAGATGTTAATGCCAATGGTCTTACGAGTATATATCCCTCCACTCCCAGGCGCCACGTGGGCAATACACACCGAGAACGCTATTTCGACACGAAGGAGATGGAACAAGGATAAGGAAAGGCGTAGAATGTGTAACTTACCAGATATCGACGTATCGATCCATGCGCGGCAGGTCGACGAACTCCCAGTTCGCCGGGCCTGCGGGGCTAGCTACTGTGACCAAGAACCGATAAGCAAGGCGGTTATGGAACGAGTACCGGTCAAAGGCCTCGCGACAGGCCGCGACTAGTTTGACCAGGCTCTCCTTCTCGGCTTCGTTCGTCGGGTACTCCCAGTCAATGTCGATACCATCAAAGCCCCAATCCGTCACGAGCTTGACGGCAGATTTGGCGAATGTCTGCCGACGCATCTCTGTCGATGTTGCGGCTGCGAACTTGGGCGAGTACTGGCCGCCGCCAACGGATAGCAAGACCTTCAGCTGCCGGTTCCATTTCTTATGAATATACAGTTGCTTCACGGCCCCGTAGGCGTTACGGCCCCTTTCCCAGTGGTCATCATCGGGATATTTTTGGGCCAGGTCGACTACGGGGTCTGCTGATATTACCGTCCCGTTGGGTGCGATATCTGCGAACGCGTAGAGTATATGACTTAAATCGTCTACCGGAAGCCTGTGGGGGAGAAACTTTTCTTGGGAAATCCCCCTAAAAATATGTCAGCAGCTGGTTATGTCCAACTGGAGGTGGGACGGACCAGTTTGTGAAGTAGACGGCGTTCTTGTACCCCCTAAAGGGGCCTGAAGGGGGTGGAGGAGGCGGTGGTGGTAAGCCCCCAATGCTTGTCGGCGTTGGCAGCCCGGTGTTTATGGGCGTGGAGCTCTGTGTTATAGTACTGCCATTGCTTGGGATTGTGGGGGTAGTGCTGATGCTGGTCACACTTGTTGAAGATATCGTCGTCCCGGGACTGGAGCTGCTTGTAGAGATTCCTGACGTACTCGTGGGAGTGCTGATCACATCGGTAGTCTCACTACTTGAGCTGGCCGGTGGGCTTCTTGTTATAGAGGATGAAGTAGCGACGCATGAAATGCCATCCCGGCTGCTCGTTATATTTGGCGCAAATACATATATCGTTGTAGGCAAGTACACAGTCGTCGTTGTTGCGAGTGCGCACTCGCCTGAGCTCTCGATCGCAGACGCAGCCTTGACTAAAAGGCTGCACGCAAGCACCCAAGAGCTATCTCTTTTCATCTTGACTGGTGTATTTCCCTATAATGTTTCCAGAGGCAGGATAAAATATCGACATTGAAAGCTACCGCTTTGTCAAATCACTTATATCAAAGATCATGGGGCCCTGCAACACGCGTTGACCAGCGGCGTCGAGCCACCAACCTTCTAAGTAGCTTGAGGGCCCCCAGCTGTCTGTGTAGGTCTAGAACTGCCATCGCTTAACGTCTAGCCATCTCTCTGTTTCATGTGTAGGAGCAGAATAAGCTAGCTGGCGCGGCAGCTCACGGAGACTCGTGGACCAGTGAAGAAATCCTCCATCACGCAAGCAATATATCATGCAGGTAATCTATTAGCCTGTGTAGAGAGCAACGTCGTAAGAAGCCGTCATCGCAAGTGGGCATCGGGAAATACGACTCTAGCATCCCGCGCAATTGCCCACATACCCACAGACAGAAAATAGGATGCTTATGAAAGGAGGCGACGAATTGAGATTGGTGAGTGAGGAGACGATCTTATCTCTTTTTGCGGCAAAAATAGTCTCCACGATGGAGGACCGGTAATATAGAAGGCCAAGGAGCGCACGTCTTCATATTGGCTAGGCTTTGCCTAATCAGGGTCTGCTTTATGCGTGCAGTTGACAAGGGAATGGAATCTGGCCAGCAGATGAAGAGGAGATCTGAGAGGTCTAAGGATGGTGGTCAATTGGCTGCGTCTCCTCAACCGTCCATTTGATTGTTGTCGATCTACACTATTAAGTAAGAAATATTGAACTTATGCAGTTCTGGCATGGGAAGCTGTCAGTCTAGAGCATGCCTTGCATACTAATCCTTGCACTACATGTAGCACGACGACTCCCTAAGAGTCGATACCGGCCGACCTTCATCCTCTTTGCCCTGTGCTTCATCATCCAGCATGGTGTAGCATTATGCAACGTGTACTAAGTACAGGATACCATTTTACGTAGTACAACCGAAGCCGAACCAGAGCCAAGCTCGCTGGGAACTAGGCCACGGAGAATATTCTTGCACACTATCCATGGCTTGCTTCAACTGGAAATAAACTCTTGCAGAGTTAGCTGCCTTGGCAAAATAGCGAGACAAAGATGCCGATTCGAGGATGATGGACATTCCATGCATTGTTATTTTCAGGGCAAATTAATTGCATTGGCGAAGCGGGACGAGATTCCCATTTGTCGAATCCTGGCTGGTCCTCTCTAGCCGAGCCTGGGCATACATTTCAATACCACATACACATGTACTGTGCATTACCACGTTCTGCCCCTTCCACTTGCTCTACGCAGTATAATCAACTATAGTGTCATCTGGATAAGGCTCGTTCTGCTCTATTTCCTATCTAAATATTGCATTGTACCCTAGTAAGTTGCATATTCCATGATCAAGCACAAGTTTTGCATCGTGTTATGCTTCGGTACGTACTCTGTACGTATAATTTGTCTCATTATGCTTCTTCGTGTAGAGAACAGTCGATTGAGCTAATGCTCATCTGGGTTCTTGATATCTATGATCAAATCATGCCATGACAATTCACTTTTCCAGTAGCGTTTACCCTGTCGACTGGTTGTGGCGACAGAATATCTATAAAGGATGGGTAGTATGGTTCAGAACGACCTACAAAGGAGCATCGGAAGTATGATCAAGTATTCTGACATTCTGCTGCTGGAGGAGGACAACATGTGAGCTAGAAGTAAGTGAGAGTTACATTCTAGGAACATGATAATAACTTCTTTCAGATATTGTCTCTTCTTACATACTGGATCGTGCTGGTGGCTAGCAACATATTCTTCAGGCCGTCACAAGAAAAGCAAAGAAACGGTTCTGCCGGGCAATTAAGTTGTGTTGAAGATTAATGGAAGACTTCATGACCTTGACCATTTTCTGTCTTTAATCCTTGTTATATCTTCTCATTATTTGTGAATCTATGACTAGAAGCATTAAGTTGGTAGTAATTGCCAATTTCTCGCTAGTCAATTCTCCAGCTTCTTTTGCTCCTTCATCTTACATTGCCGAAGAGTAAGATGCCTGTTCAACCGAACTGAAATAACGACACAAAGACGACCGGTCATCGTGCTGGTCTTGAACATACAGCAGTCTCTTGGACGTTTGCAGTGCTATTCACGATGAGAACGGAAACAGTTCATGAGTGCTTTACTGCTTATGACTTGCACTGTTGTATGTTCTAGCCTTCTGCGCAGGATAAGCTTACGACTATCCTGGGAAATACATGGGCCGGGCAAATTTCGGCAACTGGCTAACCTCACCGCCAGTCAGTACTGCTCGGCACCAAGAATCGTCTCACCGAACATGGCCACGCTCGACGCTCGAAATACAAAACAACAGGAAGAAATTCACTGAAGAACCTGAGCGGACCATGCAGAGCGAAGCCTGCAATTGCACACATGCCAGCTATGGTGCTCGATTCGTTCCACCAGTTCGTTGCCCTTCCGTTCGAGCTTCGGCGGATGATATATCTACTTGCATCGCCGCCCCGTTTCGTTCATGTATTGGAAGAGACCGAAGATAGGGATGATTTTGAAGAAAGATTCAGAACATCCCTCGTACCGATACAGCTTCGCCCTTCTATAGCGTATTTCGCGCGCCAGTGAGTCCCCTAGAGTCACTTATTCTCACCAACTGTTCAACCTCGTTGCTCCAACATATTCCCCAAACCTAGATTCACCTTCGACTCGGCATAGAAAATACTGACTCCAGTCTGCAAACGAAGTTGGCGGGGACGTATCCCATTCCCACCCGTGCGGTGGAAGTGGTACGATGGACGACGTCAGACAACTCTTGAGAGGTACGGGTTCGATAGTCCCCGTTCTCGAAACTCCCTCCCTTGGAAGCCAACAAGAGACGTACCGGAAATACCTTACAACTTCCTATCCGAGAATCCCGACGTCGCGTGGGAGTTTCTGCGTACCAGTTCATTTTACAGCACCGCACCGATACCTACGATGCTACATGTTACGAGAGAGTCTCGTCATGTGTTGATGGGGTTTGGGTATGAGTTGGCATTTCCGACGAGAAGCTGCGGTCCACGTATCTGGTTTAACTTCAAGACCGATGTACTGTACCTCGGTAAGATTGAAGACCGAGAAGACCGTCCATTCTGTACGTCGTTACCTTTCTAGCTCTATTTCAGTAACTCGATGACTCTAAGTCATCATCAAGTCTCTCCTTATGGTTGCATCAAGCACCAGAGACTTTAACAGTCTTGTTACGGTCATGGCTCATACCCAACATAACAATTACTGATATTTCAAATGGTAGGCGATTTCTTGAGTGGTAATAAATTTTGGGATGTCGGGCAGTTTGACCCCCATGATTTAAGGCGGATTAGGCGAATTGCACTAGAATCTTCAGCAGATGCTGTCTGCTTTGGTAACAAAGACGTTATGCATGGTGTATCCGACATACTTGAGCTATTGGGCAGCGTCGAAGAGCTTTTCCTTGAGGAGTTTGGGTGGAGCTATGAGTTATCTCAACACGCAGAGCAAGAGAACGGTCGATCTCTGTGGGTTTATGCGCCAGTCTTAGAGGTCGATGTTCTGGCAAACGTTGTCTATGGAAGCACCCCCCCAAGGTCTACTGGATACGAGGGCCAAGAGCTCAGAGCCTATAAAGAAAACAACATGGGCGACGGGAGAGACTTCTTTGTCGATAAAGCTCGTAGATTTGAGGAAACATTAGAGGCGAGGAGGGATGAGCTTGTACGCAGTCGCTCGTTAACTCCGTGGAGGATCCCGAAGGCCACCTTGGGGTATATCCTTCCTCAATGGATGTGCAAAGCCTTATATAAATGGAGATGGACTATTTGGAATCGCCATCGGGCCCTGAAGGAGGAAGAGGCACGGTCCAAGGCCTTCGAAGCAGCGCAACGGTCCATTGACGTGCCAAGAAGACCAATCGACGGAAATAGGCGCAACGAGGACTCGCCGCCATCTCCGTTCAGTGAAGCTTTTCGAGACGACATGGAAGCTCTTGAGGAGTCCCTGAGGCAGGAGGACGTGAGACCTGTGCCTGCTGACTTTTATATGTCTCATCTTCCTATACAGCGTAACTGGCTACTTACTGCCACTGTACCCCCTCCAGAAAACTGATGGTGGGTATCCTATCCTAGATCCGTCATGGAACTCAATCTTCAAATCACAAATCATTACAGCCTTTGCGAAATGACTTATCGCGCGCAGACACAAACTCTCTGCTCTAAACTAACGCGACGATTGGCCCGATTCTATCATTCTAGCTGTCGTCAACGACCGAGTTACTTTACCACGCAATATCTCGGTGCGTTGCCATACCCACGTTCAGAAGTTCTTCGAGTAAAGAGCCCGCCCAACGGGTGTAGCTTACAGCTACCGACATCATGACATTACCTACCTATGTTCTATACCTCAATACACCAGCCAGACTTGGGCGAGTGTTCATACCACTCTGGTTGCGTGTTGGGAATTTCGTGGCCATGACCACCCCAGGCTATTGCTGGGGATAACTTCCGATAGAAACTCGGTATCGATCGACTATGACGAAACTGCCTGGATCGGTCATATCTTGCACTTGCGCCTCGTGTGCATCCTGCCTACAGGGAGATGGTATCGGTTCCGTTGTGCCTGTCTATCAGAAGACTGACTCTATGCCTCCTCACCTGCCCCATCTTCGGGCGGCCTAGGTATGTACACGCAGCGAGCACTTTGCATGTATGCGTGTCAGCCCACATCGCCTCCCTGGCTAATGAATGCCCATCCTCCACACCCGGCTCACGAACCGTATGCGGCGAAGTGGGCAATCTCGTACTTACTATGCGTGTGTTTTCTGTTGTGTCGAGTTACAAAGAAGAGGGGAAGAGACCTAACAGAACGGTACAATTTTGGTGTAGTTATACCTATGCCTACCTGTACATACCTAGGTAGTAGGTAGGCAGGTATGCAGTTGGATGCTACTGAAGTTACAGTGGACCATCTACTGGACCTTCATGCCTTCATCACCTGTGGGTCAGGTGATATTCCGGCCAGGAAGGAGCTTCAACTGCGTCATTGTGCTTCTCGAGCTTGCTTGGAGTTGTATCGCATGCTTGCTTGGTCCTTCACTCGGTGTTTCTCCTCAGTTTTTCTCAGTTTCTGTCCTCGGGTTTTCTCCTCATTCTCGTCTGCCCTGCCGTCCCTCTATCTGCCCATTCCTATCTATCTTCGTAGACGCGTGACCCGCGCTCCATCATTCTCTTCCACCACCCTAGCCTACCTACATCTTGGTATATAAATAATAGATTGCATCGACCACTATCCGTCGTCTTGCCCTCACTTGTGCCCTCGCGTCCTTCTACCCTTGGCCCGCAGCCCCATCTTATCTGCGTCTATTCTGTGGTTAGTGTTGGGTCTGTGTTGGGCAACACGAGCCAGAGCCTAGAACACCTCCACTCTTGATCGACCGATCGCTAGTTAGCACCAACGGTGAGCGCCATTCTCCTAGTTCGACCTCTAGCTCCAATTACCCCGACCCCAGACATACCGGTATCTACCCCACATCGCATTCCATGCCTACTTGTAGTTCCCGGCCATCTCTGTGAGGTCGTCATTTGGATAGGGCGGTAGCATACCACGGCTATGTTTACGCGTGCATTTATATCTATCAAGGCCCATCCTGTTGGACCCGGGTCCTCAAATTTGGCTTTTGCTGGCCTCCCGAGCTAATTACGTGGTTTCGTCCCAAAGGAAACAACCCGATCCGATGGCTTCTGCAGAGCAATCCCTGCCCACGAGGGAACGGCGTCCTTCAATGGGAGCTCCAATAGTCGACATCGTCGGCTCAATAGGGCCTGCTGGTATTTCTCGACCTAAACACAAGCGTACCTTTACCGGGTTTGGTGCCGGTGAAATAAAAAACGTGGAAGGTTAGTCATCACAAAGTAATTATGCTATTTTTGAGGCTGTACATGTGTGCCTTGAAGTGAATTTGATCAATCTCGCGTCCCATTGCAGTAGCTCATCCTCTGTCTAGCTTCTATTCCCGAACCCCAGCGCGCAGCATGGACGAAGAATGAGTTTTCTGGCTTCACAAACAAGGATGATTTCGAGAAAGAGGTCGTTCGACATGTTGAGACTACCTTGGCTCGAAGCATATACAATTGCGACGAGACAGCTGCGTACTCAGCGGCCAGTCTAGCCTTCCGAGACCGCTTGGTCAAGGATTGGAACAAGACTCAGCAACGCCAGACGTTTACGGATAGCAAGCGTATTTACTACCTCAGTTTAGAATTCCTAAGTACGTAATTCTCGGTTTTTTTTTTCGCCTTTATCACACTCTCCGCCTCATCCTGAGCCAAAGGCACTCCTGAGAAGCACGACGATGTTAAAAAGTACTCAGGAGTGTGCTCGCAAACAATCAACTAACATATGGAAAAACTGGTTCCAACCCGCGTCCCTGAATCTAAATTCCATATCCCGTTACATAAAACGCACCGCCCAGACAGATCTCAGTGTCATGGATGTGAAATCCTACTCCTCACGTGCCTTACCTTACGTAGCCACTGTCTCATACTAGATAAATCGACTAACACATTTCTATGCGCTCAGTGGGTCGGGCATTCGACAATGCGATGCTCAATCTCCGTGCTAAAGATGTTGCCAAAGGTATAGCACCCTCGATTGTTCCCAAATGCGTTGGGTTGAGCAGGGCTAATCAAAGTTTAGAGGGACTTGCCGAGTTGGGATTCCGCATTGAAGACCTCATTGGCCAGGAGCACGATGCCGCACTAGGTAATGGTGGCTTAGGGAGACTAGCAGCATGCTTCCTCGATAGCATGGCCTCTTTGAACTATCCTGCATGGGGCTATGGGTTGAGATACCGCTACGGCATCTTCAAACAAGAGATTATTGATGGATACCAGGTTGAAGTACCTGACTATTGGCTCGACTTTAACCCATGGGAGTTCCCTAGGCACGATGTTACTGTTGATGTGAGTTACACCGTAACCCACTCGAATCAGATGTAGAACTAATGTTGCGGCAGATACAATTCTACGGCCACGTCACCAAGAGCCAGGATGAGAACGGGAAGACAGTGGCTAAGTGGGAAGGTGGTGAAACGGTCATCGCTGTCGCCTATGATGTTCCTACACCAGGGTATGATACTCCTTCTACCAATAACTTGCGGTTGTGGTCCAGCAAAGCAGCCAGCGGCGAGTTTGATTTTCAGAAGTTCAACAGTGGGGAGTACGAAAGCTCAGTGGCCGATCAGCAAAGAGCCGAGACGATCAGTGCCGTGTTATATCCCAACGATAATTTAGACCGAGGAAAGGAGCTACGTCTCAAACAGCAGTACTTTTGGGTAGCTGCGTCACTTCATGACATCGTTCGCCGATTCAAGAAGTCCAAGCGCAAGTGGAGCGAGTTCTCAGATCAGGTCGCCATTCAGCTCAATGATACCCATCCCACTCTTGCCATTGTTGAATTGCAGCGCATCCTAATCGACGTCGAAGGTCTTGAGTGGGATGAGGCATGGACTATCGTTACATCAACCGTAAGTGCTATCGTCGTTAGCTTGAGAAGTACGGGCTAATGGCAGTTAAGTTTGGTTATACGAATCACACGGTCCTCCCCGAAGCTCTCGAGAAATGGCCAGTTGGTCTGATACAGCACCTCCTGCCTCGTCATCTCCAAATAATCTATGATATCAATCTCTTCTTCCTCCAGTCGGTCGAGAAGCGATTCCCTGATGACAGAGATATGCTACGCCGAGTCTCTATCATAGAGGAATCTCAGCCAAAGATGGTCCGAATGGCATTCTTGGCTGTCGTTGGTTCTCACAAGGTCAACGGCGTTGCTGAACTCCACTCCGACCTAATTCAGACAACTATTTTCAGGGATTTCGTTGCCATTTTCGGCCAAGACAAGTTCACAAACGTCACAAACGGCATCACGCCGAGGAGATGGTTGCACCAAGCGAACCCTCGACTGTCGGAGTTGATCGCGAGCAAAGTTGGTAGTCATCAATTTCTGAAGGACCTTACACTCCTCAACCAACTAGAGCATTTCGTGGATGACAAACAATTCAGGAAAGAGTGGGCTGAGATCAAATATGCCAACAAAGTCCGCCTAGCCAAGTATATCAAATCTACTTTGAACATCAATGTCAACCCGGCTGCATTGTTCGATGTTCAGGTGAAAAGAATCCACGAATACAAGCGGCAGCAATTAAACATATTTGGTGTTATACATCGATATTTGACTCTAAAGGCGATGAGTCCTGAAGAGAGAAAGAAAGAACAGCCCCGTGTTTCTATCTTTGGCGGGAAGGCGGCTCCCGGTTATTGGATGGCCAAACAAATTATCCATCTCATCAATAACGTGGGAAGTCTTGTCAATAAAGACGCTGATATCGGCGACTTGCTGAAAGTCATCTTTCTGGAAGACTATAATGTAAGCAAGGCTGAGATGATCATTCCTGCCTCAGATCTGAGTGAGCATATCTCGACAGCTGGTACAGAGTAAGTCACGCCAATTAGTCTCCCGATTTCACAAGCTGACGAGGTAATAGAGCGTCTGGAACAAGCAACATGAAATTTGTTTTGAATGGTGGATTGATTATCGGTACCTGTGATGGTGCCAACGTAAGCATGCCTCCTATTGCTTTCCGACTGATATATATGCTTATTGTCTATAGATTGAGATTACACGCGAAATTGGCCAAGAGAACATCTTCCTATTCGGAACACTCTCCGAGGATGTCGAGGATTTGCGCCATGCACACACGTATGGAGCGCACCCCATTGATTCAAATCTAGAAAAAGTGTTCGAGGCTATTCAAAGCGGCATGTTTGGAGAGCCTAATGATTTCAGTGCCATGATTTCTGCCGTCCGCGATCATGGGGACTACTACCTAGTATCCGATGACTTCCAGTCATACATTGACACTCACAAGATGGTTGATGCGGAGTACCAAAACCAGGAAGAATGGATCTCCAAGTGTATTCGCAGCGTAGCCCGCATGGGTTTCTTTAGCTCTGATCGCTGCATCAACGAATACGCAGAGGGCATTTGGAATATCGAACCGCTAGCTGTTTAGCCCTACCTACTGAGAAATGGCAGCAGAAGCTGGGGAAATGCCCAGTTATTAGCTCCTCTTTCGCTGCTTTCTACAGTTCCTCTATACACAGCATGTGGCAGGGAAGGATTGAGAGGTTCAAAAAGTGATTCGGTAGTAATATATCAGTCGGCGGGCGTGAGTTTTTTTCGGTGCTAGGGTGCTTATGAGAAAGCAATTCGCCAAGAACCGCTACATCATCAATAGCTCACAATACATTTATTTTTCACGAAGATCATAAAGAGCATAACTTAAATATTTACAGGTTCTATATCTTGACTTTCATATTAAAGGGTTTCTTCAGTGATATAACATCTGCTAGTAACAAGGTTTAGATTTGAAGCTATTCAGAATACAACGACTATAACAAGGGCAGTAACACTGGGCTTGGAATCTTAAGGCAATTCAGATTATAATAAACAATTAGGGCTACATGAGTCCTTAACCAACCAACTCATTCTTGGCTGTTGGTGGGTTGACTTGACTCTATATACAACTGATCTGCCAGCCCAAACCGCCTAGGTCTCTGGGGTCTGTTTCAAGAAGCGAAGTCTGTATAACCTCACTTTCCAATGTTGCCCAATATTGCCTGCATGTCTTGAGAGATCACGAACAGCCTGCAATGGTCCTTCGTACGGCCGAAGTGCAAGGCGAGCTGCATGTTCAGCTAGCACAGAGGTTGCACGTGTAACAACGACCTAGGCTGCTATGATGTTTGGCCATGTAATATCTATCGGTGGTCTTGAAAGTGCGATTATAAGCGATATAGAGTGTAGGGGTTGTCCTGAGAAATTACTAACTATCTAGATCATCATAATTGCTATAGCGTTATGCCTTAGCTTGTTAGCTACAGTCCATTATGAATGTGAATCAAATTTGTAAGGAATAAAAGGATCTTAGAAGTAGGACAGTGATGCAACGAGTTATATCATGTCATTTTTACAATTATTGCTTTAACAAAGCCAACTCCTTTGTTGTGGACCACACAACAATCCAACAATCAGGCCAATGGAGGCAAACAATGACATTGTTTTATGCTTTAAGAACTATATACTTCCTCCATCAACTCTATAAAACAGACTAATATCTCCCAGCATTTCCTGCTAGAAAAACATCTCATGTTCTTGTAACAATGGCTCCGCCAAGTCAAGAAGGACCAGTTTTCAACAATGGGGAGTGGATGTTTCCCTGTCAACCCCCAATATATGTTGTCGGGCCAAATCTCACTTTCAAAGTTCGGTTGCGCCATGTGGTCTGTAACGAACATACCGTTCCTCAGGTCTCACAGGGTTATTCTCCATCATGCATAAGTCACGTTGACTGCTGGTATACAGGGGCCCACGTCTGCTTGTCCCCTAGAAACGCCCAAGCCGCCAGCAAAGGGTTAAACCATTCACAATCTGATTGTAACTGCTGTGCTAATGGAGTCCAGTCTAACATAGAGATCTTGGATGACATATATCAGGCTTCCGGACCATTAATTGACCTCATCCGATGCACGGCACGCGGAGAGGGGAGAGGAGCGCAGAGTGAAAGGGCGATAGCTATCTTAAATGCGTCTATCGTATGGGGAGATGAAGAGCAATCCAAGCTGCACAACTCCGCCGTTACACCGAAGCATCTCATGCTGATGAGAGAGCGCGGAGGAGCTGATTATATTCAAGTCGACTTTGCGACCCCTCGCGGCGACGATCGTCGAGCGAGTACACTCAAATCATTGAAGAATCTCACGAGACCGGCTGGCAAGCGAAATCATGCACGATTGTTTTCTCGTTTTGGAATTAAGACGTCGAGAAAGTAGGATAGTAATAACTTAGTTTAAAATTACATTCTGTTTTCCTAGTCGCCCTGTCCTTCAACAATTGAACGAGATCGGGACTGTCGGCTTAGATTTACTTATGATTACCGTGAATTCTAAGATGGCCGCTTTCATTCCTCCTATGGCTAGCATACCATAATTAAAACGATGAATGGATGACTGTGCTCACAGTGCCTTAACTCTGTGCTCCGGGTAATACAATCCTAGGGTTATAGACAAAGAGAAGCGCTATATATAGCCCTAGTCTGGTTCAGAACCTTGGTGTAACTAATGATTTCATCCAGCACCCCTATAGTTGCTGTTCTCACACTGGGCTAAGCAATGAGGCCATCGTCGACGTTGTGAGACGGCTTTAAGGAATAAATCAGAGAAACTCTCATGTATCTGTTACGATAACTCTTTTCTTTCGGTGTGTACTTGCGGCATGGTAAAAGGTAAGAACTATAGGAGGTCATAATCATGAAAACGTTGTCCCTTTAATTAACGTTATCTCGAAAGACGATGCCATAAACCTTACATCTCATAACTCCATGTCCCTCTAACTATATTATGCTATATCGTAATTGGTACGTTTGGGCGCATGGATAGAGGTGTAGATTACTTTATGGTATTACACGTGACTTTCCACTTCGGCAAAACATCGCTGTAGGGTTAAATCTAACGACATGGAGCACGTTTGAGTCAAGTAGCCAATTGGATCCCCAGCTTCAGGGAAAGTTTAAGCATGAATATAGTCTTAAAGTTGTCATACGACAGTCCTTACTGTATGCTCATCTCTGTACCCATTGGGAAATGGCGGATCTATGATTGGCATGATTCTGAACCCTTACCTTTCACTTGATTCATTGCATGGAATGACGCACTTGACGCGCCGCGAATTTTTTGCTCGATGTAGCAAATATGATGTGCATACTGTAAGAAATAAGTAAGATGTGTGTAGTGCAGGGTTACCCACGAGGTCGGTGGTTTCCGGTAACCGAATTCCTGACATCTGCCACCTTAGGCATTGCCTTTCATTGAGAATTTCAGCTAGGTCGGGGAAACCCTTATTACGTGCAGTTGCATGACGGTTGGCAAGGTCTGGCGATACTACAGAAGATTAAAAGCCGACCAATTCCTGGCTTACTGAGCGAATGGCGTTCTGGAAGATGGATGGAGCCTGATGTCTCCGCATATCAGATTTCCGCGCCCATCTCATGCTGTCTTCTTTTCTTCTCTCAATTCTTCTCTCCCGAAATTGAAAGCTATCCAAGACGTCCAGAGCCACGTCTCATGAATCATGAGTCGCGACAAGTCGCGTCGCATGCTCACTGACGAGACATGCGACTGTTGGAAATGCGTATGACGTCATACGTACTTGGCTATGCATACGGTATCCTGCAACGAATACAGAAGCACATACCGTCCCACGTACTCTTAGGATTGCATGCGTCTGATCTTACTTCAGTAGGGGCATTCAGGAGCAATTGCTCCGCTTATGCGGATTTTACTGGGTGCTGTTACTAAATAGGTAGCATACGGTATCTCTGGTTGCTGTGTGCGTGTGGTTTGTATGGTATGTATGGCCCTGTCAGAGCCCGGGGACTACGTCATCGCGGTCCCGCGACTTGAGGGACAGAGGGATAAAGGGCGCGTGCGTGCCATGGGCAGTACATACTGCATGGGTCTGGCATGGGGCAGAGAAGGGGGGCTTGGGGGCTCAATAATCTCCCTTACTATTACTGTGGCCGTACACCGCTAGAATGGAAGGGGTAAATCGACGAGATGCAAAAAGTTTGCCCGAGGCCACAGAGCTGCAGGAAAACCCGGAGAGAGGCTCTGATAGGGCCGCGAAACTAGTTGAGTCGCGTTCAATCGTCGATGCGACAGCTAGAACTCGATGATCAGGGAATTTTGACCAAGAGCGGGGTCTGACCCTGGCCCTAGTCGGCAAAGTGCAGCCGGCGTCGAGTCGGTGATAGCAGTAATTCGTGTCAAGCTAGCGGGCATGTCACCGGACCACGTTGGCTGCTGGCGCGCATGAATACAGCTTCGCCAATTGGACTCCGGTTGGAAAAAGGTGTTAGGTACGATCATTGATAACTGTCCCCCGAGGCCTACCGGCTCTAGCCAAAGGTTGTCGCCGCGAAATGTGCCCTTGTCAAGTGTCAAGCTCTTGATATACGGCATCTCCAGCTACCTTCCCCGTGTCTGCCCGTGCGTTGGCCCCCTGACTAGCCGCACTTCCTAGTCTGGGTGAAGCTTCTGCTTTAGCCATCTTGGCTTGATGCCTTAATGGGACTGTAAGAGGCAAGGGGCAAGGGGACGTTTTCTAACAGCCTGCCTCACGAAGAAAGTACCTACCCCAAGGGATATACCAAGCTTGAAGTAGAGAGTACCTCGGCGAAGAAAAGGCTTGGGTCACGCTGTGCTCACAGCAAATAAGAGGAGAGAAATATCGCAGATGTAGCGCCGAGCGTGGCAGCTATCATATCAGCCAATGAAACCCCCCAGCCTTACCTTTATGTCGATGACATCATTGCTTTGTTAGCAGCTCTACGTGTAATGCTATTCTTCTACTTACCTATCTTCTATCATGGGGAGACACGCAATCTCAGCTAGCTCTACGTGAACATATCTTCTACCTGCCTGTATACGCAGCAGAGAGCCAGCCCAGGAGGAGGTTGATAACATTAAAGTATACTCCTGTAAGTATATAATTACTGTTAGGTACTCCTCATTGACGCTATTTTAGGCGTATACCCTAGGTACTAGCTTTCTATATGTATGTGTACCCATCAGCCTCTGTTACAATACCTAGCTTGCGTATAAATGTGATATATTTTATCATCCGTATAAATGAGTAATATAGTAGGATTTCGGGCTTTGCAGAAGGAGCGCCTGTAAATGCTTTCGTGAGGATGACCGCACAAAGCACACTTGAAAGCTATTGGTTGTACGATTGCGCAGAGGATCGGTCTCGAGGGTAACAGAGCAACAAAACTTTGTCGATTCCGGATTTTCGACCAATAATACCCGTGGCCTGTGACTGGGAGAAGATGGGATTCTTTTCCAAACTGTGTTTAATCTTCGGGGCCAAGTATCAGGTACGCAGGTGGCCAAGACCGACAACAAATTGTATATGAGGATATGATTGACCCTGTGAAGATGGTTTGGCATGCCATTCTGGACATGGCATTTATGAAATCCCATTTCGTTTGGATCTGTCTTCTTGTCCAAACACGTAGGTCTAGACGGGTTTTATATTGACTCTCTCCTCCGGATGCATTCATTAACCTCTATACAGTCTACCTTCCTAGTTATCCAGCTTTTGAATTGGCCCTTTATGTCGAGAGCAAGAACATGGCCCGTCTTGTCCTAAAGGGGCGCGCATTCAGTTGTCCCGAGGATTCCAAGCTATATTATAATCTGTTTGGCCAATATCGTGGTCTCGTGCTATCTTGTAGTATCTTGTAGTGTTGGTATTGGCCCTCATTTTTGGTTGGACGTCCGCGGCTTGAATATCTTAAGGTGCCACCTAGCAGGCTACATATACAGAATCCCACGCTAAGCACACTTAGCCATGGTATTTACTCACCTTACCTGCTTGTGTATGTAGGTATGTACTTTAGATATGTGAATGGAAAGTTAGGATGCTGAGTGCCCACAGCTAGCAGGTACCTGATACCGCTGTACACAGTACCTACCTGGGGTATCTGCACGTAGGTATGTACCTACCTACCAACATCCATACTACTCACTGCCTAGGTAGGTACTTACTACTTACATATACGTCCACGGGTATGTACCACGTACGCAGTTAGGTACCTTGTAGAGAGTCTTGGGGCCTATCACAACCACCCCAGACGCTACGCCTGGCCAGTCCTCAAACCTGATCCCGATCGCCACTACTGTGTACCTAGGCTAGCCAAATGGGATCCCACCCCCAACACCTGCGAATTGTGCAGAAGAACTTCGTCCTATCTCAACCTTTCAAGAGAGAAAACCGCTTAAGTCAATCCAAAATCCTGTTCATCTCTTACTATCATCTCGTCCATCTATATTCTGTGTTTCTCCCGGAACACACTCCGCCTCTTGCTGCTGCCGCTGTCTATACTGTTATACTCTCGTTTCCTCAAAGACCACAAACCGTGCACGCGCCCGCAATTACCCCTCGCTCCGTCGTCGCTCCAACATTTCCCGCTCTCGCCTGCCTGCCTGCCTGCTCCTTAAACACTCGCCAACGCCTCGCCCTGAGCTGCGCTTTTGACCTCTGCGCTCTCCTTTTGGGCTCTCCTTCATTAATTCAAAAAGAAAATAATCATCATCCGTACACAACTAATATCATGGCCGAATTCATACGGGCTCAGATCTTCGGAACTACATTCGAGATCACCTCTCGGTATGCTCTCTTGTGTCGCCGAGCTGCACTGTAGACAGCTCGCCCAAACGCGGCAGCTCTGTTCTGTTAACACGCCGATAGGTACTCGGACTTACAACCTGTGGGAATGGGCGCTTTTGGCTTGGTGTGGTACGTTGTCGCTCGAATCTCATGTGAAACCGACCCCGCGCCATCAGTGATGGCGCTGCAAGCGACGGCTACTAACTCTCGCTCATTCTAGCTCTGCGAAAGATCAGCTTACCAACCAGAATGTGGCTGTCAAGAAGATCATGAAGCCCTTCAGCACCCCAGTGTTAGCCAAGAGAACATACCGAGAACTCAAGCTGCTGAAGCACCTACGACACGAAAATGTGCGTTGCTTGATCCGCTATCAGTGATGCCACTACTAATCGCTCCTTCTAGGTTATTTCGCTCAGCGACATCTTTATCTCCCCTCTAGAAGACATGTACGTCCACAAGACACCGACCTCTTGCCCTTCGATTCATTAACGCATATTCTTTAGCTACTTCGTCACAGAACTTCTCGGAACAGATCTGCACAGATTGTTAACCTCGCGGCCCTTGGAGAAGCAGTTTATTCAGTACTTTCTCTATCAGATTATGGTGCGTTTTAAACCAGCGAGAGCTTTGAAATGAAATCTTGGGTCGAATATGGAGCCTAACAATGTACAGCGCGGGTTGAAATACGTCCATTCGGCTGGTGTCGTTCACCGTGACCTAAAACCCAGCAACATTCTTGTCAACGAGAATTGCGACCTGAAGATCTGTGACTTCGGTCTAGCCAGAATTCAGGACCCTCAGATGACTGGATACGTATCTACGAGATACTACCGCGCTCCCGAGATCATGCTTACCTGGCAGAAGTATGATGTCGAGGTCGACATTTGGAGCGCGGGCTGCATTTTCGCAGAAATGCTTGATGGGAAGCCTTTATTCCCGGGTAAAGATCACGTCAATCAATTCTCTATCATCACTGAATTGCTCGGTACCCCGCCCGATGATGTTATCAATACGATCGCAAGTGAAAACGTAGGAGACTCACCATATCCCCAATCAAGATGCTAGCTAACAAAGGGGTAGACTTTGAGATTTGTTAAATCTCTTCCGAAGCGTGAGCGACAGTCTTTGAAGACCAAATTTAAGAATGCTGATGATGCTGGTAAGCTACGCTCAGTGTCCTTTTTGGCTCTTCTAGTTCGATGACTGACTTACAAAACAGCTATCGACCTACTCGAGCGGATGCTTGTGTTCGACCCTAAGAAGAGAATCACAGCAGCCGAGGCTTTAGCACATGAATACCTGGCTCCGTACCACGATCCCACTGATGAGCCAGTCGCTGAAGAGAAATTCGACTGGAGTTTCAACGACGCTGACCTCCCCGTCGATACTTGGAAGATTATGATGTCAGTACTTGCAATTTCGAGACCCAAGGAGCGCACCCAATTAGCTAATAAGTACTCTGAATTAGGTACTCGGAGATTCTAGACTATCATAACGTTGAAAACAACCTAGCGCCCGCCGAATCCCATTTAAATGGCAACTGAGCTCTTGCCACTAGACCAATTCATGAAAGAGACGATATACTTCACAACTAATACCACACCCCGGTCAATCACGCTTTACACGTTCTTACTGAAAAGGTTGGTTTGGGGCTTGTTTTTCGGAGTTTCGAGAGGGAATGATAGGTTTCGATTGTCTTCGCTGAATGATCATACTGGCTATCAGGGCTGAGTGGGGATAAGGGTTCAAGAAAATTCACAATAGTGAACAAGGGAGCATTGTACGTACGAGGCATTGAATAGCGAAGTAGAGGATGCTCAATGATATTTCGGCGCATGGGTCTACGGTGGACGAACTATACGAGCGGTTATATACCAGTATGTTTCCTCCTTCTTAGGTGGAAACTACCTAGTCATGTACAACGCCAAAGGCTTTCCGTGACGGTGTCAGATGTATTGTTTGTGTCAAAGCTGCATACTGCCGTATGGTCTGCGATAACCTCGAAGAAGAGTGACAATATATAGTAAACAATGCCCTCTCCGTAAGCATTTGCATTAATCTGGACAGAAGTGACTACTTATGGTTTTCCGGTGTAATAGGGTCATTAAAAAACTTAGCAATGCTTCCTCAAAACTCCTCAGTTATCCCTTGTCGTGTAGTAAGCTCATAGCACTATACTTAGAGTATTACCTACTAACCACCCAGCTTTATAAAGCATCTCACAGATCAGGAGATGTGAGTCAAACTCGTTGTAAAATCAAGCAGTGGGGCACTGATCCGATCCTCGGGAATCACCATTGTTCGCTTTCCCGATACTTACATGACGAGATTCGGTTTACAGGTAGAACCACATCAAATCATAGCCGGGGTATGGAACCAATAAATACTTTGACTTCACCCCAGCCCTCACTGCCATCAACATGAACTCCACAAAGCCCCCAGCAGCAACAAGAGCGATATCATGACGGCCAGTATCCAAACTGCCTACGCTGAAGCGGAGGCGCGCTATGAAGTCGCAAACCCTGCCAGCCGTGCGGCGCACGAGACAGCGACGGCAAGCCTGCCCGGGGGCAACACGCGCTCGGTGCTACACTGGGAACCATACCCGCTCTGCATCCGCTCGGCCCAGGGCTACACACTACACGATGTCGACGGTCACGCATATGTGGATCTGCTGGGCGAATACTCGGCCGGCGTCTACGGGCACTCGCACCCCACATTGCTAGCCGCCATCACGGAGACGGCGCAGCGCGGCCTGAGCTACGGCGGGCCCCATGCCGCCGAGGCGCGCCTCGCAGGGCTCATCAAGGAACGGTTCCGAAGCATCGAGCGCATCCGCTTCACGAACTCTGGCACAGAAGCGAACCTCATGGCCCTCGCTGCGGCGAAGGCGTTCACGGGGAGACACCGGGGCAAGGTCATCGTGTTCGAGGGCGCGTATCATGGAGGGGTCTTCGTCTTTCCCTTCGGGTGCCGAGACGTTTGGAATAAAGGGGGGCCCAGCACCGGGAGTAAATACGAGGCTCTGCGCGCGCTGAACGCGCCTCACGATTTCCTCGTCGCGACGTACAACGACATCGCCTCCGTCGACGCGCTCCTCGCCTCCTCCGTCGGCAACGAAGGCGTGGCCGCCATCTTGTTGGAGCCCATGCTGGGATCTGGCGGCGGCGTATGTAGCACCCCTGGGTTCCTCGCGCATCTCCGGCATCGCGCCGACGAGCTGGGCGCATTGCTCGTCTTCGACGAAGTCATGACGTCGCGCATGTACGACGGCGGCGGCATCCAGAGCGCCACGGGGATCCGCCCCGACCTCACCACGCTCGGGAAGTACGTCGGTGGCGGCATGTCGTTCGGGGCCTTCGGAGGCCGCCGGGACGTCATGGCGCTCTTCGACCCCCGTGAGAAAGAGGCGCTCCCGCACGCTGGCACTTTCAATAATAACGTCCTGACGATGAATGTCGGCGCCGTCGGCCTCGAGCACGTGTTTACGCCCGCGAAGGCGAGGGAACTACATGCGCTGGGCGACGAGGTCCGCGAAAAGATCAATGCGCTTGGCAGTGGTGAGACGGCGGCGAGAGGGCTGCGGGTGCTGGGCTGCGGCTCGATTCTCACGTTCCATTTCACCCGGACGCCCGTCGATAATATTGCTTCGCCGGCGGATTGGAAGAGCGATGAGGACGCGAGATTGCTTGATCTCTTCCACCTCGAGATGCTAGATGAGGGCTTTTACCTTGCTAGGCGTGGCTATGTCTCGCTTAGCCTGGCGCTGTTGGAGGATGATGGACGGCGTGAGTTGGAGCGGTTTGTGGAGGCTGTTGAGAGGTTCCTTGGGAGGTTCCGGGGCTTAATGGCTTGAGTAGTGGTAACTTAGTTGAACAATTCTCGGTCAAGTAATGAGCTGTTTTGCTCATGTTAGTGCTGTTTTGGGAGTTTGCTTTGTCGTGAGATGCTGAAGTAGCTTTCTAAATATCCAGCATGAATGACGACCTATGTCTTCGTAATGTTCAGATATGTTATTCATTGCAAATTTTCGAGTTATAGCGCAATGGCTTAGGACTAGTAGGCCGATATGCTTACGATCTACGTGCCATATATGAGATTTCTGCAGCTGTTGTTCGAGTGCGAGTATGGTGACTTGGAATTCTGGGGGTCTAACAAGATAGTCAAATACTGTACTTTACACAAAGGGACTAATATATGTTTTAAACTTACGTCTTATTAATACTTAAAATCTGCGGGTATGGATGTTGGCTAGTGATTCACTTAATAGATTAACTACTGTCTGAAACCTGGGCGTCAGATTCTCAAGCTGTTATTCATAGAGTGTGAGGGCAAGATATGATCATTTCGCCGCTGTAAGGGAGTCGTATCTCGGGGCGAGTGATGGGTAATGCCATAGCACTACATATATACCTACTTAAGGGTTATAGGCGGCCAGTATTCAATCCGATTAAGTTCTATATTTGGCAGTGTCGTGGTTTCATACTGCGCTTCCGTTTCGTGACAAACATCTTTGCTATAAACATGAGCATATGGATCTTCTCACACGTGTGCTGGGATATGCTGGAATGAATAATTTTCCAAAAATCACTTTTTAACAAATTCTGAGCCTGAAGGGACGAGATATGTGGATTTCTAACACCTTAACTATATCAAGAGTATTGGCCGGACCCGGACGTTCACGATCTGGTGAACCACGGGAGCGACTGCAGGACTGGAAATTGCCTCTCGAGACAAAGGGATATTACATGGAGATCACTAAATAACCTACCACCGCTCGAATATACTCCCACACCACGCAAGCCGGGCTGTTATATCCTGGCTGCGAATGCGGTTCTTATGTTCAGAGGGGTTTCAAATCACATTCAGACAGAAGAGGGTCTCTCTCGCGGACAAAAAAAAAAGCAAGTTTGACTTTAGCTCCCCCAAGAAATAGCAATTACTATGACTCAAAAGTGTGATCCAGGCAAATGTTCGCGATACAACCACAAAAAGGTTCGATCAACCATTCTGGATTATAAGTGGTTAGACCTTGAAATTAGTATCCTAGAATACAAGACATCCCGTCAAATCCTTCATTTGCTTTTGTCCCCTATAGCTATAACTGTTGTGTGTCATACCTCTAGTTCATGGGGATGATATGACAAAGCTGGTCGTGATGGGAGAATGAGAGTGTCGCACTAGGAAAGAATCAGAAAGAATTCAGTCTAATCCTCCAACTTTGTGGCAAGCTAGACAATCTTGTGGCAGCACGGATGGCTTGACATACCTTTTTCAGATTCCTAGGAAAGGGGGTTCGTTAGATATTCGATGGTGTGCAGGGAGTTAGACTGACCCTCTCCAACCTCTCCGTACTGTTCAGCTCATGTCTATTGCTTTAAGAAGGTGTGGCTCAATGTTTCGAGCTGTTACATGTAGTTGCTTCCAATTTGAATGCTGAACTGCTCCAACTTACTCTTTCTTGTTTCAGAAACGCTGCCGGCTCCGCCGAGCCCTTTCGGTCTAGCTTTCTATTGGGACAATTCTAAACGTAATTCTTTTTTGCTTCTTTTGGGGGGCGATCGTATAATGAGCTTAACTAAAGCAAGATTTGCCGGTGGATGTCATTATGGAATGGCATTTCAGTTATATGTGCGAAAGGGCATTGTTGCCTTGTGTACGTACACATACAGAAATTTTCCGTCACCACCAGGGATATAGATCTTGGGCAGTAAGACGTTGCTTGTTCCCCCAGGCAATTATGTGTGTGACGTGTAATTACGTCTTTCGTTGGACGGCGTCTTCCAAAATTTCATTAAGGGTTAACCCCCGGACCCTGTATCGTGCCCTTAGTTTTACCAATGGTCTATCTATATCTACACATATTATTGATGTATGAGGAGAGTGTTGTACCGGTAGCTTCGTCACCTTTGTATTTGATGTGTAGTTCAGATACCAGCGGTCATCAACGGGAATAACTGGTTAGGTTACCACTCACTAGTACGAAGACTGTCTCTCAGTTAGTCTACTTCGAAAGCTTTAATTTTTTCAATTCCTTTTTCTTGATGTTATGTTAGCAGTTTACAGTAGATTGATGTAAACCGTGCCACTTCATCGCTTTCTCCGCAACCAAATTCATTCAAATCGCGGAACCGTGCGAGGCCGGGCCACACGTGAATCGGACGGTTCCGCCTCTAAGATTAGCTGGACGCTAGGATTCCACTCCATCTCGATAGCTCCCGAAATGGGGAAAAGTGACAGCAATAGCTTATTCCGTAGGCTAGCTTAGTGTATTGACACTGCATAGTATAATGCCTGCCTGTAGGCAAATTGTGTGCCAACCCCTTTGTGGAGGGGCCCTAAGTAAACCTTTCGTTATTGCCTGGGTTTCTGATGACAGTGTGCCAACCAATGTCTAGTGTTTTAAAAATTTTCATCTGTCACAAGGTGTCCAGGGGAAACGGACGGGTAGGCCGGTTGTCTTCCTGCTCTGTCAGGTAGCGATTTGAGATGGATGGTGTTGGGAGCTCTGCGATGTGGCCGCTTGTTCAATCTTGACTAACAGTAAGTATAGAAGTGGTGCTGGGATGAGCGCAGACCCCCCAACTTAGTCGTCAAGCCTTACCATTTGTCTGCGCTAGGCTGGCTGCAAGTATTCAAACCTGGGTTCTAGCCTCATGAGTGTACATGTAAACTAGATGCCCTGGGGTAAAGAAGGACTGTACTGTAGGGATATAGGATGGAACAATAGCAGGGTATCCTACGTACGCACTACAGCCAACACGGACGATAATACGATGCTGTCGGGCCTAGCTCTGGTTCTAGCAGGTGATGTTACGGTATGGTTCGACCCTCCATCTCCACGGTTTCTTGATCAAAGTTTTTGCGTCTCATGTTACGCACTGGAGCGGTATGGGCCTGGCCCTTCGCTCTGGGCCTGTTGTCATGTCGCCCTCGAGAGATGAGATCTTCTCTACGATGTTGTTTGTGCTCCTGCCTCGGCATTACCAGGTACAGATATACCCTGGCTGCAGACAAGCTCGACTGGTCTGCCAGGCTTGCTGACAGCACACAATGCTGGATATCCCTCTTGGCGTTGGTATGCTAAACCCTGTTGGTTTTCCTTCCATGCCACTTGCCCTTCCTGGGTGCGCCTAATTCATCGACGTGCAGAGGCTCGTGGGTCTTGCACACGCCTTTAAGAAAGAATGTCTCCTGGTGGATGCTTGCCCTGCTTCTGGGGTCTGCCTGGGGTGCCCTCCGGCTCCTGTTACCTTTGCATGCTGTTGCTTTCTTTTGCAGTGTGAGACTGCATTATCAATTGGTCAGCTGTCGGCTTGCGCTGATCATGGGGCAGTATTGCTGACATGGCTGTTGTGGCCATTCAGAATTGTTACTGTCGAGTAGGTATGTACTAGGTATGTAATGACCGCGATCGGAAGACCCCGATCTATTCCTTGAAAGGCTGCCGTCTACGAAGTATCTGGCCTTCTAGAAGTTTTCGACCCCGCGAGCTCCGTGTTGGTTGCTCGCGTAGATTTACGGCTCAGCCTCTGTGGGGATCTGGCCGCAACTCTGTCCTCCTCGACAACCTCGCATCAAAGTGTGGCAAACGGTTAGGCCGAAATAATGATCCTATTTACCCCCAGTCTGCCCCAGGAACAGCTAGCTGCATCTTTGCAGGTTTGTCAAGCCCGAACGCTTACATACGAGCGTGGGCAGACCACCACTAATTACCTACTACGTACTCTGGTCTACATTAGTAATATCGAGCCCTGTACTTATTTGTGCCTTGGTATGAACTGGCGTCAGCCCACGCCTCACCAGATGCATCTAAAATTTCAAGATGGGCGATCAGGCGTAGCCCCTAGTTACCGAGACCGCGGAACCATTATTACATTAAGATGGGGGTATGGGGGTCATTCATGCTGGAACCAGTAGTCGTGGCGATGGGAGCTCTGCTTTTGCTGTCGGAAATGCTGCTTCTAAGTTTGAGTTGGGCCTTAGTTGCAGCGGTTAAGCCGCCCTTGGGGCTGAGGGTTATGCTGATCTTCCGCCAAACTAACTGAAGTTCTACAAGCTAAACTTGCATCATCCCAGGCGCCGGAGATGCTCAGGCATGGACAAGGTGGCCTTGACGACGGGTGCAGTAACGTTGCCGGTTTCTGGGGTTGATCACGCCTGCGATCTCGGATCGTCGATTCTTTGACTTACTTAGATATCTCGCAGGATGGCAGAAGCGCAGGTAGCAAGAAACACGAAACTCCGAGGATAAAGTAGGTACATAGTAGCAACTGGGGTTCTATCGCATCTCCGGTGGTATCCCCACCACGCCACTGTCGGTCCTGCGCGAAGCACGACAAGCACGGCAGTAATCTAAACAATCATCACTCACGGCATGCATTACGTGTGGCATCTTGGGATAATTTGACGTGTCTCCGCCAAGGATGGGCAAGGCTTGCTGCGTACACAAAGTATGTAGGCTGCGGCTTACAGCAACAACAACCCCCGACAGGATGTTAACTGCTACAGTATTCCTTGAAGTCTGAAGTTGCATATTTTGACTTGAAACTCCAACATGGCGATGAAGCAGATCACCGTCAATGTCTCGCCATTCCAGCTTTGCTGATGTATGGCGTGCCCACTTGCTGGTGCTAAGTAGAGGTTAGCTCAACTTGGTACATGCGCCATTTGGCGACAATTCGACAGCGGATATACATAGTATACTACCTAGGTATATGTATGTATAGTTTGCTAAGAACCCACACCTCGAGGTAATCCACCTGTTCGTATGGATTAAACGACTGAACCGCGCTTGCACCACTCACTGTTAGCCGGGCAGGCTCCGTCTCGTCTCCAACATGGCTTGGCTTCTTGCATTTGTATGATACTTCGTAAGTATGTGCACATTTACATAGTACACGCGACACGTACATGTAAGTACCTACTAGGTATGTAAGTAAGTAGGCGAGTAGGTACCCATCGGAAGTCCCCAGATCCCAGAGAATAACACGGCTAATGCAACCTCCCCGGGTTGAATCACATCCATAGTGGCAATGGTTGAGGTTAAAATCTCAACCCAAAACATAGTGCCAACAACCTAGGTTGGCTACATGTGTATACTACAGTACCTAGGTAAGTAGCAACGACTGTTTTGTGAGGCTCGATGCCCTGTGCCCCGTCTAAGCCGGATACGGCAAACCGGCGTTGATGCTCCAAAGGGCATGGATGCTCTTATGGTACTAGGTAGATATAAGTATACCCCTCCAGTTGAGAGCACATCGTCGTTGCTGCGAAGATTTATGCGAGCGAATAAGCATGGTGGGTTGGCCACCCCATGGTGTTGGCGGTATACTATGGGTAGTTCGACTTATACGGAATTGGAGGCCCGTAGAACCTCACGTCTATATAGCTCGGCCTATGAACTCACAAGAATAATAAACAATTACCATCGACGCCGACAGACCGGGGGGGTGGCCTGTTGGGCCAGCGATCCTGGGAGCTGTGGTGAGGGTTAATAAATGCGGAGGTCATAGGATGGTAACGCTATTACACCTATTCGGCAAGCCGCCCGTTGGTGGCTCCCGAGTCTGCACTCAGCAGTTACGAGGTATGCTCGCATGCTCGTATGCAGAAACATTTCCCATGAGTGTTACGAGCCACATCAAGTAGTTGGCCCCGGAGCGATGGCCGATATGAACAACCAGTTCAAGTCGTCGATAGGCAAGCCAGTTTGAGACGATTACTCTAAAATACGCGACAATACATTGACCTAACTGCAAGTTTGACCGCCCTGAGGTAAGTTCTGCACCAGCATAAATCTAGGGGCGAGAAAACAGTCTTGTATAAATAAATACCTTGCCTATAACACATATTGACTTGCATACAGTTTCGGTGTATGAATCAATTAGGTGGCTTCAGTGGGCAATAAGTAGTACAAGGTATGGCGAGGCGAGAGCGTCCCCTCCCCAAATCAAAAGGAAGGAGGTGTACTTACTGACCTGTTGAAATTTTTTTTTTTCTTCCCATTTGCTTTTCCTGGAGTGAGTAATAATAGACCGGAATAACATTACTTACCTAAACCACATACCCATGGGCGAACCAATGCGTGCTGGTGGTTGCCCATGTTGCTGCGATGTTGTAACTCTTTCTTACCCTCGTTCAGCGACTTCGGATCGTGTGGTGCTCCTCGTCTTGGACTATTCTTTTTCTTCTTTTTACTATTGCGTGGCGGTTGGGGCGTGAAGGCGGACGTAGATGTTGAGATGAGGGGAATAAAACCGCATGCAAAGCCGGATAGTGCAATTTAAGTGCCTAGTATCAATGCGTACCTGATTTCCAGCTCCTACCCAGTACCCAAAGAAAGATTACTGTGATTGTTGTTACTACTATTATTATAATATTTATTCCACGCCATCATGGGATCATCATCATTAGGCATGATGATGCATTGGGCTGTACAACTACTTACCTACCTACCTGAAGCAGAAGAGGCTCTTATACTCGAGATGGAAATGATCAGATCTAGGACGAGACAGGATGGATGCCACCTAATGTTGATCTAACATCTAACTACCTACCTACTTAAACATAACATCTAGCTAAGTAAAAGTAAAACTACCTAGTTAATCGTAACTATATCAGTAAGTCTTCTAGTAACCTCTTACAGGACTCGGCCTAGGAGATCTTTCAAGACTTGGTGTAGCTCAAGGGAGCTTACCTGCTGTATAAGTATACTTTGTCAAAGCACTTTGTCTAGGTACCCACTTAAGTATAGCACCTACCTATGCAGGTCAACTTAGGCACCGACCTACCTACATACTTAAGAATGGGCTAATCTGGTACCTACCTACTCTACCAGGTATACCTACTACTAGGTATACATAGTAGTACTTAGGTAGGTATAGTACTGACCTGCTGTAGGTGGTCGAACGCTGGGTCGGGGCTGGGTTTAGGCAGGTGGGCGGGACCTATTAAAAGATGCGACACTCCCCCACACCAAGCACTAAGTAAACTCTCGTTCTTCCCGTCGGGTTTTATATACTTATTACTTACCTACTTATTCGTACTTCGTACTTACCTAGACACACAGTTCAACCAGCAAACCGGCAAAGAGTTACCTACCAAAGGTTCCCCGTTTCGGCAAATCCTCGAACGAACAACTTCAGTCTTGTCAATTTTCCGTGTGCGATCGAAGGGCGGAGAGTTAGAGTTGTCTTGTCTTGTCTTTTCTTGTCTTTTCCGCATCTACATACTTCGTAGTAGAATATCCAAACGGCTCGACGCGCTCGGGCCAACGCCATCGCCCAGTCATCGTCGTACAACTACACAGACAGATAAGATACTATTATTCCTGGCTCTTGCGCGCGCATCAGCCTGCTACTTACGCCTTACCAACCTGAAGGCGAGCCAATCGTTCAGCTTACAGTGGTCCTAAGCTGGCCGAGGTACCTGCCAAATTGCCCGAACGAGTCTGGAAACGACTCACCTTACTTGCTGCGTAGGTCGTGCCTTGTGGGGGAGGAGTGGCTGGCTGGAAGTCTCGAGGCTCGTGGTCTGTTCAAAAGACTTCACCCGCGCAGCTGGTAGCCTCTTGGTTGTCGAGAGAAAGTATGTACCGCAGTCATTATCATCATCATTATCATCATTATTCACCCCCTGAATTCCATTGCGACCAAGCTGTCGCGTCCGCCGTCTCTCTCTCAACAATGCGCCCAAGCTCATTCATCGCACACACCCTCTTTTTCCCAACCCAGCCCCTGATAACCCGGCTCTTTCCTGGTTGTGTGTCAGGAGGATCCGTCTGCCACCTCGGTTCCCCGATGTCTCCAGTCTGGTCCTACTGCGAGTTCGTGGCAGGCCGCTAGCCTTAGTGGCCGCGTGACAACGATGACTTTGAAGACTTGGCTGAGCGAGTGCTTGTGCTACCGCGCCATTGCCTGGCAGAGTAGAGTTATGTTTCAAGACCCTACCTCCCAACAACTCGACAATACCTCTCGCTATCTGCCTGCGTTCGTAGGCTAGGTGTTAGGGCTGCAATCCCTATCACGATCCCCCCCTCCGTACTGCACCGCGCCGGTCGTGACTTTTCTTCAGCCCAGTCGGAATCCCTGAGTCCAGATCAACTTCGCATGGCCCTGCTGCAGCTACGGAAGTTCGCCTGCTGCGCGTCCACTGCTGTATAACCAACTACATGTACCCTCTGCTGGTACAGTCCGAATGCCCGAAACTTGCTTAGCCCAACTCCTCCACTGACTCCATCCGACTTGGCTGTAAGGGTCCATGATCACTCCACCTGTAATTAGTCCGAGTTTAGCTTTTCCGTCTTTCGATCCCCGTCTTCCGCCCTCGGTCTCTCACCACACTCTCTTTTGGTACCGATCCCACTCTTCTTTCCTGACCAGAGTTCACGAAAGAACCCGGCACAAATTGGCATCTTTAAGCGCGTCATTTGCTGCCGCTATGGGGGTGGGAGTGATCTATTACCCTCTAGATCCATTAATAATGCCCGGACTATATAATAACGGCGACTTTTTTTTTATGCTTATCTTAGTCTCACCTGTAAATTGCTCGCATCAATTGCTGATCACGGCGCTTCTCTAGACGTTTCGCCATATCTTTGCTGTGCACTCACCGCACCGCACCCGTACCAGTTTGATGTTGTCCTTTTAAGGTTGCATCAACACTGCCTGCCTTGTTCCTTGTCATGCAGTGACTGACAATCGTTATTACGTTATTCTTGAACCAGCCTCTCCGGCGTCCGGATTTCAGCCAGCATCTATTGTCTCTTGGCTATTCTCTTCCGATCACTGTTATTCGGTCTATTATTTGGTCCATTCCGGTACTCGGATTGCTCTTACCACCTTTCTACGCTGGAAGCGCTCACCTCAGGGCTCTGCTGTTTGTGACGGGGCGTTTACTGTTTCCCCAGATTGTCGAACTGTGACACCTTATTGGCCGCTGTCCTAACACGACATACGACTGCATCGATAGCCACACCACTGAAGTTTTCCAAACCCCTCAAAAATTTTGGGAGCTCTCTCTTACTCGACATGATCCAGAACTGCACTGCATGATTGATTTCGTACCATGACTGTTCTTAGGCCATGACTTCCGTCCTAGTGGTCCAGCCTAGAGATATCAAGGCGTCCCTGTCTGTAACTCAACCATTTTCTATCATGACCCAAACACGCCGGCCAACACCGCCACTACAGGCGAAGGCGGAGGAGGACCCTGAGTGCCTCCCCAATCAAGCTGAGGATTATGAGATCGATGATGTGGATAGTGATGGTGACGGTGACATAAAGAATGAGAATTCATCTAACTCTGAAGGTCCGGTAAAGAAGCGTAGGCGGAGTCGGAAAGGCCTAGATAAAAAATTCGAGTGCCCTACCGAAGGTTGCGGCAAAAGTTATTCCAGAGCCGAACACCTGTAAGCGTTGTGTCATGTTCCCTGTGTAAAATCTCCAGGCCGCGGACGTTGCTGACGAGTTGATAGCCACCGTCACCAGCTGAATCACACTCCCAAACAGATATACAGATGCAACTTTCCGGACTGTAACCGCGAGTTTGTCCGACTCGATCTGTGCAACCGCCACAGGGATCGTCATACCGCAAAGGGATCCGCGTTGAGCCGGAAAGACTCTTTAATTAGTCAAAGCTCTCCGGTCGACAACGTAAGATCTCCGTACCCTACCCCTGCTTCGACCACTATGTCGCCCAAGCACACCAAGTTAGGCAATGTTGCTTTGAGGACAGAACACGCAGCTCACTCTCAATACCAGTCACCAAAGGACGGCGTTGGTATTGGCACACCATACACTCCCATGGCCAGCACATCTCCAGCCACGTTCCCTCATCCTGGCCCTTCCAACCTTTCAGACGCATACATGCACTCCGACCAGGTATCTACTTATAACCCAAGACTTGCTCACCAATCCCCAACTGGTCAGCAGCAGCGCCTTCATTCTCATTCAGGTGGTAGTGCCTATGGTGTTTTGTCACCTGTGTCAACGCACTCTGGTAGCTACCACCTGCAACCCATTCATACGCCTCAGTCTGCCCCCACCATGCCATTTGTTGCGCCGAACAATTTCCCTGCTTTCTCGCTACCTCCTTCAGACTTCAATGCTGCTAATGGCGTTGGAGCTGGATCTACATCCACGCCTCAGTACGCACCGGCAGCCTCGACCGATTATGGCGAACATTCTCATCCCCAAACGTCGACTGATATGATGTTACTTGATCAAATGACGGCACAAGCTACAATGCCCGTTTTTGGCCCAGACGGCATGATAAACAAATCGCCGTATGTATCAATTCCCGAAGACTTCGTGGCTTACCTGTTCAATACGACATCACCTAACAGATCCCCGTCGACTGTGGGTCATATCGTCACTCGGAATCCGTACTCAAGGTGAGCATGCTACCTATGGGTGTGGATGATTGTGTTGCTGACCAATACCAGTTATGGCGATTACCAACAGCAATACAGCGTGCAATATTCTGGGTGCGATGGTGTTCCACTTGGCTACTTCCCACCTGGTCAAGTAATGGCGGTGACGAATTTACTGGACTCTAACCTTCCAGAATCGATCCTATCTGACGAAAAGAGCCAAGAGATATTCGATTTGATCAAGGAACGGTTCGATGAGAACAGCCATGCTCCCGTCGATCGGCAAGGAGAGAATCTCCTCGAGGGAGACCGAAGTGATGACGAGCATATGCTGAGTCGCAAGATGATGCAGATATACATAGGGTCTTACTGGCTCCACTTTAGCGATCAGGTTCCCATCCTCCACAAACCGACGTTTTCGCCAGATAGAACAGAAAATCTTCTTCTAATAGCCGTCATGGCCATAGGCGCTGCCTGTCTGGATCGCAGCCACGGAGTCAAAGCCTTGCAAGCGGGAGCAAACCTCTCCAACTTTTTAGCTTGGAATCTGAGATGGGAAATGTTCAAAGACACAAGCTGCAGGCCGCCCGCGAAATTATGGGCATTTCAGACCATGATATTACTCGAGTTATACGAAAAGATGTACTCTACTCGTGAACTTCACGAACGAGCTCATATATTTCATGCTACAACCATTACCCTGATGCGACGAGGTCGGTCCCTGATAGGAAAGTCGGCACTAGACTCTCCACCGAGCGCACGAGATGATAGATCAACCAGCGCTGGGTCTCGACAGTCCTCCACATCTGGCCCAGCACATACACCAGATGAGTGGTGGAATACCTGGATTACAAACGAGAGCACGCGACGTGCAGCCTTTACAGCCTTCTTGATCGATTCGATCCACGCGACCATGTTTGGGCACTCGACGGTGATGGTAGCACACGAGATGCGTCTTCCCCTACCGTGCGACGATCAACTTTGGAAAGCCACCACCGGTGCTGAGGTAGGTCGAATCGAGTCGAATCATATGTCGAACGGCATCAAGCCAATGCCGTTTTTAGAGGGATTGAAGCGGACCCTGGCTGGACAGGAAGTACACACCAACCCGTTTGGACGGCAAATTCTCATGGCCGGTCTACTAAGCGTGAGTTGGCATATGAATCAGCGCGATCTTCAAGTCAGCTCTCTAGGTCCCAACATGTCGCAGGCGCTCGGTGGTCGGGACAAATGGCGGGGCACTTTAATGAGGGCTTTCGACTCATGGAGAAACGAGTTTGACAAGGCCCTCCAGCATTCGAACCTAGCATTCGACCCTTATAGCTCCGACAGAAGAAATGATGCCAATGTGGTGTTCGAGAGCAGGACGGTGCTGCACCACCTAGCCCACATGGCGATGCACGTGGACATCGTAGACTGCCAGATCTTTGCTCGCGCGAAACGCCTCATAGGGCGGGCGATCGGCTCGCAAGATCTGAGTAGTGCGCAAAGGAGGATGAAGGACCACTGGGCACCGTCAGCGCGAGCTCGCGATGCCACATTCTACGCCATCAAATTTCTGTGCTCGGTGCTCCTTGACGGCACGCAGTATTGCGCCCGAGATGATGTCCTTCTGAACAGGCCATGGGTTCTTTACTTCGCGGCCTTGGTCGTCTGGTGTTATGGGTTCGCCATAGCTGGGCCCTGCCCCGGGTATGTGGTACCGAGCAACCGCGAAGAGAAGCACGCGCAAATGCGTGATTATTTACAGAGGCTCGGTTCGATACAAACTCCCGACGATCTCAAGGTCATGAAAGATGTCAACAAAAGCAGTGCCCTCTTGGCTGTGTTGAAGGATACGTTTGGCTTGACTCGCTGGGAACTCCTCCACGAAGGAGCCACGCTGTTGGACAATTGCATTCAACTGAACAGCGGCAGTATGATATAGCACTTTGATTCCGTCTTTATCCGGCTGATCGTTTGCAGCCGTAGCATAGTCTGAGCGGATACATTCACCCTCACACACTTACACACGAATATCTATCTATCTATCTATCTATATGTATGTACAGGATGGTAGAGTTTAGCGAACTCTTCTGTATGTTACTGTCTTTCTCGCTATATACCCGACGATGCAATGAATTTATACGAGATTTTGCAAGGAATGATTCTTATGAAATTCCACATGGCGGATTGCTCATTGATGTGTCATGTGCTTCGGTAAAGGGTTCACGCCGCTGAAGTGAGTCAAAAAAATAAAATAAAAAAAGGCATCTGTTGTGTTAAGTCCTTAACGCCGAGCCGAAAATCAAGAGTAGACCGCCTTAGCCCACTGTATGTTCAACCACTGTAGGTAGACATTTGCCAGCCTCATTACTTCCAAAACTCAGTTAAACAGCTACTTACATACCTACATACATAGTGCTGAGGTCATATTCTGACAATTGGATCAGTGACCTTGAGACTTTATAATACGTAGTACCTACGGTATGTTCCCATGGGTGTGTGGGTGGGGAGGGAGGGTTGGTGATAGATTGCTTCGGCTAGGCGGGCAGTGCTCGCAGCAGCTGTCCCGAACTACAGCTACCCGAGACAACCGATTGCTAATTGCCAATGTAAATCTTCTTTCTCGGCATCAAACTACCCGACATATGTAGGTAGATATCGATGTACCATACCAAGGATCCTAGGTAAAGTACTGTACTGTATGTAGGGAAGCGAGCCAGGATTGTTTAAGTCCGGCCGACGGCGCAAAGATGGGAATTAACCCCGAACGGAGCGGACTAACACAGAGACAGCTCGTATGATTACATATCTGCCTTGCTATGTCGCACCCATCTAAGCACGACAATTCCAATTCATTGCTGGTTCTTACCGACCTCAACTTCGCCCTGCTCTCCTTTCAGTGTCTGCTGGTTGCTGGTCATCTGCCTGCCTACCATAGAACGTGCGTCCTGTGGATTAGGCACCATATCATATATACCTACCCACCTACTCCGTGCCTTACTTATAGATTTATGGAGGCACCGATAAGCAGCCGCTTCAAGTTATCAACGACTTGCTGCTGATTGCGGATCGCTGCTTTTCCATGCCCATGTCCATGTCCATGTTCATGTCCATGTTCATGTCCCAGCCCGGTACCATATTATATGCGTGACATAGAACACGGCGGGGCGAAATCCGCAGAATAACATCCCGAGTCTCCGTTGCTTCGTCGTCCTTGCGATGCCTCTGCTGACCAATCTCCCGCCCGAGATCGTCTACCATATCCTGGGATACGTTGATCCACCTGACTTGGCCTGGATTCCCCGCACCTGCAAGACCCTCTACCATGCTGTCAGCGCCAACACGCCGTTGTTCAAGCATGTCTATCTCAGGCATCTGGACGCGCCCTCGGGGACGCCCGTCGACTGGGAACGATCCTTGAAACAGCTCGTTCAGCTGCGCCGCCTATGTAGCCGCCCCGATGCTGATGATAAGGTACGTACTACCCATTTATAGTCGCCTGGCAGCATCCACCATTGGCTTGGCTCCGTAGAGCTGTTATAGTGTGATTTTGACGCCGGCGCCGGCGCCGACGCTGACCCTAGCCCCCGTGCCCGTGCCCGTGCCGGTGTTGGCTGTCTTGTGTGGGTGCTGGTGTCTTGCGAATCCAATGTCTGATATCGTGTCTCCGAGTCTCCTAGTCTAGCCTTAGTTGTTCAGACCGGAGATACTCGCTAATGAACTTACCCTCCTTGAACAGAAAGATGAGCTTGACTTTGTGCACCGAACCGCCATCGAACTGCTCAAAAATGCCTCTGCCGCTTCTGGTGACAGCGTGGAAGCCGGCTTGACGGCCAACTTTTCCCCGTCTCGCAACGCCGACATCCTGACTGAAATTTTCAGCGTGGAGTCTAACCAGGACGCCTTTCTGTGCCGGTCTTTCATCTACGAGCGTGCGCGCGCGGAGTTCCATGCCCGAGACATCAGATATTGGCATGGACCGCCCAAGCCGGAACACCAAAAGAGTGCCCATCTCCACTGTCTCTACGGCGTGCCTCTGCTGTTCGCCTACCCGTCTGCCCGCCGACGGACGAGACATAATCTCATGCATCCCTTTGCTTGCTCCAAGGTCTACGATCTTAGGCAATACACGGAGCAGAACCAATGGGGTCCATTTCTAAACGACGGCAGCATGCGCGTGGACTGGGAGAAGGTTGAGGCCATCCTGATCGTGCTTGGCGACAACATGACCAACCTTGGCCTCTCGACAATACGGATGTGCAAGACCTTCTGCACCATCCCTTTTGCTGGCACTTGGGCGAACAGCTGGAAGAGCCACCACCTCTCGCCGCCGCCGCCGCACGAGCTGGAACTCCAGGACCGTCTCGACCCCTACGGCATCACGGGCGTCTGGCTCCGCATCGTCTGCTTCATGGACTACACCGATTTCTTCGCTTACAACTTCGGCTCTGATGAGCAGCCGCCCCCGCATGTCCCGCGGCCTTCGATTGATGTCGGCCAGGCGACGCGTCTCATCATCATGCGCATCTTCGTCACGTCCATCGAGAAACCGGGTCCGGAAGACGGACAAGAATTGCCCGTAGTACACTTCAAGGGCGTCTCAAGATCGTTGGATCAGAGCTTCGACGAGAACGCCGACTCGGATCTCAGAGGTACAGTAGTCCTTGTCAGAGGTGTGAAAGAGATCCCCCCATCTTGCGACTTTCATCGTTTTTTCTGTCTTTTGTTGGGAATGTTGTCGACAAGAGAATGCGATAGCAAAAAAAGTCATTATGGATGAATCGAGATAGTGCTGACGAAGACGATTTCGCGTGTAGGTATTGTGCGCTTGACACCCGAGGGCGAGGTCCGGTGGACAACTTTCTCCATATTCGGCGGTGTCGAACGGTGGCGGAGCGAGAGCGTTCAGGTTCGTTCATTCGCTGGGATCCTTCATTCCATCCGACGACACGTTTCGGGAGAATGTGTTTGACTGTCCCGGTCGTTTCGAGCCCGGACTGAAATTGCTAACCTCGAGATTTCGAAAAATAGGTCGGTGGTGTCAAGAGTGCCAAGGGTGTGTTAGGCCATTGGTTCGACAAGTGAGTGCCCCAATCATCCGTGCAACCGCTACCTCACTTATCTACTCAAACTTCTCCTGTGTCCCCATATGAACTATCATCATATCACATAGCATGTCTTCTCCCCTCTTAGCCGGATTATCCCAAGCACGTAATAACTTCACATGGATTACTTACCACGAGGGTCTATCTGCAGGGACTTCGATCCACGCGGACCAGCAGGACCCACGGCGTTCTGGAAGATATCAGACAAGGAGCCGTCCGCGCTCAACGAGGCAGGAGAAGCCGAGCTCATGACACAGGTAGATGTTCTAGACGGGGATTACGAGACCGACGAGAACGGCGACGAAGATGACGTCGAAGACGGCGAGGCACTGCCGGATGCCCCTTCGCCTTTATCCGAAGCCCGGGAGCTGTAGAGATTGCGCATCAGATACTTCCCAGACCATCTTTCGTCGTGATTTCTTCGCGTTGCTGTAGCTGGATGTGGATGGATGGACTAGAGCGATATCGTTGTACCGGAGTGAGGCAAAAAATGCCTCACCTCATCGCATCCAGCCTTGTTGGTCACGTCGTAGGGTTACCTCGACTACGCACTTGTAATTTCCTTTTTTAGAATCTCCCGTGGGTTGCGGCACATCTGGGATGACCTGCGGTGATTTTTTACATTGAGAGCTGGGAGCGCGGCCTGGAATTGCAGCTATTTCACAACCCGACAAACCTGTCATAGCAATTAAACGTCTTTGAGGTCCGCCGGAGCTCTTCCGTGGCTGGCCTGTAGCTTATTTACAATTGGATCGGTCTTCCTAGCTTCCGAGGTCCGTTGATATGTCTGTCCTTCAATACGACTTAGATTGCATCACCGGATCCGGCACGCGAAGATGTCCAGCGCTGAAAGTCCGTGCAAGGCGTTGAATATGTGCAGTGCGTGCAACATCTAGCTGCGGACATGTCTACGTATGCATCCATTCAACTAAGCACGGCATTGCCACACTGAGCCTCTACAACACACAAGAACCCAACAATTGTTCACTCCAATAATATTATGAGGTAGCTAGTAGGTAATAAACGCTTGAGTGTAGTAGACAATGCTAATAGAAAGCGCATCGCTCTAGTATCAAGAAAGCCTTCCCTATTTACCCATCTTGACACCTCTGTCTTGTTCTATTCTTGCAGCGTCTCGCCAAAGGTCATCAAGTCCGCCCCAATATATCGATATAATGGCCCGGAATTTCCACTGCTGGCGAGAGTAAAACGTGTTTTGGCGCTATCGGCTGAGAGAGATAATATGAAATCTAGCTCGACCTTGATTTTCCCTTCGTCTATAAACCTTTTTAGTCCTTCTGTTTCCGAAAGGCCACTTTTTTTTGTCTTGCCTTATTCTCTTCCAATAAAGGTTGTCCAACCTAGCGGAAGGATCTTTCTATGTCGTTTGGGTAAAGCGCGGTCTTTCCAAAAAAAAAAAAAATAGGTGTCCATTCATATGATATGACCCTTCCCGCCCCCCCTTTTCAGGGGTAAAGTCAGTGAAAGGGATGGAGAATTCCTTGAAGCCCCCTACCAGATCCTTATTCATGCACCTATAGCCTGTACATCTTCGGGGTGTACAAGCCTCAGCCAATCTGATTACATGTAGAGAACTTGCGGCGACAGTTGGGCTTGACGGGTATCATGCGCTACTGATGTATTCCACGAGGTAGAAAAGACGGGGAAGAGTTAGTCTATGTCCGCAAGAGCGAGCCCAAAAAAAGATCAAAAGTCCCAGAGCCAATCAACAACTGAATGCAAGTCTTGTCTTGAACTCCTCAAACCGCTCGTCGACGCGGACGCCATTCCAGGTCTCGTTGCCTTGGTCGTCTTGCCCGATGGTAGGCACGCCGATTTGTTCAATAGCGAAACTGGCTGCCACACTCGCCCACGCTGCAGCCTCCTCAAGACCCTTTCCTCTTGCAAGTGCAACAGCTAATCCGCCCAAGAAAGTGTTCCCGCCACCCGTGGGATCGATTACCCTTCCTTTATTTTGCCGTTTCTGTACCGTCTCTCCTTCCGCTACTTCCCTCTCATCCGGGGGAGCATCATTTCCCTCTTCGTAAGATTTGTTGTGAAAGGCGGGAATCCATCTCTCAACTCCTGGATCAACTTCTATCTCCTCGCGGGCGATGGAGCCCTCGGCATCCTGCAGAAGGCCGGCAAAAAGCGCCTCCATATCCGTGTCGGGCTGGAGGCCGCCATGGAGCAACGCGGACGGTTTCTTGCCCTTCGGCTTCGACTTGTGCTTATGTGTGCGCTTACGCCCGCCGTTGCGCGCGAGGTAGCACCCTTTCTCGCCAGCGCGCACAACAATGGAGAAGGATTGTAGAGGCATGGAACCCAGAAGCTGCTCGCAAGCCCGCTCGATGGCTCGTGTGCTAATCTCACCCGTCTCTGGATCTAAACCATCATCACCCATAAAGCCAGCCAGCTCTGCGTGGTTAGGACTCATGACATCGATCAGCGGCAGCACATTCGTGCAATTCAGCAGTTCATCAGGCGTACAGAGGTCTGGCACAGGTTCCCAAATGAAGATGGGCTTTGGTAAGTGATTGCCCGTAGTATCATCACCGCCATCACGGGCATTTTCTCCACTCAGCCCATTATAAACAGACGCCGGCAGATCCGCACGCTTGTCCTTAATTTCAAGTACGAGCTCACGACATCGTTTAGGTGAGCAAATTAGGTGAAAGGTGCGTGAGGCAAGCAGCTCAGGCGTTAGATCCTCGGCGGTAAGTCTTTTCTTGGGCGTCATATACCGGAACGCCCGATTCTGGTGTTCATCATAACCGTTCCAACCACGCGTTGTTAAGCGTTCGGGCGTTTCACGCAGGAGCACAGATGTCCCCCATGACATAATTAAAGTCTCGAGGTCTGGAGGGAAGTCAGATCCTTTGTCAACGACCCAACCCACGGAGCCGGAACGTGGGGGCGGTGACAACAGCCGGGCGCCGAGTGCCGAAAAGGTCCCGGCTCCACCGAGGACATCCTTTACTGGCGGTGTGGGGGGTATAAACTCGATATCGTCTTGATTGGAGGAGGTTAGCATCATTTTTATGGGCTTCACTGATTGAATCGAGGGGAAATGTCAAGATCTTCCGAGTTGAGCCGTGGTCTGCTGGGTAGAATTGGAAAAGTTTAAACAGAAGCGGTGAGTGAGATGAGAGGGAGATCAGGCCCGGTGGAATCATCCGTGCGGTAGACAGAGGCATGGCTACTAGGGTCAGAAAATCCAAGAATGAAAATTCCGGGAGAAACAATTACCGCACCTGATAGTTTACTGAAACGGCCTCGAGTGCATTTGAGAAGATGCGGACGGCTTACCAATGATGAACATGCCCAGGGTAACGAAGTCAATTTCTTGGTGATCGGTCCCTGTCCCCGTCCCGGTGCCGGGCTCTCTTTCAGCCTCTACGTTGGCCGCTGGCGGTGGCGCTGTCTCTTCTTCGCAGGCAGCAGCAGTATCAGCAGTGGCTTCTCCATTCTCAACAACAACAACAACAACAACAGGCTCATCCGTGACAGCCATGATGGTTGATGCCTGCCCGGATAGCTAGGCAGTCATAATCTATGAGATGTAATAATAGTCTATAGAGATGCCTCGCAGGCTACCGAATTGAATGGTTCGAAGAGTGGGCCAACCGGCTTTAATAACAAGGGGACGACCTAAAAGGGTTGAATGAGAGAAGGGAGAAAGATAAAATGCTGAAGATGCCCAGGTACTAGTTAAGGAGGGAAATAGATGGTAGGCAGGAGGTTCGAGCTTGATGGGCGGCAGAGACACGCCAAGAAATCTGTATGTAGGAGGTAGGTACTCCTGATGTGTCTATGCCAGACTTTGTGCCTAAGATGGGTCTACCGCTACTAAGTAGGCATGGGAAGAGCTGGCAGTGACCCGTACCTACAGCGTCTTTCCACAGGCCGTACTCAAATGATAAGACGAAACAAGACCATTCAACATAGAGAATTCATAATAACAAGACAGTTCGCACACCGGATCGAAGGTCTGATCAAGAAAGGACCTGAGGCTGCAACATGACATGTGCATTAAAAAAAAAAATAGCGGCATAACATGCATGCAGCCTTGTCTTTCCATGTGCTTGCGTCGAAGGACGGGCAAAGTAACCTTATTGTGTGGTGTTACATTATACCTAGTACGTACTTATAGGTACCGCTTGTGTTAGTGACTCTAGGGGATACTGCGATATTGTTAAAGGCTTTGGGGAGTTATAATGCCTAACATGGTAAGCTGATAATGGCCCTGCATCCAAGTCTATAAGTACTTAAATAGTACCTAATTCAGTACACGTAAGTGTTGCACTTACAAGCACCTGCGCCGAGTTGAGCGAGCTTCTTTCCACAAGAGGTTAGTACTAAGTTTGTGATGCAGGGGTAAGCATGTAGGTACCTACTAGGTACTGTAGGTACTGCAAGTACATGCTGGTCTCCTCGGCTCACCTGTCGCAAGTTGCCTTGATCTCCGCCGATCCTATCCAGCCTTATCATCATCAGCCAACAGACTGGCTTTCTTTCTTTCTTTTCTACCTGTGCATGCGCTTGTTGGACTATCAGGCATCAGCATAATATATCCCTTTCCAGATCTCCTCTTCCCAGATTGAAAATTTAGTCAAGAGAAACTAGCTCTCACAATACAGCTGATTCGTCACTGGGGAACTGCACACTCACTCACTGTCTGCATAGAGGCATCTATTTCAGGTTTCAGGGGTCAGCCAGGTTGATATAGGTTGATATATTATCTTCTTTCCCTCCTCTTCCCAATAACTCTAATTCAGCCCCATCCCTACCTATACGATTGGACTTCCCACATCATTGCCCATCATGGCACAGAATAATATGTATAATCTCGTCACACTGATAAAACGGTAAGTCGACTCTCAAGCATTGTCAGCGCTTTACATCGCCGCTCTGACTCCATTGCTGCTAGGCTGGAAGCTGCCACAACACGCCTCGAAGACATAGCCTCGTCCACCATTGAGCTCCCCCACGCCGTTCCTGCTCTATCCAATGCCATCACATCGCCCCCTGACCAGTCTGCCACTCCCTTGCCGTCCGCATCGTCTTCCGATGCCCCAGCTGTCTCGACTCCCGCCCCCCAGGAGAATCTTCCAGAGTCTGTGGAAGAGTTCGACAACTTCATCACCCAATCCGTCGACAAGTATGTCAAGGCCAGTGATAAGATCGGTGGCTTGGTAGCTGAGCAAGCATCCAAGGTCTTCGACGGCTTCAAGCAGCAACGCCGCTTCTTGCTCATCTCCACCAAGGCAAAGAAGCCCGACATCTCTGTTTCCGCCGACATGTCGGTCTACCAGGAACTACTGAAGCCAATCAACGAGGCTCTTGTGGCTGTGGGCAATATCAAAGAATCGAATCGTGGGGCTCCCGTCTTCACTCAACTGAGTGCAGTGGCTGAGGGAATCATGGTACTGGCCTGGGTAACCGTCGACAATAAGCCGTTCAAACACGTAGAGGAATCTCTTGGTTCGGCACAATTCTTCGGGAACCGTGTTCTGAGCGAACATAAGGATAAGTATGAGCAGTGGCCCGTGACAGACAATGCAATGACTATGCTAAATAATTCTCCTCAGGAACCCGGAGCAGATCGAATGGATTAATTCCTTCTACCAAATTTTCCGCGATCTCACCGAATACGTCAAACAATATTTCCCCAATGGGATTCCTTGGAACTCTCAAGGCCAATCAGCAGCTGACGTTGCGAAGTCAATATCAGCATCGGGTGCCGCCGCATCACCAGCTCCTCCCGCACCACCCGCGGCTGGCGGTGCGCCTCCTCCGCCTCCGCCGCCTGGCCCACCGCCAGTCCTACAAATCAAGGAAGAAGCACCATCAAAGGCCGATACAGGACTGGGCGCAGTGTTTGGCGAAATCAATAAGGGCAGCGACGTCACAAAGGGATTGCGCAAGGTTGACAAGTCAGAAATGACCCACAAGAATCCGTCGTTAAGAGCAGGATCAACAGTTTCAGACTCGGATGCGTCTATACGGGGGAAGAGTGCACCCGGTAAGAAACCTAAGCCCGAGAGCATGCGGGTTAAGAAGCCGCCTAAAAAGGAACTTGACGGCAACAAATGGACAATCGTAAGGATTACTTCCCAACCCCTTTTCCGGCGGTAACTGCGAAATTAACGATGGCCCACAGGAAAACTATGAGAAGCACTCTGAACCCATCGAAATCGAGGTGTCCATGTCACAATCGGTGCTGATTAGCAAGTGCAACCACACAACGATTATACTCAAGGGCAAGGCAAACGCGGTAACTATCGAGAACACGCAACGCCTGTCGCTCGTTGTCGACAACCTCGTATCCACCGTCGATGTCGTCAAATCATCAAACTTTGCCCTGCAGGTTCTTGGTCAACTGCCCACCATCATGTTAGACCAGCTCGATGGCGCGCAGATCTATCTGAGCAAGGACAGTGTCTCGACTAGGATCTTCTCGAGCAAGTCCTCTAGTATCAACGTCAACGTGCTATCTGGCGACGAAGGCGACTATGTGGAGATTCCCCTACCGTACCAGATCTGCTCCCAGTACGATGCGGAGAAGGGCGAGATGGTCAACGAGATCGTAGAGCACGCCGGCTGAGTGGAACCTCTCCTGGTATTTGGAAGATAACAAAGAGGTACAGAGATATTGGCTCTTGGATTGCGGTGGAGGTGAAGATGCATAGATGGACTAATTCGAATGCTTGGCTCGGCCATCGTTATCGTCGCCTCCATACTGTAAAGAAAGCTATCCCGTTTTGAAATATTTTGTATCCTTAGGTAGCATCTACACGTTAGCATCATCAATTGAAGCATTTGCGGCACTTGTAGATCCAGCTGTACGCTGGGCAAATTCCTGTTCATGTAAATTGAACTGTTCAAAATACGTAGATACCAAGAACAATCCGAAAAGATGGACGCGCGTTCTCGCGCTTTTTCTTGTATGACAGACACCTGCTGCTGTGAACTAGCAGACAAATAAAATGAATTTACTTAAACTAGATCAATGATTTATATTCGTGATGATTCAAGTCACGGCAGATCCTATATACAATGACATGGCACTAACCCAGCTGGTCACATGCCCGTTCAACATCCAGGTCTTTAATCTGTCTAGTCTATTGGGCACAGAAGATTGGACACGCTGATAATGCATAATTCCACGGGGTAAGTAAGCAAGCGTGGGTATCCGTCTCGTGTAGAGCAGTACTTTTCTTTTTCATAGGTAATTTTATAGCTTAGCCTTGGGTGCCTCGAGCGTGGGCAACAGCAAGTCCCGAATGTCGCCCGCCGCCTCGTTGATGTAGTAGCTCATCTTCTGGCTGTCGAGGCCCTTGGAGACGATATTGAAGTTGAGGCTATAGAGTAATTAGCACAAGCTCTTCTCCTTATTGTTCATAGTGACTGTAGAGCATGGGAGCAAGAAAAAGAATGGAAAGAAACGTCGGATTGGGGGAGTTTTACCTGTTCTCGTTGATCATATAGGCAATACCGAAGCCTGCATCGATAACCTGACTCCAACCGTAACCGTTGAAAAACTCGGAACTCAACTGGCTCGTAGACAGGTACCAGGAAGAGCTGTAACCGTACGCAGGATCCTTGTAGATGGCGGGTACCTCCTCGCCAGGTTCAAGTAGTTTCTTGAGACCAAAGAGGTGGCGGTCTACACCTTTACCATCTGAGGCGGCGCTGATGTACTCGATGTGCGCAGCGATAGCCTTACGGAAGAGAGAGATGCGGTCCTCATCCGAGACATCTGAGGACGCCATGGCGTTGCAAAAGGCAACGCTGTCGTCCGATACTGTACGACAGGTTTCCGTGCGACCGAGCTGGAACCGCCGTGTTGCTGCCGATTCGTATGTAGGTCTGTTCTTTCCGAACATCTTATAGTATGCCAGTTGAATAATCATCTGCACATAGGCGTCGGGCGAGCACTTGAACTTCTTGATGAGGCCCTTACCATAGGCCTGATAAGCTTGAACAGCGAGCTGATGTTGTCCTATGACGGTAGCGAAGTCCTTAGTTGCACGGTTAATCTCGCCCATTACGTTAGGCGTGATGTCGAAGTTCACTGCAACGGGGTCCGACAAGTTTGATCGCACAGACGGGTTGCTAAAGTCCAGCTTGTTGCCAAAAATGAGATCGTTGACATAGTCGTTGAGCCGGTGTGTTGGCGTTCCGTCCATCATGCTGTGCTCACCCATGAAACCCGAGGTGCCATTGTCATTCACGATGAATTGTAGCGGCTTATCATACCAGCGATTTTGACCGTCACCATGCCAGTACTGGTGCGCCCGTTCCTCAAGCGTCACAGGGGCCGCATCGTCTAAGCAGACAACGAATGAGGCAGACTCGATAGCCTCGAGTGCTGCTGCGTTCCTGGGCGAAGCGTTTAGAAGAACTTTGCGAGCCTCTGTCCAGACGTCCCTGTTCTCACTAGTAAGCGCACCGACGGCGGGCACCCGCTGAGCAAGCTCATAGACCTTGGTAAATTGTGCTTCAAGTTCTGTGGTGTTCAATTGCTGGCCGTCGACCTCGTGCGCTATCTTGAAGAACTGGTTTTTGCGTATCGCAATGATATGTTTGTGCTCATTAGGGTCGAACTTGACAGGGTAGTCGGCGGGCTTAGCAGCAACCCTGCTGGCATTGAACATCCACTTGTAGCTGTCCATGCAGATGGGAAGCTTCTTCATGTATTCAGGCTCAAGTGTACCGCTGTCAACCTGTTTTTTGAACTCGAGAGCGGCGGTCGTAAGGGCAGCAGCACGCTTGGCGGGGTTGCGCCGGCGACGATCATCGCGATGTGAGTAGAAGTAGCTGACGTAGGGAACGACGGGGTCGCGGTATGAAAGATAGGCGGCGTCATTCCACCATTCGTAAATCCAGTTCTTGGTTTTCGGGTCTTCTCGCTTTGCAACCAATTTCTTCTGCAGCTTCTCGCCAGCGCCCCCAGGCTTTATGAACTCGTCAACGGCCTTTTTGCTTGCGGCAAACTCGTCGGGGCTTAGTAGGGGATGTATGCTCTTGACGTAGCGGGCGGCGGTCTCTTCGAGGGTGGGCACTGGTAACCGAGGCAGGGATTCCTGGAACCGGAGCATTGGACCCTTGGACTTGTCTTCGGCGTAGCCTAGAGCTTTTTATAAGCATTTGAAGCTTCACACGTGAGTAGAGGCTGTGAGACAGCAGCTAACCTTGTGGGAGGGAGCTATTGCTCCGTTTCGACGCGGGCGCCATGAGAGGACTCTATTACGAAGCCGGTTAATACACAACTCGATATTTGTGGTGGAACCTCATCAGGGTAGCCATGAAAGCGTTTACCTTTGCGGCTGTGCCTCTGCGTATTAATGATCGGAGAGCAGTACTCTGTGTCCGGCTCTTTACCAGCGAGGCCAACATCACAGAGTCCGGGGTGTATAGGACAAGGAAGGGAAATTGAGAAGAGAAGAGAAGAGAAGAAGCGTCAAGAGGTGTGGATTGCCTGATCCTTTAGCACCAAGTAATCGACCGTGGCAGGGAAGTGCGGATGGGTCGCTGTGACGATGGATGGATATACTACTTCGTATGTAAGTATGGCAAAGCAGCCGCGGTAGTTTGTCATATGTCGCGGACGATGTACCCGGCTGTGACGCTGTGTTAGCGTTTCTGTACTAGGTACCTACCTGTACTTAGACTGTAGGACAGTGGAGAGTGCCCCTCCTATGTAGATAGTACCTAACGCAGTATATAGAATTTGTAGTGTCGCAAAGCAAGGCGCAACCAGCAACCAATTCTTTCAACCCCAAACGTGTCGGGATGGATGAGATGTTCAACTTCTTGTTTCTACAGATAATTTATATTCACAGACTATGTAGAGAGAGTCTCATAAGATGTATTGTAGGTAGATACTATCTACCCATTAGTGCGTGTACATAGTACTTGCGTGCCCAGGTATCTCAGGTCGTCAGGTCGGATGTCCAGTCGGTAGGTAGCCGAGCCCCAGCAATGCCGAGGTAAGTTGAATCAGCCTCTAACAAGCTCTACCTACTATGTAATACGTAAGTATAGGTAGCAGCCGCACTGCACAGAGCCTACCTACCGAGCCTACCTAGGTACTTACTTACATACCTAGGTAGTAGACCAGAGCCCGCCGTAGCCGCCGAAAAAAAAAAAAAAGAAGAAAGAAAGAACCATTGTCCACCGGACAAGGGGGGCCCCCTTTACCCCAGACTCTTTTATCCGGGGCAACGGACAATCACTGAGCTGAACGCCGAGCTGTGGCTTACAAGTTGAAGCCACTAGAAACCCCCCGCCGGCCGGGGCTCACATGTCAATGCGTGTCATTCCCCAGTTAGCGTTGCATCATCGCGAATCATGCGCAAGCATGTTTTCTTGGAGCCTCATTGCATACAGCAAGTATCTCGCTGAAACCTGACATAAACTAGTTCCCGCACTACCCTATATCGGCAACGCTTCTCGGACTCATGGAAGTGCGTCCGTCGCATGAGCCGCTTGCTGTTGCTCACAGTGCTGTGGGGGGTCGCTTGACTAATAGATGCTCTAGATACGCGCGTCGAGCTAGCGAGTTGTAGATGATGCTGCTAAATCTTAGACAACCTTGCTCTTGGAGGATCCAGAACGTTGTCGGAGTCGCCTTGATCTGATTCAAAAACAACATGTTTTCATGAGCACTTGAGGACTGGAATGTTGTCATAGGCCTAGCATATCCAGTCCCTTATATGGACCTTTCAGCGGGCAACTGGAACTTCTCACGTCAATGAGTCGAATTTGTTAGCTAAATATTTTTCTTTTTTTATCTACTATATAATGACACAGTAACCTGTCTTTTAGACCCTTTTTGAGGTTGGTAGTCCAAAAGTTGAAGATGAATCATAGAGTTGGCGTGCAGTGCTGGAAAACCCACAGTATTTGCTGCGAACATTAGTGCAATCAATGTCTCACGTATGGAGGCATAAGCTATCGCCATCGCAAAGTCTCATTAGCATTCCGTGCCCTGTTGTTTGCGTGCCGTAGTCGGCATTTGATACCGTCACGACTGTAGCCCCCGGCGATTATGGCTATTCAAATACAGCCTTCGACGGCCTGTTCAATCTTGGTGTCTGATGCAGGTTGTAGAGTTCCTGTCATCTTTCATTACAAGCGGGTGTGGCTCCTTGACCGAAAGGTCGTTCCCTCATTTTGCCTCTCTTTTCTCAGTCACTCATTGATATCTCCTTGCTTTCCTTTTGTTGTTCGTTCTTTTTTTGTATACCTCTCATCATGTCGTATTCCCTATCAACACATTATGCAGGCCAGGGGCTCCTCGACAGATTTAGCTTCTTTACCGGCGAAGACCCAAATAGTGGATTCGTCAAGTAAGGGCTTCTATAATACAATACAGAGATTTTAGCTAATGATGTGTCAGTTATCAAAGTAGAGAGGCGGCGTTAGCTAGTAATCTCGTCTCTATTGACGAGTTGAATCGAGTGAAGCTCGCGGTTGATTCAATCAACACATACTCGACGAGTGACAAGGGCAGGCCGAGTGTTAGACTTACCAGTGACGAGCAGTTCACTCATGGTCTATTCATTGCCGACTTTGCCCACATGCCCGGGTCTACTTGTGGGACATGGCCAGCATGTAACTCGAAGTCTTCCGTCATTCTTCTTGGACATCAACTAATTCATTCAAAGTCTGGGCATTTAACAACGCTGGCCACTGGCCCGCGGGAGGCGAAGTTGATATAATTGAAGGTGCTAACAGGGCACAAAAGAATTTGTTCACTGCCCACACGTGAGTTTACTGCAGCCAAATCCGCGTCAGACGGAGCTTGCTTCTAATACAAAGCAGAGCGCCAGGGTGTGAGGCCCCCAGTACAGGCTTCACTGGTATTCCAGGGCCGACTGATTGCTCAATCATTGTAAGAAATTCGCCATTGCCATATATAGGATATCCAATTGATTCAAGCTCCATAGCCCGATAACGTTGGCTGCAACTATGCAGCTCCTAAAAGCGGCACATATGGTGATTCTTTCAATGTCATAGGAGGTGGAGTCTATGCAATGGAGTGGGATTCGCAAGATATAAAAATATGGCATTTCCCTCGCATGGCCATTCCCTACGACATCAGAAACGCGCCGATCGTCACTCCAGACCCAACAAGAGTACGTAGTCCTCGGTCCTGGCATCTTGTTCGCAGGGTTGCTCTTACAAATTCAACGGTCGTCCTGGATTAAGACCGCTGCGCCGAACGCTCACTACACTAGCAACACTCGTCATCACGGCCCATGATAGCAAAAGCTAACTCGAACTGTTCCAGTGGGGCCCACCGCAGGCTCGCTTCGGGGGATCAGAGTGTGATACAGATTCACATTTCTACAACATGAGTCTGGTGATCAATACCGTGAGGACCTGACGTTGCTGATGCTAGACAAAAAGGGTACTGACAGGAAATCAAACAGAACTTTTGCGGCGCATACGCCGGTAACATATGGGGCGTTGCCGACAAATGTGACAAACTGGCACCAACCTGTGAGGAGTATGTGGCCGGTAATCCGAGGAGTTTCAGGAACTCGTTCTGGGAAATCAATTACATTGATGTATACAAAAAAGCACCCCCCAGTAGCGGCTCTTCACCATCTCGTTCTCCGAGCAGGAGTACTCCCACTTCAGTCGTCACGAGACCAACTGTCCTCGGCAACAATACTGCAACACCAAGTAGAACAAGAACCGTCACGATATCGGTCTCGACGGCTCAGCCGACGCCGACCAGTGACGGACTACCTAATCCTACCACCATCGACGACTGGACACTGCTCGGCTGTTTTGGTTCTCTTGAAGGCTACAAGTCGTTCTCGCAAGTGGCCTCCTACCCGTCGATGGACAACGAAGCCTGCGTATCTAGCTGTGCAGGTCACAAATATGCTGGCGTCTCTAACGAGTTGCGTACTCCCCACTCCGCCCTCCCACACTCAAATTCTACAAGCGTAGATGCGGAAAAGAAGAAAACAAATACTAACACCATTATTACCCTTAGGACTTGCTATTGTGCTGACGCCCTCGCCGACGCCACGGCAGTACCGAATAAGCTGTGCTCCGTCCCCTGCCCAGGGAAGCCAACCGAGCTCTGCGGCGGCGTGCTCACAACAACCGAGGACGCAGAACCACCAGCCTTCGCGAACCTAGCCTTCGGGCGTCTAACCAACGTGACATCACTGTCCAAGTCAAAAGTAATCGGCGTCTCGCCGCGCGACGCGTCCAACCCCTTCCCACGCGCCGCATCGCCACCGCCCCCCAACGTTCTCCTAACGGTCTACGGCAAGATCGACGAAGACGTCCCGCCTCCGGCCCCCGCAATGGGAGGAACGAGCAAAGCGGTAACATCAACGACGACAACGACGACGACGGTGACGTTTGTCACGGTATGTCCCACGGATGCCGCGAAGCTGATTACCATGGAATACTGCGCTACGCTGACGGCGGCGCAGGCCGTGCCGATGACGACGTACGTGCAGGCGTGCGAGGCGTGCGGTCCGCGCGGCGCGGACGCCGTGACGCTCACGGTCCCGCAGCCCGTCGCGGCGGGCACGGCCAGCGGCCACGTCGTGGCGATCGCCGTCGAGACCGTTGTCCCCGTGCTAGCAGCGCACAATACGTCCAGCGCTAATACCTCTAGTCCCGGCGTGCCCATCATGCCCGTGCCTACAATACCCGTGCCCGTGCCCGCGGGCGCATCGACCGTGGAACGGACGTTCGTAGGCTTTATGAGGACACTTGGGTACGGGCTTGGTCTCTGGTTTGCCGTGTTTGGGATTGGGGTCCTTCTGTGATGATGGCTAGGCTAGGCTAGATGAATACATACGAAGGTAGATAAGCGAAATTTTACTAAGATCTTGAAGTTAGAGATTCAATTCAGCCAGAAGGCGAGCAAGCACTTAATAAGTCGCATCATAAGTCAAATGAATGAGAATCGTTTATCTACTTCGAACGTTAGACTCTCCCTATCTCTCCCACTTCCCCATCGCCGGAGACTCGGATAGAAGTTTGTGTGAAACTCACCAATGCTATTATTTTACCCTGAGTCTGACTAGTAACGGTACAACAAACCTCATAGCATCATTCTCTCCCACCGTAATGAACACACGCCATAAGAACCATGTGAATTACAGACCCATTGGCCAATACGAACTCCCGTACTTCAGTCGTTACCCATCTCCCAGGTGATCTATTAGGCTCATCATAGCGAAATTAAATCCACTCATGGCTGTTTCTTTCGCGTCAAAACTCGCTTGAATTGGGGGTTTCGCCCTGGATATAAGCTCCTTGCCAATCTTTATAGTGTAATCCATGCTAGGTTGCCGGAGCCAAAATCTGTGAATGATGTGAGCGACGCTCAATGGAACGAACGACGGACTTCGCGGACTTTACATCTGCTCTGGCGTGCTGTTAGCGCCCTCGGACAGGCTCTTCGCCTCCCTCTGCAGGGCGGCAAGTGTAATCTTCTCTCCCGCATCGATGGTAGGAGGGGCAGTGTCTTTCATTGCGTCTGGCCCAAGCGTTTCCTCTAGAAGCTGTTTCCGAGTAGAGTATCTCGCAACCCTTTCTTTCTGGAGACCTGGGCTATCTATTTGCGCTAGGGAATAGCTCACAGCATACTGCGTCCCAAGATACAAAAATTCGGAGAAGAGAAGAGTGATCAACAGGCCGACGACGTTCACGTTTGATGGATCGCCACCTGGGCCTTCACTTTCGCCGCTGAAAAGGAACACGAGGGCGGAGCTAACAATACTTCCTGTCCAAGACAGGAAACCTAGGGCATTCAACCAGGGACCGATCGAATCGGATCTCCAGGGAATTGGACGTTGACTTGTCATAGCAATTTTCATGGCGTCAGATCGGAGCTCAATCCAATTGTTGATGAAGAATGCTAGTGGTGTCAAGGGCCAGATAGATGAGAAGAGAGATAAGTAGCCGAACTGGACAACCATTTCGCGATAGTCGATAGCAACATCATAGACATCGAGCTTTGCTTCTTCTCGGACCCTCTGCAAAAATTCGTGCTCCTCCGGCAAGTCTTGGTTTGACGTAGCACCCTGGCCTATACGTTTCGTCTTCACCTTGCCCAGAACGGTTCTCTTTAGGTAAGGAACCACAAATTCTAGGGCGACATTAACAAGCTGTGCAGTAACAGCAAAGTAGACCATCTGGCTTTTCAGTCGATCAGGATTAATGCTGAATTCTTGGGTAACGATCGACTTCTCGCTAGAGAGCGTCCTAGCGGTAGATGCGAAAATCTGAAGATATGGCACCATCAAGTTCCCAAAAGGCATGTAGACAAAAGCCGATAGGAATAAAGGCGTATAGGAAGTAATGAAATTGATGATAAAAATTTTCGTGATGAGAGCAGCTTGGTGCGCTGTAACAGGTTCTTAGTGAGATGCCTTAGAATCAGGTTGGGCTCATTACCATCATTCGTTTTGTAATTCTCACGCTCGGTGAGGTTTTCGGCAAACTTCGTTAAAATAGCCGTCAGGACTGGCAACACGCTGCTTAAGATAAGAGTCGGGGCAAAAGTCTGTGGGTTTGTTAACACATATCTATCGGCGAGCGAACTGATCACGCACCAGGTATGATTTGAACGGTCCGTCATATACTTGGGTGAGGAAAATCTCAACTCCGAAACAGAAAACATACAGTGCACCCAATATGAGAACGCAGCCAATTGCGAATGGGACCTGAAGCACCTGTGTTCTTAATCTCTTTGTAGGTGGATAGTGCTGAACCGGTTCTCCAGTTACAGGATCAGGAGCCTCATAGTCCCACTGAAATTGGGCTCGGGGATGCTGAATGCGAGAGACGTTGCGCACGCCCCATTGGACGGCCAGATCAACCTCCTTCTTCTTCCACCATTCAAAGAAAACGACAGACCAAAGAGCGGTGCCAATAGAGTAGAGCCACGAATATCGTCCGAGAATGAACCAGGCCCCGAGCCCAAAAGCTGCGGGGAATACTTGGAAGGCAAAATATGATCGCATGAAGGCGAAGTAAAAGGCTACGCTCTCGCCAAATTTGTCGCGGATTCGGTCAAGATCCCCGTCATCCACAACGTATTTTGTACTCAATTCTTTGATCCAAGATTTGTTGAAGGCATCGTCGTGGATAGGAAAAATTGACGTCACCTGCTTCCACCGCCCTACCTGCGGTGTGATGCCAGCTCCGCCTTCACTCTTGGGCTTTGTGATCAGCAGGTATACCAGGCGAAGTCGTTCGGCTTCAGTGACGGGCTCTTTCTCGAAAGCCTTGCTGATGTCCTTCTCTGGTGCGAAAGTCCGCACGCTGTAGAGCCAGTCTTGAACCCTCTCTCTGTAGATTTGTGAAGCCAGGTAATCATTGGATGCTACCTTGACAAATACTAGCACTGAAGAATCATCGCCGTGTCGCACCTCGGTGGCAAGCCCGACCTTTGTAAGTGCTTCGATGAGTTGGATGAAGCCAGCCTCAGCCTCAGCTTTGTCTGGATGTATGCTGTAGCAGATTACATAGTCGACGTTCATGTTCTCCTTGAGCCCTGCAATATCAGCGCCATCGGACGCGGAGAGCGCCTTGCGGGAGCTCATTATTTGCGACCAAGAGACCAGAGGAAGTACTCTGGGACTTTCTTCAACGCTCACCAGGGATATGTGTAGGGCTCAAACCCCAGCGGAGAGATTGACTAGGTAGGTAGTCTGAAAAGTTGGGCTGGGATTGGTAGTGGATTAGCTGGACTATTTATATTCCCATAGGTAATTAGGTATTCAAGGCAGCCGGCTTGGATGGTAGCCGGTGTTACTGGAGACAGGATGATGAGGATCTGGGATGGACAGAACAGAAGACACAATAAAAAAAGAACAGAAACAAATGAATATGGTAAGCCCAGTCTACTCAAGCTGATTGTGTCGGACATCGTACATCGGCTATGCGGCTAGCTAGGGAGTTAGGTAGGTAGAAATTCAGGATATCATGAACCTGCCATTGGCCGCTAACAACGTCATACATGCAGGTAGACTTGAGTGCTTGCGGCGCTGCCTTTAGTGTCTTTAGCACACGCACGTACAAGGACAGTGCCGGTAGTACATTCGTACGTGAGTTGTCCATGCACATGGATTTACCTAGTACATCGTATGCATCGCCATGGTGTGTACTGTAGATAATAGAACCTTATAACCTTTAAATTGCACGCTATCTTATGTTAGGTATTTATCGTAGAGGGATTATTGAGCGATTCTAGCTTTGCCTTCTTTCACTACCTACCTAGGTAGGTAGGTACTTTCTATAATATCATGAGGTGGGGGTGATTGGGTCTCCACTATAGCCCTACAGCTAGTACTGAGCCAGGTACGTGCTGCTACTTGGTGCCTACTGTAAATGACGATATATCCCCACTTCTACTGGTACTTTTAGGTATCTAGGTAGGTACATACTAAGTACATATGTTGGTAGACTGGGTTAGTACGGTTATCGGCATACCTACCCCTGCCTGCCTAGGTAACATGGAAAGGCAGAGAGAGGTATGTAGATAGCTACATACGGTACCTACCTACCTAGTGAGTACATGTAGGCGGTGATCCAAGTTGCAGCCACTACATCAACATCATCAAAACATTCATCTACAGATCATGGGGCTATTGGTCAAGGTTGGCCTCCGTCGGCGTATGAAATGGGAGCCGCGAACAGCCCTCGACTGGTTTCTGGAGTCCCCCTTACAAGGCATCATATATCTCCTCTATCCCGTCATCTTATGGCTAAGAGGGAATCCCGTGAGGCCGCCAAAGAATAAGGCACCGATCAAAGTCGTCTTCCTCTCCGACACGCACGACTCCGTCGTCCAGAAAGTTCCAGATGGCGACCTGCTCATCCATTGTGGTGACATGACCAACGACGGCACGGCCGCCTCTATACAGAAGCAGATAGACTGGCTTGCCTCACTCCCTCACCAGCATAAGGTACTTGTGTGCGGCAACCACGATAGCTGGTTTGACTTGAACTCACGCACCGAGGAGGACACATTGGGACACCGCACAGTCGACTTGAAGACGCTCCATTATCTTGAGCGCAGCTCTATTACTCTTTCATTCAAGGACAACCGAAAACTCAATATCTACGGGGCTCCTGACTTGCCTCAATGTGGAGGCTCAGAAATGGCGTCAGTCGCCCCAAGTTGGCTATAGTAAGATGTGAGACTAGACTGACAATACACCTGAATAGATTTCAATATACTATTGATCAACACCCATGGAAGGGCACAATACCCTTTGACACTGATATACTAGTAACTCATACACCTCCTGTACGACAAAAGTCATCCGATGTCTTAAGATGTGACCTCAAAACTGATCAATATTCACAGATGCTTCATCGAGACCTCTCTCTCGGCTGTCCCGGCTTGCTAGCAGAGATCTGGAGAAAGAAGCCCAAGGTCCACGTCTTCGGGCATGTCCATTGCGGTCGTGGGCTCGAGGCCGTCTACTGGGATGACTGTCAGAAGGCATATGAAGACTTGATGCTCCGTAGAAAACGAGGACCTCTTTACGACATGATCCCCAATCCTGGATGGATAGGTGCGTTTAGGGTTTTATATCACGCCGCTAAAGGAATTCTTTGGCAGTGGTTCTGGCTAGGCGGTATGAGCAATGGCAGCATCCTGATCAATGCTGCCATGCAAGCTGGGACTTCGGGAAAATTGACGGATCGGCCTCCTTTCACAATCGAGATATGAAGAGATCTTCGACTGTCGTTTTATGCAGTATGTCACCATTTATAACTTATCTAAAATTAGGCATTTACGTACCTATACCAACACATGCATCGAGTATCTAATTTCGTAGTAAGTTCTCGGATCTTCACAGCCCCCCGTCTCTTTTGTCCCAATTGGGAGATATCAAAGCCTCGAATGGTGTAGGGGATAAACTACCTAGTCGGTGACAATGCCTCCCCTGGTGAGGAAGTAGGGTCATAGGCAGCCGACATTTACCGGTTAAGAGATACTAAATTTGTCCCGGAAATCCAATATTGAAGTTCTCATGCCTTGTTCTCCTTAATCCCGACGCAGCCATCGATCCTAGATTCAAGGGGAGACTCGATGGTCATAATATGAGATTACAGCAGACACCCCAGGATGATTTAAACTTGTGTCGCTTATGAGTTGAAAACCAGTCATCGAAATGATTCTTCAGTGACCTCATTCATTTCATTCCCCACAGTCAGGAAGAAGGGCATGATTGTAAGAAACCTTGATTAAGTATAGATACAAACTAAACTGGCTAATGGAAATCTCTAACAAGTCAAGGAAATAGACCCCCTTCGCCCGCAGACGTATCTGGGAATTTCATCTTCCCGTCTTTTCAAGGGGTATTCAAAGCAATGAAGACTTTTTGGTTCCATTCGTTAGTCAAACATCCCATTCTCGTCTCCCTAACACGCAATTCTTCGCTCAAATACCCAAGCCCGCCAACGACAAGTCAGGCGTTTAGCACTGCCTCCAGACGTAATCCCAGCTTTCGGCGGTTGCCGTGTTGGCGTCCTTGCCAAAGTAAGCGTACTGCTTCCCGGGGGCATCGAGGGCGACGCGGAAGTTGACGTTGAGGATGCCAAGGAAGCCGTCGGATTTGGTGCAAGGGGACCAAGCCACTGAGCCAGCTTTGGCGGTCCTGCTGATGTCTTGGTCGAGGCGGGACGACCCCGTATTAGAAATGGTACCGGAGATGGTGTTCTAGGATCACGCGCACATGTCAGTCATTTTGTCTTAATTCTCTCTAGTGGACGCATGGTCTGCGTCGTAGAAGGAGCAGAGAGGCGGCACAGGGAACGTTAAGTAGAAAAAGGCACAAATTTCCTTACCGTTGTACCCGCGTTCTCACTCCAGTAGCTCGTTAGATACCATGTGATGCTTGCACTGGGATCGAGGACGAGGTGTCCCTGAATCGTAGCACTCTGGATCCCGACCTGCCAGCCCGACGAGCAACCTGTAGCCTGCAGGTGAACCTGGCAGGCTGTGTTTGCATTCTCAATACCCGGCAAGCTGGCGGAAAAGCCGTTTAGTTTGAACCCAATGTCGCTAAATCCAGCACCCGTGCGCTCGACGGCCGGCGATGACGACGGACATCCGCTTCCGCTATAGGAAAGAGACGTGACACGCGGTTGCGCGGCGGGATCGCGTGCTGATAAAGGTATTGAAGCAGCCGTTGCGATATATGTCAAGGATGCGAGGAGTGTGGATGAGGAGAAGCTTGGTAGATGCATTATGGCCGACTTAGATTTTTCTCAAGTAGTGGGTTGTTGTAGGCAACGTCGTAACAGTTCCTGAGTGATGTAGAGAAGAGTTTATGTGATGAACCGATGAAGTTTATTCTGTTGGAGATTTGGGTCTGTCTTACTGTCAAGAGATAGGTACCTTGTGAAGAGGAACATCTCGCCTTTATAGACGATCCACGGATGTTCTGAATGCCTTCGCTGCTCTTGCACTAGTCGTCCGAATACAGAAAGATCTCGCGGAGGCAATACTGAGACCACCCTCACGTCACACCCATATATCACATGATAGGTAACTGCTATCCAGTCTAGCCTTGCCACCTCGGCCGGTTCGTACACCTCGCTGCAGTTCCGCCATGGTTTCTAGGCGGGTCTCTGCAGATCAGAAAACCGAATTTCTAAGTGTATAAAACAAAGAATCCGCTGTTGCCAGTTAGAACAGTTGGGAGGATTACGAGCCAGGCGTAAAGGCTAATATGGATAAAGTGGTAACCACATTGTTACTGGTCCCCGGGAAAACCAGAGCCTCCCAGGTCACAAGGCCCCTGGAAAGTCTGGTCAAAAATAGCACGCGAAAGCTTCTAGTCTTATCCGTCATAGGTAGTCGAACTGATTGATGCAACGTAGGCCCGCCCTGGTGCAAGGATACCCGTAAGTCTGGACTCAAGAACGCAGTCCAGGCGTGAGCCATCATAAACAGCCAAATGTCAATTCATAACCCTGCGTTTGAAACAAGATTGATCGGGCCATGAGGTATATTCAAGTCCTCTGTTTGTGAGACAATCATCAACCTGTTTCCGGAGCACGATGTCGCGGAATTAAGCTTGATCTTGGATCGTTCTAGATCATACATGGAGCACTATTTCGGGAACAGCTTCTGCTATTCCGCAATTCCCCACTGCAGGATAATTAGATGCTAACTTTCTAGGCCGGTCGAAATGTGATTGCAGCCGCGTCAAATCGAGATACCCTTATAGTAGGGTTCGTACTTTGGAGTGATTATCAGTTAGTAATGAGTCTTGGTATGCTGTGCTAGGTTTGGGCACCTAGGATGACGACCAAACGTATCAACTGAGTAGCATGATAATCATACAACGTCATTTAGGCCCGTGAATATTGGTAGAAGTCCTCAGAATATCTTAGACCATGATCCGTCTTAATCCCTCAGTCCCTCCAAGCACACGTCGTCCTGTGACGGCACAACGACCTTTACCACTGTCCCATTTACCAGCTTTATCGACCATGAACTCTTCTTGTCGCTGATGTATTCCTTCAAGCCATTTATGTATACAAGCGTAGCAGTACACGAATCCGGTCTGGCAGGCTGTGGCGGTTGTAATCTCATCCTCACATATAGGGCATAATTCGGAGTTGTCTGGACGCGATACGGTGAGAATAGGTAGCAAGGATGATGTGGCAATAGGGGCATTCTCAGCCAGCGGTGTTCGGTCAACATCTTCTTGCTGGTTCTTGTGCTCAACTTGCTTGCTTTGCTTTAGTTGTAGCTTTGTGCCGAGTGCTGAGAGTCCCGAAACAAGAGGAGGTGGTAACTCAAGATTCTCTGCAGCCTTCCTTGATAGCTGCTTCGCAAAATCAGATGCATACCACCACTCTAAGAATTTTAGTGCAAAGATGCTTGTTGGCAGTAGCACAGATAAACCCCCCAATATTTTTGGCCCCATTGTCCTAGGGTTAAATATGCTTGTTGGGCCCGGCGGGTTGCCTGTCTTGGGTTTACTTAGTGCTTCGATAGCTTGGAAGTCGGCGGCATTCATGCGGCGCATCCTCGTGCCAATAAGCCATAGGAAAGGGTTGTGGAATTTGGTATTATCGAAGAGGTATGCCAGATTGAAGGCGATAATACTAAAATAGTAGGCCGCGTGCACGCTTGGATAGACGTTCCGTATGAACCACTTGTAATAATGCATGATCCGCTGTCTGATGTTCGGGCGCGGAGGCATACGCGTGTAATTGGTGCCGAGGAGGGCTCGAGGGGCCTCGATCTCGTGGCTCTCGTCCAGCTTGCGCTTCAAGTAGGGAATGGCGACCATAACAGCGAGATTTTTCCATATGTCCTTCTCGCTCAGCTTGAGAGTGTCGCGAACGATGCCCGGCGCAGTAGCAGCGGCGCGCGGAATCTCGGCTTGCAGAGCTTTCTCTCGCTTCAATCCATAGAAGTGCTCGGTGAAGCTGCCGCCGCGCGTACGAAGGTAGTGGCGCTCGACGACGAGCATGGCGAGCGCGTATAATTCATCGAAAGAGTTCAAGGCGCGGAGAAGGTATCGAGGGTATCGTTGCGTGGCGACGGTCAAAAGGTAGCGAAGCGTCGGGGGCAAAAGGGCGTTTAGCTGATGCTCGGAAAGCAGCTCGAATAGGGACGGCTTCTGATCGTCGAAGTTGCCTCGGAGGGCTGTGATGAATTCCATTTTGAAGTGTAAAGTGGTATTCTCTTTTTGCCTTTAACCTTCAACCTGGCAGATGTTCAAATTAAAAGTCAACGTCATAAAGCGGCCATATTCCAGTCCATCTGTTGTCAGGCTGTCGTATCGAAGTTACCGTCGTATCTGCCCTTGCTGCTATATGGCTCCAGAGGTAATGAGGTAGGTATGTACATAGTAAGTGAACAGCCGAGGTATGGGGAGCTACTGTACTGTACTAAATTACGCAGGCCCACCTATACCGTGACGCGCTTGTTGGGGGAACTATCGCATTGCACTTTAGGTGCCTAGTGTACGTGCACAATTGCACAATTATATCGACCTATGTTGGAATCCCGGAAGAATGCCTTTTAATTGATACATATCTACTGATTGTTCTAAACAAGCCAAGGGAAGAAAGGCGAGCGCGTTCTTCGACTACCTACCTATCCGCTGTGACACTGCTTTTTTTATATGTAATTATCTAGGTAGATAGACTCTACTCACTTATGGAACTAGTCCGCTGTTGAGGAGGTTATGGAGGTGTGGTAAATAAACTGTCAGTAGCGTTATTCCATTGCAGAGAGGTTCTTCACTTTTATCTCATTCCCGGTCCGTCGGAAGCAGAATTCTCAAGCCGATTTCACATATATCAAGGGCTAACGCGATCCCCTTCATCTTTCCTGGAATATTCAAGTCCCATTCCTCATGTGATGCATGTTCGCATCTTCATCCCCCCTCAAACCACTTGTAAATGATGGGATGTTTTGTTCTAGGGTAGTCCCATGGCCAAGTCGGAATACTAGGGTAGCTTAGCTATTCAGATAGTTCCGGATCGCCCCTTGTAGCCGAGTAGCCCCTTCGCCGAGCGCGCTCGTAAGATTGTCAAGGTCATCACCAGCAGTGATGCCAAATTTGCGAATGAAATCTTTGGCCGCAGTCTCAAGATCCCCATAGTCTTCAGTAGCATCTTCCTCCTCTGGCCGGCCAAAATAAGCATTGGAAGAAATGGCGGTCGCTCCCTCGAAACCTTGGAGGCGCGCCTTGGCCTCTGACTGAGCGTTGGGGTCGTATGCCCCTTTACCAAAAAATTCATCGGATGAGATACCCTTTTGGCTTCCAAATTTGTTCCTTGCATAACGTTCTTCATCCGCTATGAACCAGTTAGCACGGTAAAACAGAATGCAGAATGAGCACGGCCAACAGGACATACCTTCAGGAGCCGCCTTCACAGGGCCGACTGAACCAAAACCACCGGCATTCTTCTTGGTTGGCGCGGCCGCGGCTGCCTTGCTGCCTCCAACTTGCCCGAAACCAAGCCTTCCAAAACCCATACCTAATCGCTCTACCTCAGCAGCAGACTTCTGGCGAGTATGGTTGGAGCTATAGCTGCTCGCGCTTGGGGCAGTTGGCGAAACAACGTTGGAAGCCTCGCCTTTGGACGATGTAGTTGCAGTGGTCTTGGCTTCTGCTGCTTCGGCTTCAGGATCGTAACCAAGCTTCTCAATTCGCTCAGCCTCTTCTTTCGCCCGCTTTTCGGCTTCATCAAAGTCAATTACGTCGGCAACCTTCTTTGCCCCAAGTTTCGTGGTGGTCTTTTTTGCGCCAAGAATATTGGCCTTGCGGGGTCCAGTAGCGGTTGTCTTTCGTAACGCTGCAGATGTAGTGATTTTGCTAGCGGCAGGTTTGGCTTCAGACGACTCCTTGGAGAGAGGCGAGGCTGATCTAGCGATATCTTTTCCATTCGCGCCGGCGTTTAGGAAGGGGGAGGGCGTTCGGCCGACTACTGGGGGGGTGCCAGTTCGCGATATAGGAGGAGTGGGCTTCTTGATGGAAGGTTTATCCCATGAAGAGAAAAAGTCGTCGGCTGGTTCGCTAGCCGGAGTTGATGAGTTCCCGGCACTGTCACCCGCAACATCGGTGATGACAACTTCTTCAGGATATCTAAGAACCCAGCTATGTCAGCTACAGCTTAACGGCATAAGAGAATCTATGCTTACTCAATCGCATCACGAGCAGCTCGCTTCTTCAGCTCTTCTTTATACTTGGAAGCCGCGGGCGACTGGTACTTGGTTTTTGGGTCCTTGCTCGCGAGCGCCGCGCTACCTCCGTTGGAGCGGAAGAACTTAGTTGCCGACTCATTGCCGCCTACTTTCATTACGCGAAGCTGATCCCATTGCCATTCTATTGTTCGTTAGTGTCACGCCGCAGTGATACGGAAGCCGGGAGTCTGCCGTCAACCCATGGAAACGTACGATCGAGGTTTGTAGAGCGCACGAATGAGATGTGCACGCCGAGGTTACGATGGTTGGAAGAGCAATCGAGACATAGATAGATGCCAAAAGGGACAGAGGTCCAGGTTGGGTTGTTCTGTCCGCAATCAAAACATATCTGGGAGCGGTCAAGTATTAGCAGAGAGGAACGGCGATGTACAGAGATTTGCATCTAGGTTATCGCTCACTTTGTTGGCCTGCTTTGTCTTCAACTTCTCGAATATCTTCTGAGATTGCTGTTTTGTCGCCAGCCCACTCATCTTGTTGAGGCTGTCTACAGAGGCCAGGTGTTAATCCACGGGTGTTGCGGTTTGTGTGGTAATTCGGTGAGCTGGGCCAGTTCGGCGCAAGAAGGTCGTTTACAGCGGGCGGGAGAGATCGAAGAGGAGAATGAGGGAGAAGAAAGATTCAATAGTCGGAAAAGTCGATCAAGATAAGTTCAGGAGTTAGGAGTACCTACCAATGGGCCAGATTTCAGATGCTGCAGCGGTCACCAAAAGCCGCCTCAAAGAATGGCCCCACTGGATTCTCCCGCTTCCAATCTTCCAAAGCCTGCTGCGCTTGCTTGCTGCCCACTTCCAGCACTACCTAGGTAGGTACTTACTTGAGTACTTACGGTAGGTATGTAGGTAGGTTAGGTAGCTTGGCAGCCTAACCGTGATAGGGCTGGCCAAGCGCCAGCGACAGCTCCCCCACAATTGATTGCTGTCTGTAGGTATCTACAGCACCTACAAGTGCCCTGTACATACTTAGTTAGGTACATAGCTCCCATCTTCAAACTCGACGGCCAGCAGCCGAGTCTATCGCGCGGTGCCCATTTCATTCGCATCAAGAGACAACAAAATCTAGAAAATATTAGGCGGATATACGTAAAGTTACCTGCCAATGCTCCGTTGAGCGTTGTCGCCAGCGTTTTGACCCTGTGGCCAGCCCATCCCAATCCTTACTCATGGACTCTCCGGCATCATGAAGCTTCTTCACATCCGGTCGATTACTGCTTCAAGCATCGTCCCGCCGCTGGCACGGCCTCTTCTCATACAACGAAGCTATGCCACCCACCGCGATACGGCCAAAGCCTCAAGCGCATCACGCCGGAAGGGTGCGTATGATCCCGGATGCCCAGACCTTCACTTAGTCTCCTGTTTCTCGTCTCATTTAGTAGTCCCAGTGACTCTGTTCTATCGTCCTCTGCTAACTCGTATCCCTGCCCGCAGCCGTCACCCCTTTCAATGATGATGGGTTTATTCCCTGGCGTGAGCTATCTGCGGCTGAAAAAGTGTCGCGCGCCACCCAGCAGTCTTTTAACTTCGGCCTTGTTGCCGTAGGCCTTCTTTTAACGGTACGCTAGGTTTCTCATGACTTTAACGTGGTTGCATATTGAGCTTGTCTTCCGTCCATTAGGGTGGTGTTGGTTATTTCCTTTATCAAGACGTATTCTCGCCCGACAGCAAGACAGCGTATTTTAACCGAGCTGTCGACCGTATCAAGCAAGACCCTGCCTGCTTAGCGGTACTAGGCGAGGCTAAGAAGATCACGGCACATGGAGAGGAGACAGCAAATAAGTGGCGTCGGGCACGGCCCATTGCGTGAGGCATCATGTTTCTTGTCACTAAAAATTGCAGCTAATAAGCATAGGTCGACGCTGAAAACCGATGCCCAAGGAAATGACCATTTGGTCATGCAATTCTATGTACGTCCATATCCTTTGCTTCAGTAAATACACCTAACATGATCTAGGTCGAGGGACCGCTGAATAGCGGTATCGTGAACGTACATCTTATAAAGCGTACGGGTCGCAACGAATTCGAATACAAATACCTATTCATTGATGTGAAGGGTCACCAACGGATTTACCTCGAAAATGCCGATTCCAAATCATCAGGCGGGGATTCTAAGAAATTCAGGCTCTTCGGAATCAATTGGACTTAGCGTCAGCTATCTAGGGGGGTTGGAGCCGTCGAAGTCGTTTTGGTAAACCGGAAGCTCATCTGTCACCCCTTGCAGATCTGGCAGCATTTCCATATATAGAGAACTTCGAAGTCATGAAGGCAAGAACATACCTTGGAGTAGATTCAAACTACTATATGACAGTGTCGAACTGTAGATATGAAGCGGCGGAATCAAATAGCAAGGGTTGGGATTAATCAGCCAACAACTGCCCAGGTGAAGGCTTAATGCATGCGTGTTTGTAAGACCAAACTTGTTTCATATATCATCCATACCTGTTGATCTCTAATGCCCACGATGGTGGCCCCATTATGAAGTGGTGATATGCATGCAATTCTGTGGTGTGTGTCTAACTCAGGAGGAAAGATATACTCAAGCTACAGCTAGTTCCTTCACATCCCTATTGGATCCTCGCTAACTTTGTATTTCAAACCAGAGGTTGGCAGATTAAATCTTCTCTTAGGCTTGATGTACTTCTGTTTCCTTCGGTTGCTTTAAAAGACTGCCCGTGGAAATATTTTCTGAATCGGACAATGCCACTCATAGGCATGGTATTAAAACATCGATATTCTTTCGAGGAAGAATGCGAAAAGAACGCTGGGAGATGTTGCTCAATTTTGAGACGAGAATATGCAAATCTCTTGATTACGCCACTAGAGTTCTGATTAACACCCCAAGCATAGTCAATGATACTCATTATGTTTAGGTTTGGGTTACTTACATTTTTTGTATTTTGAGACATTACTTGCAGTCCAAGGCTTAACATCTCACGTTCTGGAGGGAATCAAATACAATTAAACTATCCTATCATAATTTAAGAGACTTCTTCAACCAAAAACTTCCTGTGTCTATTCCATGCTTCAATACTGTCAAGAAACATATGCTGAATAGATGTGTCCTCCAGCTTGGCACAAATTAAAGCGATTTTCAGACCTTGTCTTCGTTATTTTAAATTAGTGACTAACCTTTGACAGGATATTTAATTCAACCTCGTACTTTTATTAGTAAAGCAATGTGAATAATGTTCTCCAGGGGACGTATTAATCTATTGCCTGATGTCGAACTGGAATTTAAATCTTTTGTAATGAGTTGCAGGGTTATTTGACGCCAGAACTTTCCTTTCTGCCGACTTCATCTATGAAGGCTATTACAACAAAATTGAGCAAACGGCTTGCCTAATTAGTAACAACGCGGTTATGCAGAATACCGATAGCCTCGCCTTGCTATGATGAACCACACGCTGAACCGAGAACTAGGCTTTGAGATTACTGTAATCAAGTATCAGCATGTTTTTTTTTTAATTCATGAGATACATGCTCTCCGGCAGTCCTGAATCTGGAAGTCTTCGTGAAAATGTTCGCGTCCCAAGACACGAAAATAGCAGTCACTGCACACGAAACTTACGGCCAACCGTGGTAGGTTATCATGCTAAAATGGGCTCATGAGGTGCCATGGCTCTTTGCTGGGGCTATTGTTCTGGAATCAAACAAGCGCCACCCATTACGCGGCAGAACTCCCAGTGAATCGTATTGTGAGTCACCCTGGCATGTGAACCACCATTGATAGAGGATTGCCACTTAAAAAGAAAGAAATAAGAGGCCGAGTCACGTCACCTACTAGATTATCTTACACGTAGATACTATCATTAGGAAACTGCACTTATCCAATTTCCGTGGTGCGAATGAGGCTTCACATGATTTGCTTTACACTGAGAATAATCGTTTTACTTTCGTAAACGACAGTTAACTCTCCAAGTCGCTCCAGTTCTATCACCCGATACGCAAGAAAAGGGGACTAAGAAAAGCACCTGCAAAGAACCGAGCCTTGTCTGCATAACATTGGCTTTGCTTGAGCGGTGTCGGCCATGACGGGTCGCGGCATCTAGGTTATATCGGTTTGTAGCAGTGCCGGGCCGCGATAAGTGGTGGCCACGGTCGGATGAGAGACATTAGCCCATGGCTATGGGCTGTCTTCGACTGGCGTGGGTGCCTGTGTGCGCTTTTCGCGTTGTCGAAACCAGTGAAGCCATTGAAGTTATCTTGAACCCTGGCTGAAAGTCAGTCGATCGTTTGTGAGGTGGCCATGGCGAAGGAAACCACATGACTGTCTATGTGACTGCCAGCACAGGGGGCAATGTGGTAGGCATCTTCTACATCGTACCCCGGGTCTTTAGGAGGCAAGGGAGCAAATCTGCTCAAGCTCGAATCAGGCAAGGGATATGTGGTAAGGCTCCTCTCTGTGTCATATTGCAAAGCAATTATGTTGCAGGCTTCCTGTGCTATCATTGAAAATAGATGGCTTCTAGGAACAAGATAGCGTATCGGAAACAATCCCTCCCCTATAGTTGACGCATGGAAGCTCGCACCAAAATTGAATCAACCTTGCTCGCGGTACGTTCCTTCACCGTCTTTTTTCCGCAATCAAGCTCGCCAAGTCATGAATGCGCAATTAGTGCTACACCTTCATGTCTACTTCACTACGCTGCCACCTCATTTGTGTGAACTTCCGATTCAAGCCTATAATCAGTGGTATATCTTTGTATACCCAGTAATAGCTGGTTGTTATCTTGGTGGTCAGTAGAGCACCAGCGTTCAATAGTGTTGGTAATGCACCCGCGCAAAGACATATCCATCCATTGCAATCGTCAACTCACACAGATGCATTAGGTATCAGTCCTACGATCGCATATTCAAAAAGACGCGAGCCGCAGTTTCAGTTCTCGTTGTTGCAATATAGACCCCACTCCGTGGATGTAGAAGTATAGCCCCAGTCCAGACTGTCTTAGCTTCGGGATTGCTTGACCGCTTCCCTAGAAGACATGTGAAAGTATCTGAGGCTATGTGTTTGCCTAGAACTATGAAACAGAGGTTCCCGAATCGGCCTCCGGCACAAGAATCTTGTGCCGATGGGCAAAGAAACGCTCAACTCGCAGAGCCCTGCACGGGTCTTAATTGCCAACAACTGCACATCTTATGACCAAGCCGATTCTAAATGAAACGAGTACTACTGATCCTCCACTTCGAGAACAGAGGGCATCGCCAAATGAACTAACTGTATGGTAGGTTGGCCCCGGCCCAATAACTTGCTCAAATATGACGGGAGTAAATGGAATGTCATTGGTAACAGTGTGGCTGAATGAACATTGGCTTGTTAGCAAGGTTTTCGTCCCTTGAAGTCTGTATATTTCCATACTGGAGGCACCTTACCATGCCGGCTTATCAGTGGCGACAACGCTTGCGGTACCACGTTACAATATAACAAGGTGTGTAATAGCCAGAGGCAGTTTCGGCATTTGAAATGCTGATGCGGACAGATTTGCAGGTATCTATAGCCAGCCTGATCTGCAATAGCCGTATTGGGATTTACGTTAGCCCGTTGGTGATCGAGTCATGTATAGCATGCGAGTCATGTCGGTCTTAAACGTTGATCATGTCGGTGAATGCCCAAGGAGAGTAGGCCGTCCAGTCACTGCGTGAATTGAGCCAGTTCTCGTACGAACGTGACCGAGTTAGATAGATGCAAGCGGTCACAACAGATATCAGAGATGGGATATGACGACAGCTTCATGCCACCTCAACTGAGTAAGGAACAGGCAGAGCTGTTAGGCAACTGGTACACAGGTTTGTGACCAGATGGGGAAATGACAAGCGAACAGAAGCGGAAGCTCGGTGCTATATCTGACGATCTAGTCTAGACGTAGATAGAAGGCTCATACAACATCTAATGGTTACAATCTGGTAGACTTGGAGGCAGCACCTTGGAGGAGACGCTAAACTTAGATGCCGAATATGACCTGATGGTTATCCACGTATCTCTGCAAGTTCGGGCCCGGGTACCCGGTTCACGCAAGAGGTTTCAGCTTCATGTGATGCAAATGCCGGTGGTCAAGTTACCGAAGAACCTAACCACCTGCGCTTGCCATGGAAACGTTGCTAGGAATGAACACCCCAGTGCCTAAAATTACTTACTTAGCATCATACTGTTGAGAAGACGCTACATGATCTTCGACAATTGGGCGTATCTATCTTAGGATCCTTGCTGCCGATCAACAAGGACGCTTACTTCGCCGCAAAGCAGCCTCCAGGGTGAACGAAGTCGTATCAATTTTTAAGGCGTCTGTCTCCCTGCCACAGAAGCATCCTGTATGTAGCGAGAGACAACCTATGAAATCTCACGGCGGCTACCTAGCGCAATAAGGTACGTGTAGTCATCTGCACCTCTCTGAAGGAGGGGAGCATTCCTCCCTCGGGTAGGGCCCCCTCTGTGCGACGGCCTGCCCAATGGACCACGCCATTTCTTCGGCTCAGTGGCCGAAATCAGGTCATTCTACGTAGCCCGCTTGTTCTAACGGCCGAGAAGACAATGCTAATCTGTTCTCGGCGAAACACTCATGGGTCTGCAATAGTCCCTCCCGGCAGCAGATTGACGTAATCCAACTTTTGGCCGGTTCAGAGCGTATCAGAGGGCGAGCGTTGACGAATGTTCCTAGGACATTCAATACCTCATCAAGGGGGGATTTAGTGCATTACTTGAGTTTGTTAGTCCTTTCTCCAGAGGTAATGGGCTACAACTGTAGAACGAGCCATTTTAGGCCTCTGGTTCTTCTTGTATATCATCACGGCTAAGCCTAGAGGCGTAGTAGTTGCCTAGTGTGCACAAACAGCGATATGAAGAGTACCACCAGAACGAGTGTGCAAAACCAGAGCCATGTATACTCTACATGTATGCCGTGGACTGACAAATTCGATTGAGAGCCAGGCCAACCACCGATGTACTTTCTATGTTCTATCATAGTGGGTAGGGTAAGAGCGACGCCTTTCTCCAAGATCCTCGTTCGGGATGGGTTGGCACACCCCGAGGCCTCAGTTTGAGGGCTCTTTTCATATTCTCTGAGCCAACCAAATAAATTATTCAGGTAGCTCATGCTAAAAGTAGTAATGGTTTGATACATATTATTGTGTAACCTACCAAGCTTGTAATCTTCAAATCCCGAGGTGCTATGGTATGCCAAAGGGGGTTGGGTGACATATATTACCAGTCTTGGCTAATCAGCATTTGGCGACTTGATCCTATGTAACGATACTCGGCCTATATCTAGCATCTATCTAACCACCTAGAAGATAGAGCGTTGTATCTATCCTGTTTCTCAGAAGATATTCCCCTAAATCTTTCTCTATGTGTATACGGAAGAAATCATTTCCCTTAGATCAAGGTCGAGCTTCTGAGGTTTATGATGCCTCCCTGACAGTCGCTGATGGTGGCATAGAACAAACCTCCTTCTTTGTATGTAAACCTTGATGGAGTATCTTCATTGTATCAT